CCTAACCAGTGTTAGAGTTGTTAGAAGAAGAAGATAGGCAATGTAATTTTTTCATATCATAATAAATTTTGAAGTACAGAAATGAATGGTATTACTTGTTATTTAAATAAGGGATGAATCTTAGTATTTTGAGGGTCAAAAAAATGGAGATCATATAAGGTTCAATTCCTTTCGAGTCAGAAAAATTTTAATCTATATGCCCAGCTAAGTCTGAAGTATACAAGTATTTCAACGAGGAAAAATCGCCACTCCATAGACGGATTCTCCAGATTTGTTACTTTATTTTACGTGCAAAATGTTGAAACATATTCTACTTGAATAAGGGTGAATGAAATAAATACTCTTAGTTGTTAAGATTTTTTTTCCTACGCTTATCGACCTTTTTCTCAATAAATGTCAATTTCGGGCATTTATCGAAGCACTATTTTAATTTAGGTCCTTTCAGTTTAATATTTGGAAATTTATTGAATTATTGAATTTATTCGAACGGAATAATTTCAATTTTTTTAAATTTCTCATACGATTTACTTGTAATTTTGCAAATAATTTAATTATAATTAAAATATTATGATTTTCTTTCATCGAAAAATAATTTTAAGCAATATATTCATTTTTTTCAGAAAAGGATCAGACTTTGGGCATAAATTGCCGGAAGTAGCAAAAAATTCAAAAATATTTTTAGGTGATAATTCAAGCGAAAATAGCATTTTTTAAATATGGAGTTTCATTTTTTTAAAACTGCGAAACCTATTAACTTCGCATGGAAAAAGAAGATTTGAATATGCAGTTTATTTAGGTTTCGATCAAATCTTGTTATTGAATGAAAAACCAATGATGGCATAGCTGATATCTACTTGAGTTCAAAACTGATTTGCAAATACTACAAGTACTTAAGTTTTTAATAATTTTATTTCTTAAGTTTAGCTAAAATATTTCAAAATAATATCATAAAAAAATGTTATTAAGATTATCACGCAGACATGCATATTATGTATTATATATCATTATGTGTCATATATGCTGAATAGATTATCACAGGGTTTCTTAATATATGCCAAAATCTCTAGTGGTCAGTGTCAAAAAATAGCCCAATTATGATCTGCTCCGGCATAATCACAATAAATTTTAGACTGTGAGCGCCCTAGAAACTTATGGGTTTAGGCTTATGAAAATTGATCACAATTAATTTTAGGTGTGATGGCAAAGGCTTGGAAATCCAGTTTTTATGGAAGCAAAAATTGAAAGCAGTGCTCACTGTTATATATCTATATATCGCCAACGTTAAGTGGAAATATAAAGAAGTGCAAAATGCTATATTGAATTGATTTTAAGACATAGGAGTTAAAACAAGTAAAATTTATCGTAACTGAACATATCCAATGGTCTTGGGCGGGGCTAGAAAATTTCGAATCGAGAAATGGAAAATGATCATTCTATACTGACACCTATAAAAGATGGCGGGTTTAAGTGTAAATTTTGTGCAATTCTTCATCTTTCTTCTTATTCAAATATACGCGGACGACTATTTTTTAGGTAAAAACTTTCACTAACTTTTTTACAACCCATGATAGTCAATTATATTCTCTCATATATAGATTTTGTCATTTTCAGCAGCCATAATTGAGTGACTAGTGCTTACCATCCATAGTTAGATCCTCTTCACTGGGTAGCAGTGCGGTGAGAAATAAACAAACAGCCATTTAAAAAAAAAAGCACACTTGGATCGAAATCATCTTGGAATTTTTCATGGAAATTTGCTAATTTTGTTAAAAGTTTTTTCGAAGATGGTCTTGACATTCAAAGCGACAATATGAGCTAGAATCATTCGGCTATCATGGAACTATCTTAATTGCGAAGTCTATTTTAATTTTTCATATAATTTGAATAGAAAATATTATAAATTTAATTTTTAAGCATAAGTAATTGAAAATTGAAGGTCAATTTTTTGCCTTTAAAATAATGAAATTCTAGTCGCTATGGATTTTACATATCTGATTGCATTACAAATTTCAATTATATTAATGCTAATTGCTTATGATAAAAGCTGTTATAAAAATATTTATAATGCACTTATGAAAAATGTGCAGGCAAACAATTTCAATTCCTATTTATATATTTATACCTTTAACTCATTTATTATTGTAAATATCCATTAATTATTAAAATTTCTCTAATGAAGCTGAAGCTTATGATTGACGTAAATATTAAATATAGGTAGATATACACTATATGCATATATATTTATAAATAAGTGTCAGCGGTTGAAAGAGGAACTAGATATAAAGTCATTTATGTCTATCACCTTAAGAAAGTGGCTCGAACAAATTTCAGAATAACACCAGAAATCTCTGTCGAGAGGAAAGCAAATTGAGGATGATTAATACCACCCATCAGGGATAAAAAGGGAATTTTTATTCATTTTATGCATAAAAAATAAATATATTATATATGTAATATCCATGAGATGTATCGTCGGCAAATAACTAGTTGATACTGAGAAATTCTATCATTCGTTGGAAAAAAGACTGAGAAATTAGCCATAGCAGCACAAGAATAGATAGCACCAGATTTATCAAAATAGGGATCCACCACAGATCAAAACATACAGAGCTTAAGGCGCAGACTGTGAAAAAACCTCAGAAAGCGTCCAACAAATGATAGCGAGATGTGAGATCTAGCTAGGAACAGCATATGCCGGGTGGCATAACCAAGCTGACGCAGCAACAGAAATATCAGTTCAGCATATGGCTTAGATCCTCCAAAGACCAAATGGGAGATTCCTTAGAAAATCGTGGAGAATAATAGAGCGATGATCTATGGGGCTTCTCGGTCCAGAAATACAAATACAAATAAGTAGGGCCAATCAATCAGATGTGGTTATAGTATATTTAGAAATCGACACTGATGGTAGATATAACAATATCAAATGAAAAATGTTAAAAAGAACTACCAAGGGCTGAAAGAAGAACTAAAGAAAATATGGAAAATAAAGGCTAAAGCGCAGTAATCCCAATGATAACTGGAGCACTAGGAACAGCGTCTCCCGAACTAGAAAACTAATTTCAACAGGTTCGAAGAACAAAGATCTTCAGAAGATCACACTAGGAACACCTAAGATATTGCTCAAAACCTTTGATCTCCCAGGCTTTTACTTAGAAAAATCAGGGTCAGTGTGATCTTTACCAGGGGATGAGGAAAATATTTTTTTATAACTTTATTGATCATTACAAAAGTTGTTCTGATCTTATTTAATTTCATTTATCCAATAATAGCTATAAAATCAAATGATGCTTGATAATATATGGTTAAAATAAATAAACTGTAGATAGGTCAAATAGTAGATCCACTAGATCATACGTGGAGTTTTTTCTCATGTTTTCATGTTGAACTAATATGGTTTAATTATAATGAGTTAATGAGTTAATCTACTTCTATTTAGGACTATTTTTTGGTTACGATTACTCCACTGGTTGCAGTTAGAAAAAATATCACAGAGCTTTGAGATAAAAATACTGGTGGCTCCGCAGCACCACTCGAATTTTTTATGACAGGTTCACTTTTAACGGAGGAGGAAGAGAAAGCTTGACGCTTAAGACGATAGTTAAAAACAAGCGCTCATCCAGCCTATCGTTCCAATCCGTAGTCCCAATATACAATAATAGGTTATGTTGCTACATTATTATATATGAAATAATGTTATCATCTATATAAAATCTACTTTTTGCGATCTTTTTGACTTTTCCTCTCTCGAATACTAAAATATTCGTTAATCCAGAAATTCGCTCATAAAAAAATGAAGCTTTTATTAAGAAATTGCAATTTTTCGTTAAATATATGATAAAATAGATAGTCAAATGAATTGATTTTTCCTTGGTTCAATTTCAAACTGGAAGTCAATTGCGCAAATAGATGATTTCAACCTTGGCTAGAGAAAAAAACTTGTCCTTAAAAGAAATTAATTAAATATTAGGGACTCGTTAGTGATCCGTAATTCTACTTCCAAGTAATTCCCTCCTTCAAAAATTTCTACCATTCTAGCAGTAAGAGAATTTAAGTAGAAATAAGCTGCGCTCAACTTATTTTTTTTGTCCATTGAAAATCATTATAATGGTTCGTCTCTGTGTGATTCGCAGCTGCAAAATCGCAAATTTTTTCTTTTCCATGCTTATAAATGCAAGTCCTAGATCTTAATACTTTATCATAAATCTTCGGCAATTCTTGGATCATCTGCTTTAGTAAGAAATAACAAAAGTGAATAACGGAATTCGACCAAGGATGCAACTAAAAGCTAGATAGCAGCTAAAGTGTCTTGTAAAATCATGGTGGAATTAATATGAAAATGAAATCTAAATCTACCTGGCTTCAATGAGCACAATTCTTCTACAAGGCTGCAAAGTATAGGCAATGGAGACATCTTACCTTTATTTTTGACCTATGCTCTAGCTGAACAGATGGACTGCATTTACCTTCGTTTAGATGCCATCTGCTTTATCAACATCATCACAGCTCAATTGAGTTGGCGCATATCATTAGTCATTATACAATGGCGTCAAAAAAGGGGAGGACTAATTAAGACGTGTATAGCGAAAAAATTTTAAATGCATCGGTAATCCAGCGATATATTTAGACAGTGGAAAAAGGAGTGGCTTCTTGCTTTCAGATATTCGTCTTGCAAAATCGTCTTGCAAAAGCCTCACTTTTGTAGCCAGCGAAACTGGCCTAACCATTAACAGTGGGAGCTGTTAAAAGATGATGAACTCGTAGAGTATTATCACCCACAATTAAAATTAAAATGGCTTGAACAAATAATGATAATATTCATAAAGTGGTTATTAGCTCATTATTTCTGGACAGGCTCATTAGTTTTTTGTACGGTTAGATTTATCATTGAGTCACCTGATATAAATTTAGATGAATTTCAGCGTCTTCCGCGTTTTTAAATCGTATATTTACTCCTATTCGACAAAATATCAGTTATTAAAATAATCTGAACCACCATTTTGCCCCATCATATTCATAATTCCATGCAAAATCGCGATGTCCTTACATAAAGATATAAATGTTGTAATTTTAGATCCGCGTAATGAAAATAATGCTAAGATATTGGTCGAGCTAGCTGCGGGTGAAAATTCCGAAAGGCACTTATCTGATGTAGACAGTGATGTCGAGAAACGAGGCGAGTTTTTTTCTAAATGAACAACTGATTCAATTATTATAATTACAATCACAAAATTTTTATCAAAGGCTATTTCCAATTTGTGGAAAGATTACAAATTTTACTTAAATGAGGCGAAAGGCTGTTCTTATTGCTAGCCATATGGCAACTGCTGATAGTCCTGATAACATCCATCATTTCTGGTTTGGCTGGCTCAAATGCCAACGTGAAACTCCCTCCTCTAAAGCCAGTAAATAACATTACAACTGGATTTCTAGGGTTTCGATGTTAATGGCAGATTCCATCTCCACCAAGCGGCAAAAATCATAACATTTAAGCGTTTCAATACAATAATCGGATTCGCTCTCTACTTGGATCTTTCTCTCTCTCTTTCAGTCTTGTTGGTTAGACTGGCTTAGCTGAGTTGTAGGACCAAACAAATTTCATTCGAAAGATTTCAAGCGACCTAACCCTATATTTTACCTTACATTTTGCCTTAAAGCCAGTTAACAAAATCAGTTAAAAATACTAATGGATCACCAGAATTACCACAATTTTCGAAAGATAAATTTACATGGCACTTTTATTTTCGCCGTTCGGCGATCTTGCCATTAAATTACCAACGTGCTAAGCTAATGGGATATGATGTACTATTTTACTACGACTAGAGCATCATATCGCGAAGAATATTTTCAGATTCAATACCTGGTGTTCTACGATTTGGAAAGCGTTTAAATCTTCTTCAAGGATTAACTAAGCGAACAATTCCAGGAGTTTTACGCTTTGGAAAGCGAGGCGACCATAAAAGAAAAAATGATGTCCCAGGTATTAAAAAAACTAATTTTCATATTTTAATTTAATTTTTATAATAAAATTCATTTTTTTGTTTCCTTATATATTCACAGGTGTTCTGGAAAAGAAAGATCCAATTCCAGGAGTACTGCGATTTGGTAAAAGAGATGAAATACCAGGTGTATTGCGATTCGGAAAAAGATCTGAATCAGATGGTTTTACTTTAATTAAAAAAATGCCCGGCTTGAGATTTTGACGTTAAGCACTAAAATTGTAAGTTTATTCTCTAAGAATTTCTTGTGCAAAAAATTTTTGCCATAAAAAACGATTAATCTATGGGTAGTCGAGTAAAAAATTGCGAGGACTGCTAATTAAGCGATAGACTTTCATCTGGTCACAGGTGACATATAAAAATTTGATTAATTAAACAAGCACTCTGGCAAGATTTTTATAATGGTCTCTGTCGACAACTTTCAGATATTTTTCAATTATCTGAAGATAATTCACGAACTAAAGAATATTTGATTCGGCGATCTCGATCTAAAATTTCATTCTCTTAATTCTTAAGATATTGCTTCTTATGATTATTGAATAAAATGATTCTACAAAACTATTAAAAATTTTATAATTATTTAAATACACACATATAAAAAGCAAAGTACATGCTAGTACATGTTATGTAAAGAAAGCTCGAGTGATGCATTGTTTCAACTAAATTCAAGCGATCTTTACCATTAAAAACGAACCCAACTGGTGATAAGCACGTATTTAATATTCCATTCTTCAAGTAGCTCATTGGCAAGGGTCTTTCATCCTTTTTAATAGTATTTGCAATAGCAACATATATTTTTTAAAACAAATAAGGCTCTTGATCACTTTTAGCCTTCTCATGGAGATAGTATGAAAAAACTTTACAGACTGCACTTCATCAATAATTATTAGCGATCATTCGATGAAATGGTTCATAATAAGAAAAATATTCATCATATTTAACTGAATCAAATTTGCAAAATTATTCAAAATTATAAATAGCATTCCTCATATCTTGCTAGGCTGATTTCATTCACTGATAATATGGCTGGAAATCCAGAGAGTCATTTGAAAAAGTAACTATCACCGCTCGTATTTGCAACCACAGAAAAAAAATAGAAAATAAAGATAGAAGAAATATAGAAAATAAAATATAGAAAATATACTTGAGCTGAAAACTACTTCATCTCAAGAAATTGATGATCATTTGTATTGTAATGATAAGAAGGGCATAATGTTATCTTGAAACTTCAATTTGCTCTAATTGGAACATAAAAAACTTATATTAGATAATTTTTTGATGGTGAAAAAAATTCTGAGACGAAAAGAAACGCTAATTTGATTTTTGCAATTTTTCAGTGCGAAATTTTCGATCTTATTCGATTCGATAAATCGTTATTACTCTGTTTTATCTGCACGATCTTATTTAGAAAAATTAGCCATGAGGAACAAACATATGGAGATGGTTAAAGCATAGCAGTTGAAGTGAAAACTTTTAATCACGAAATTTTCCTTTATATTACCAAAAATTATTTTCTAACAGACTTCACTGAAACAAGCAAAATCCAGATTTTCAAGATGGGTTACACCAATTACACCAACCATCAACAAAAAAGCAAAAAATAATTCTGACTAAACCTTGAATACTAGCATATGATTCCAGTTTTTAAGGTTTTGGTCGCTGAATTCGAATATTGATGTTATTATCATTTACGAATAGCAAATAGTGAAATTTTCAAATGTAGCCTTCATTTATAAATACCAGAACCAGATTTCCTAAGAAGCAATTTTTGTTTTCCACAAATTTTCCTGTAATAATATATCCCGTCATTTATTAAAAAAAGGATAAGTTAATATTTTTAAATCCATGGTTTTTGGTCAGAATGAACTGAAAAAAAACGCAACCAATCTTTTTTTGAAAATTCCACATAAATAAGAAAAATATTTCTTGCAATACATTTCAGAAATTTAGGCTTTAAAAAAAAATTGATTCTTGAGATATCATTGTAGTCTTCAAACTGCTAAAAAATGTTCTTATATTGATTAGCATTCGCTACTTCCGGTTGGATTATCTCCCGATGGCCAGTCATTGTGGCTAGAAAATTTTACCGCACAGTCGGCTAGCTTGGCAGCATCAGCCGATTTTGACCTTTTTTTAGCAAGTTTTTTCCCATGTAGGAAATGAATTTCGCCACACGATAATCCAAACCACTATCCATTAATTTTTATGCAAGGTTATCCATAATTTTTTACTCAGATGCTATTTACTTTTTTTCTTTTTTCTATTTATTTGCATCATATTTTACACAATTCAGTTTTTCACCTTCTCTGCTTTTTCAACTAGTTTCATAAGCATGATTTAGATGTAACGATAATCTATGAAATATATTAGCGAGAATAAAATTTTTGGTATTGAAGCTACAATGGTGCGGTAATGAGCATTTATCGCTCCAGAGCTGAATTCGTTGTTCGATCAGAGGCAAATGGGAATGTCTAGCTGATTCGAGAAAATACTTCTCCGATAATACACCGATTACCACATACCTTGACTGCACAATGCTGTAGCATATCCTACTCAAATAAAGCGATTATTAAATAAGAGATTTACTTTAAATTTATTGAATTTCAAGTATTAAAACTTATTATGAAATTATGAATGAAGCACGATAGCTGAGTGAGTTGTTGTTGTTCAGATTAAGTTGAGAAGCAAGAGCCGCTTGCAGCATTTGAATAAACCCGTTATTAAAAAATCTTGTGGCGCTGGTGATCTACCAAATGCCACTTGGCAAAAATTTCTAATCGTCTCAACAGCAAGAGTAGCAAACTTAAGTAGATGAGCATTGACTATGTCCATGTCTTATTTAAGCAATAACGAAAGCAATAACGAAATGAATTAACAAGTTGCATTTAACAAAATGCGAAGAATTAAATAGTTTAGTAGAATAGTTTATATAAGGAAGTATTTCACATGTTCATTATCACTTAGAAAATTAAAAAGTTCAACCTTTACAGAAGAAGAGTTATCGAAGGGTTATTGAACAGTTATAAAAATACAAAATTTCATTCCTGTCATTCCTGAATTACATTATCTTACATTTATTTCTGCATTTACAAATCGTAGGCTTTCTCATTTGTTCTTAAGGTAAGGAAAATTCTTTTAAGCGGCACCACTCAACAATAGTAATTATCGTTTATTAAATGTATTTAATGGCGGTTACTGAATAGCATGATCATTAGAACTCTGACATCAATTGAGCCGACTGACCACCGACCACAATGACTACGAAATTTGTTTGGTGATCGTTTAGTGAAAACATCGCGATTAACAATATGTTTTCTTAAATATATAAAAATATAATAATTTGCCTAACTGTTGATGTTAGCGGCAAATGACATAGTTCAGCATTAATCACCATACAAATTGGAAAAATATCAAACATGAAAAAAGGCTGGTGGCACTAATGTTGTTGGCATTAATAGCAGTATGGACTATCGTTTCAAGTTAATTCCGACGTAAAATTTATTTATTTAATTGATATTTTTTAAAAATCTGTTTGCACTATATGCAGTTTCTAAAATTTTCCAATTTTACTTCTTTATTTTATTCATTTTTATGCTACGTAAGTAAAAATTTTGAAGCTAGTACCTATACTCAATAATGCTTTAGAATTTAAATAATAGGAACGAATCGGATTCTTAAAAATGGCAAATATCGCAATATCGCAATAATTAAACAGTAATAATTTCGCATTTAGTCAATTCAAATATTGTTTGCTGGATAAATTTACTTTTATTCCCCTTGCAACGTTTATTTTCTTCGTGAATAATTTTAATAATGGTAGAGTAACGTATGAGAAAATTTGACCATCCAGCAATATTTCTGTATATATATACAGGTTTATGAATATAGTCATCATTCGATGGGATTATCCCTTCTTGAATTGTGAATTAAGTCCGTTCATCTGGCTTATTATCAGATCATCGATCAATATGAGTTGCCAATTGGATTTGCTTAATTATATTATTATTTTCAAAAGTTTCAGTTCACCATATTACCATTATTATCATTTATATTATGTTATCAGTACTATGCTGATAAGAATAATGGTACCTTCACAATTAATCCGCATCATTGTGTTGCAATAATTAATTTAAATAACCATTTTCATTATTCCATAAATCTTATTAATTATTTTTATATTTGTACGTTTAGGCGATATATTATTTATGATGACTTAAAACTGTAATTGGCTGCCAATGATTGACATAAGAAACTTGAAAATTACTTAATTTCAATAATCTCATTTTCTTAATATATTTCCCAATTCTGGCATTGCATTTTTCTGTGAGGAATTTTAATATTAATAATTGTAGATGGTTTCTATTCAGCAAATCTAAACGTTAAAATTAGTAGAAAATTTTATAATTTTTGAATTAGCTACAAGTTATTTTCAACAAAGTCGATTCTAAACAAAAATACAAGTTTTCTCAAATTTTCTCGAATTTTCCACAATTTTCAGCATTTTCCAGAGGAGAATTAATTTTATTAATTAATTTTAGCCGCTTTTTTATTAAAAATTTTTTTAGAAATTTTTATTAAGCTTTTCAATATGGCAAATTTTTCTTATTCCTAAAGAATAAAAATAGAGATTGATCAGCTTAAGGTCACTTAGAGATACAAATCCACTAATCTTAAGAATATCTTTCTCGCATCGTGTGATTGAATAATAAATGATAGATCGCCCCAATTCTTTCAGAATCATTTGACTAAATAAAACTTATGATGGTCGAATGGTACCATGCTCTGACTAAAAATGAAAAGGGTGCAGTGGACCTATTTGTATCCCTATCTCTATTTCCTAGAATTATTAAAAAAATTTCATCTTAATGGTCAGTTTGAATCAGCCAAACCAAAAACAATAAGCTCTATTAGAAAAGCAAGCGAGATAAAAACAGTGATGTGAGGGTTCAAGAAAAGCTACTGTACTACATTTACTCTATAATGACCTCAACTTTTGGACTACAAATTTAGAGGAGCAAAATATTTTAGCCGTTTCTCATTTATTACTTTTTTCTAGTTGTTTTTCTGTAGATTTTTGATTTGTTCTGCAACAATTTAAATTTTTTTGTCTCATAGAACGCATTCCGTGAGTTCAAATTATTAGAAAAAGGTTAAATGAATACCATAGCCAATTCGAAAAATATTGCACAATAAATGTGTTGATTTCGCTGCGGGGATCTTGGATCTCCTGTTGAAGCATAATTGTCCAACTCAGCGGGGTGGATTCTATACTATTACCTATCAAGGTGCGAATCTGTTAGTTTTCTTCGCGGCCATAGGATTTCAAACTTTTTCTTTCTTTTTGGGCTTTCAAAATTTTGTACTAGTTTTTCTGAGATATCTGAAAGTTTTTTTGTCGTATTTCTATTATATATTTGTTTTTTTAACTTTGCTAATCGAATATTATTCTCTAACCTGATTGTCAAGCCTTCAACGAGATTATTCCTACTTAACTATTGAAATCATTGTGAACAAGCAAATATATTGTATAAAATGAAGAGTACATTGAAATGACCTTTGAGCAGGTTGACCTTTATCTGTATACTGTATGTTTTTTGTGGGCAAATTTTAATATCTTCTCATCTGATAAAAATGTCTATGTCTTGGAAATCTATCAAGAATTTGCTTGCAATATATTGTAGCAAAAATATGGCAAATAATTACACATATTCTTTGTTAAATAGTTTTATTTTTCTCTTTCGTAACATTCAGAGCTAGCCATTCATTATTTGTCTTAAAAAAATTCTTCACGTTGTCTGAACGATCCAAAAATTATTAAGATATTTTTCACGCAATTTTCCCTTAATGCAGATAAATTTAATCATATCATGTCAGAATGTTCGTCATTTCTTGTCCCAGAAGTTGAAATGAATTTGCTTTACTCCTAGCTTTATAGTGAACAATGTTTAAAATACATGTCCAATTAAAATAGATCAGGAGAGATTTTGAACGCACAGACGGCCCAGATAAAGAGAGGAGTAGTATATACTTCGGCGATGGAAAAAGAAGTGGCCTTCTTTCAGATATAGAATGGGATAAAGGGACTTGAGAGCCTCGTTTTTTTATTTAGCAAAGCCAGTTTAACCAGTAATGGTGTCTGATGATGATGCAAAAATTGAAATTGGCCATTTTTTGAATTTTTTTGCATAAATCTTTTACAAATTATAAAATTAAATGGATATTATTCATTTTTAAATAATCGAGAGAATCGATAGGAACCATTAGTTATTTCTAAGAATACTTGAAGGACACTTGTTGTCTCAGCTATCAAGTATGTGAGAAACCATTGCATGAGATGTCAAGTGAATATAAAAGAAAATATACATCTCAAGTCATCAAGAACGAAATGTGCGAAAAGGTAACGAAAAGGCAATGACAATATGACAGTGTAAAATAATATGGCACGCGTTAGTGCAAAATGAGAAAACCTGTATTTATAGTGTTAAATAAAGATTATCACACCTTATAATGTTTATTATCATTGATGACTGCTAAATGTTATTGTAGATTATTTCATTTGACTAGATTTTTTTGCTTTCGTGGTTAGTTGAAAGTTTTGGTAAGTAAATGGTCATCATTTCTGGTTAAGTTCACTCGTTGTTATTAATGATAATTTTGTTAGAAAGCCATTATGGAAATAGAGGTAAAATTATTTCTGTCCGTGGTTTACACTTTTGCGCATGATACAACAACCACTTAACTAATCTGTCCATTGCATTTTATTAATTCAGCAAAATTTGAATTTCAGACAAAAAATTGGTAGCATTTTTGTCATAACCATTCTTACTGAGTTATTTTTTTCACTTACCAAACATATAAAAATTATTTATATGTGATATCGCTGTTGAAGAACGAGCAAATTTTGCTTAAATTCTTTGAGACATTATTAATTTTTACGATTTTAATATCCTTTACTGATTTTTAGACCTTCACATTTAAAGTTTATTTCACATTTAGTAGAAAAAAATTTTATTTAAAAGTACCAAAAGATATTTCGAACAGCTTGATAAGCTTTATGCGAAAACTTTTAGAATTTAATGTGCCAGCGCGATGGCAAAAAATAGTAAAATAACATAGATGTTTCATAACCCTTCACGAATGCTTATAAAGCATTCGAGCCCACAGTATTATTATTTCTCTATTATTTTCTTTTTTGCAACAATATCGTTCTATAAATTTTAAGACTTTTTTGTCCTTTAAAAGTTAAATTTCCATTTTTCTCGGCAACTCAACGTTGCTAATGAAAAATCTATTTCAGTAGTTCGAATATGCATACGAGATATCAGAAAATATTGCGAACACTTCATAAATATTGCGAACACTTCATAAATAAAATCAAATGAAGCAAACGAAATTTACGTACAATGATCATCAAACTACCATATTGCTTAATTTGTGATAATTTCAAAAGGTTTATTTTTTTGAAAAACATTATAATTTGTCACTTTGCCAAGGAATTAGAAACTGTTGAAGAAAAGCGGATAATTCTAAGATCGAATTCGCAATAATTAATTGTTTTTTGTTTATTTGAACGGATAAATTTGTAATAGATTTAGCAAATTAATTTGTAGTGAAATCAATGCTTTAAAATGACGGTTCGATCTTCAAAACTAATTAGTAAATTAAATGAAAATTTGTGGAATACATTTAACCCGAACTAGAAACAATATCTACAATTTTCGCAATGTGACGTTTTAAAACCTCTTAGTTTTATAGAAATAAGTACTTAAGTTATTTTCGTAAAATATTTTATGCAGTGGGGATTAAAATGGCCTTGTTCATCTTTCATTATGGTAAATCGACTTTCATTATTAAAATTATTTAAATATTATTATATAATTTTGGTATCAATAGATCATTAAAATAAAATACTATATTAGATTAAAGCAGCAGTTTACAAAGAATATTCTTTTTTCGTTGCTAAAGATTCCTGAATACTTAAGCTTAATGACGAAAGGCAAAATAACATACTCGTTTCGGGTAAGACAGACTTTTACATTTTCCAACACTCACAGCACTCAATGTTTGGATGATTCGAGTGAGCTTCCAATATTCATCATTGGAATGAAACGTTTTGTTATAGAATCGCGTAGTAATAAAGTTTTGAATACTAAGAAACTTTTGAATCTTCAGTGCCATACGGAGCTTTAGATTTAGAATTAACATACCAATGGGCTATTTTGTCATTCTTTAGATATTAGATTAAGATGTAATATAACATCGGTGCAGTATGATTTTATTGTTATAAGAAGCGATCAAATCATATTCAAGATTATTATGAGGAAGTTTTGAGATAATTGCTTAATTGCTGAAGACTTCCTTCGATGATGTTTATCATATTAACTTAACTATTATTTCACTTCCGTTTTTTATTAAAATGTGGTAATTTATCAACAATTATGCATTTTTTTATATGAAATATTTTTTTAACAAACACCATCAAATTAATGGAAAATAGAGTCAGTAAATAAAAAATTTTTTCTCAATATTTCTAATATTTCTAATATTTCTGAAAATAAATAATAATGTCTGAATAATATTTAGCTCGTATAAAAAATTGTGGAATTTAAATAATAAATGGCACTCTTACGAGAATTTTTGGCAAATCAGATTAGTTAGAAAAATTATATGAGAAAGAAAATATTCAAATAATGATTTGAATCTATTACGAGCTAAAATCATAATTAATTTATAAATAATAGGCAATAAAACAATGAAATTTGCATCTTAAATGAAGTTATCTTGATAATTCTAAGATGTATACAATATCATATTATACTAAGGTGCTAATATGACAGATTAGATGATGTAAAGTTAAACCACGCCCGCCTATTACGATCCAATTAATTATCCTTGGAAATAGGCGGTTCATGATACTAAAAGACCAATGAATTGGAAACGAAGGCGTTCCTTGTTCAGTAGCATTGTTGCTCAAAAACCTGCGCCCCCGCCGCGCATTAATCGTTGATTTGTCCTAAGGAGGTCTTCTTTTTCACGAAGCTGCTTTAGGACAAAAAATTTTCTTTTTTTATCACATGCTCACGCCAGGATATCAAAATGCACTCTCGGAGAACGGAATTACCACTCATTTTGCCAGGTATGTTTTATTATTTCAACTCACATCGCTATCGGTTAGATGTTAAGAAAATTCGTCTGAAAACAACAAATTTCCTCTAACCATAAATTCAGATCCATATTGCCGGAATGTGGAGCAAAAGATATTGAAAATACTTCACCAACATCAAGTTATGCATCTTCAAATTATTATCAATATAGTTTACAACAGAATTATACTCAACAGTTTATGGTTAAAAACGGTGCATATATTTCTATTTTTTCTCTTGATTCACCATAAATTTTATGGAAAATAAAAAATCGCCACCTAAGACTAAGCTTTGCAACAAATAACCTGTATTTTATTTCAGAAGAAGATTATGTGTCGCAAGCGCCTTTCTGTTCTGATGCATATTTGCAACCAGCAGCAGATGCATTTATTCAGAATCCTAGAATATTTGAGAAAAATCAATTATCCCATGCTGATTATGATCGTAGTTTCATAAAATCTGATAATGCAATTTTCGGCCAAAATGCATATGGTACTAGTCCATTTGTTCGTCCTCATTACCCTCATTTCCCATTTTCTACTCATCCGATGACTTCTGCTACTTCTCGATTACCTACTCCTATTTTATGTCAATGGATAGAAGTTAGTGAAATCTGTTAATTTTAACAATATCAATGAGATTAATGTTTTCTTACTTGCAAATACATTTCCATTTCCATTTCCATTTATGAATATGCAATGAATTAATGGGCTAGTTACCTAACCATGGTTCACTAATAAAGGCTATCATAGAATATGAAAATTAAGGATCTTTGTTTGAAATATGTTTTGGCCAGCATCATATAAATTAACCAATATCAATATTATTCAACTGTAAGCCAAATATGGCAAATATATAATTTATTAATATCGATATGATTAGCTTGGTAAATTCAGAAAAATAGGATGTGCAATCGGGTTTTCTACACCATGGATCATATTGTATCGCACCTGCAACAGGAACATATTAGCAATAATGATTCGTCATTACATATTTGCCACTGGAAAGATTGTCCACGCAAGGGAAGGATATTTAAGGTTTCCAGTTTCTGTGTTCTAGATAAATTAGTTGATTTATTGTTTTATGTTTAGTAATTTAACTGATGATAGTAAGATATCTTATTTATATATAATTTATTTCAATTTTTGATCTTCAATTTTATAGGCGAAATATAAATTAGTTAATCATGTAAGGGTACATACCGGCGAGCGACCGTTTCCGTGCAATATGTGTGACAAAGTCTTTGCAAGAAGTGAAAATTTGAAAATTCACCAAAGGACACACACAGGTCCACATTTCCTTTTGTTTCGCAAACTTTAAATTTCACTTTAAATTTTTTCAGCTCCTTCGCTTTTTTTCTTTTTTCTGACAATGATATTTTTCTGGCAATGGTAATGATATGTGAAATGCTAATATTTTGTTTAAATATTAAGATTCCTTTAATATATCCAAAACTTTAATTCGTTTACATACTCCTCTGCTACTGTAATATTGTTGGCAAAAAACAATCATAATTAATTTTTTGATATCATCCATTATACTATAATCGTTTTAAATTTTTGGAATGGGCTTAATTGATAAAGAAATGATTATCTTGAAGTGACCATTAACCATTTTATTAAAGGCTAAAGGCTAACATATTTTTAAGTCAATTTTCCTTTATTAATCTCGTTCCAAATATGACTAAAATTTGCATAGCAATTTCGCCTTTCACCCCAAATTTATAGGAAATCCATTCTCTAACAATAATGGTGATTAACGTTAAATGTTTCCAGTATTTCAAAAAAAGCAATGCGAATTAAGATATTTTACAAAAAAATCCAAAATTCCAAGTAATTCGAATTGGAAAGATTTTGAAATTTTCCAAAAAAATGACACTAAATTGGATCAAAAAATTGAACAATAAAGAAGAGTAAAAAAGGACCTTTTTTTCTTAAATGTGAAACGATTACCTATCAACTACAGTAATTTCTTTTTTTCCTTCCATTTTGCGTCACAACAATTTTATATCATTATATGGAAATGATTTTTTTCCTTTAGTAATTCTCTAGTTATTTCTACTACTATTATTATTATAAGCGTACACTTATATAAAAAAAAAGCTCAGAGAAAGTGAATTTATATCAGCTAAATGATTGGCCTATAAGTATTTGGTCAACATTTACCATTTCTGGTTAGCTTCATTGGTCAATTAGAAATTTTCACCGGAGAGTCACTTGGTTTTGAAGAACAAGTTGGTGATTAGCATCATTGCTGCCAACTATCAAGTTGTAAATGATACGATTATGAAAGATGCAAAGTTTTATTCGCACTCAAATAGCTTGTTTTCTTAAAATTTTAGCTCAAATCTTAAATCTTAAGTTTTCACCGACTGTGACCCATTGAGAATTAAAATATTTAATAGAGTTTTTTCTTTTTTTTTTTAAATCGTATCATTTACAATTGATAGTTGGCAGTAAAATGGATAAAAACTCAGATTGAGATTTGTTTATATTAAATTTTCTCAAAGTCAATAAAATTTTCACTCTTGAATGCCTTGCAATTTAAAAAATTTTATACACATAAAATTAGCTGCAAAATTTAATATATATTATGTACTGGCCAACCAGAAACCAGAAAATAAAAATGGTGATAGATATAGCGGCACCAAATGACAAAATATGACAGGAAGAAAGGATATGAGAAAATAGAAGAGTCAGGACTTGAAAGATAAACTAGTGGAAAGTGAAGGTCAAAGTCCCTGCGATGGTAGGGAGCTGTGGCTCCTAAGCTAGAAAAGTCACTCCAAGAGATAAGTACGAATATTTCATATACATTTGCATATTTCAAACATCTTAGTTCAGCATCATCAGGATTAAGCCTGTCATTGAAATCCGAGTGGTGCTTGGGACCTCTACTCATGCTTATATCTCCGATTGACAATGCTAAATGTTTAATCCTGTTAATTTAATTATTATAGCAAATTGATTTTAACCAGAAACGATTGGTCTTCTTCAATTGCTTAATTATAAAATTATAAGCTAAATTCGAACAATAATGAATATTCAAATTATAATTTTATTATTAATCATTTCTTAGCATAGAAATAGTGCATGAATATTGCATGAATGTTTTTAACATTATTTACATTATTTTTCATGTATCGAAATATGTCGAATAAATAATGTTTCCATAATATAAATATTAACAGTGATATTCATTAACAGTGTTTAGCTCTTGTTTATAATGTTTATTATATTATCAAGTCTTCATTGTCTTTTAATGATGAATAATGAAGAAAAATGGGGAGAGAGAGAGAGACCATTAACTATCGGACTAATAAATCTATTGACCAACTCGATTATATTTATGGCGCCAAATTTTGACATACCTGACAGTTGACGTTCAATTAGTTGAAAATTATTTACATGACAAGGTGACATTTTGCAATCATTATAAATTTACGGAAAAACATCTATAAATTATCAGCTAAAGCGAGGAGGGCAAACGTGGACTGAAGCAGTCAGTGAAGAGAACCAGCAATACATGGACTTAAATGATGGAAAAAAAATGGATTCTAATATTATTAGCGATGAAGACCGAACAACTTGGAGATTCTTACTCTTGTGGCCATCGGTGCCAGTCTAACCATTAATGATGAGAGCAGCAATGACAATTAGAAAAAGAAGCTAAAAAAGTTATAGAAGGAGGATAAACATAAAGAGTCTCGAAATGAAAAAATTAATATCCTCGAATTCAAGTTTTTCGTATTCTGAAATTTCTCGAAGATTTCGTCTACTTTTTGTAATCGTAATATTTATCTTTTATCTTTTATACTCTTGGCAGTGAAAGAAGAAAAGAAAGTAAGATCCAGTCTTATGCGGATTTGCTACTAAGTTTGCTCCCAATGGAACAAATAGAAGTCGTTCTCCTGTACTAATCGAGTTTTTTATGTATATCCTATTTTCGTTCTATTTTAAAATTTTTTGGCAAGCCACTAATTTTTTCACCAAATTACTGTTTGAAATATTTATTAATGGCATTTGAAAGCGATTTGTGGTTTCCACTTATTTTCCAACATTAATCTTATTTCCTTTTAGCATTTTTCTCTTTTCCGTTAAAATTTGAGCGTATCCATAATTTCCATAATTTTATCCATATTATCCATAAAATCCATAATTTTTGTAACATTTGGGATATTACCATTACTAAATTTAGGACTAAATTTAGAAATTTAATAGATGTCTGTAGTCTACTAATTAAATTGAGAAGTTTTTTTAGAATTATTTTTAAACTTCATTGATTTTTTCTCTTTTGATTGAATTATTCTTCCACTTTTTCACGAAATTATTTTCTTTATATTTTCTGGATAGATCGGTTAAATCTGATTAACAGTTCAACTAGTTCAACTATAGAAGACAATAATTTTTCGCAATTATATTAGTTATTATTTTCGGGTGTTATGCAATTACATTTATCATCTAATAATTAACTTATTACTATATAATTAGACTAACCAGGTGAATAAGCAATGATCAGCTCAAGCGATTTTCGCAAATAGCACAATTATCCATCATCTTCTCCGTTAAATGTATAGTTAATCATACAGTATAATATAATACATGATTAAATTAATGTAACTATATAAAAGATTTAGAATAACAATTGTGGAAAATTTGGATGATAATTATGTAAACATATAAAAGTAGCAAATCTTGCGTTTAATTTGCATAACAATATATTTATGGTTTTATTCTTTCGCAAAATATCTATTAAAATTGCATTTCGTATATTTATGGCAGTTTTGACAGTTTCTCGCAGAATATTTGCATTCCTCCTTTTATTCAAAAGGAATTAATAGATTGAGAAAATTTGAGAATTTTTTCATTATTTCTCATTAGATAAGTCAAATCGATTTTAAATCTATTTTAAGTCTCGGAAATACTGTAGATATCAAATAAATGCATTTCGATCGACAACTAAAGACTTGTCAATTGGCGTTATTATTTTTACAAGATAGGACCGAACGTATAATGGTAGGCTTAATATACTAATTAATATGATTTCTAATATCTAATCCAAAAATTTGAGTAAAGTGGAATTAATAGAATGAGTGATAAAAATAATTTGGAAAATTAAACTGAATATAGTCATTCATATTTGATAACTTTTTTGAAAAGATGAAAGAAAAATAGAACACTAGAACAATAGGTTATGCACTAGATACAGTGAAACCTCTTGGATCTTCGTTTATGACTGATATTATTCAAATTTCTTGGATCGATTAATAGATTATTAATAGAGTGTTATGTTATTTCTCCCTCTGAATGAATGTCCGGAATGTTTCCAATTTTTCTATGACATATAAGAGAAAAGAAGAATTTTTCTAAATCTTTATTAATAAAGAAACGAAGAGATATCTATCTTATTATTATTACAATAGAATCTCATCTTAATCGAATTGTTTCATTTGCTATTCGAACATCATGAAGCCAAAAATGGTTTGAAGTGTGGATTCTTAATTGTTAATACCACACCTGCTTGCTTATTTCATTTAATCGCAAGTATATGGCTGTGAAAAATCAATCAAATCATCGTAAATTTTCTTTTCATTCTTCTTCTTCGTGCAATATACAATTTTAAAGTAAAATGTTTATTTTCTTAATAATTGAAAATATTTTTATTAAAATATGTTCTTCATATTTATTTTTTTAAATAACTGTGTCCGTATATATTTATTTTTTAGAATTCTGAATAGAATTTTTATGAAGATTTCTTCGAAATTATGCAGTAAAATATTTAGAAAATATTAGAAAGATTTTGCGCAAAGCATTTAGATAAAATCAAAAATAGGAAATTTAAAATCAGCTAAAAATTGATGTGCTTATTGTATTAAAAAATTAAAAATTCCGTGGTATAGTTTTAAAAAATTTCAAGAAATCTGGCAAAATAGATTGAACACTTTTTAATATTGTTTCTTGCATTTGAAATTTATTTATTCATTTACAAATGAAAAAATATAAAATAAAATTTCTCAAACCCACTTTAGTGCTCCATTTCTCGTTAAATTCCATCTACGATTGGAAACTTTTTCTAGGAAATCGCTTGGACAATAGGCGTACAGGCGAGGTGGATTTCTTAATGCACGGCAGGCAATCAAACTTATATTCAAGCAACTAAGCTATTCGACCATTCCTCCCACAGAAACTAGGTGCAGATGTAGATGTAAATAATAAATATAATAAATAGATGTAAATAATAAATAAATTCTTTTAAAATAAAATTCGTTGTAATAATTCGTGTTAGAAATATTGAAAATATTTATTCGTATTTTATTTAATATTTAGCATTTAATTAAAGCGCATCTTTTATTTGAAAAATTCCATTAAATGTAAATATTGAATTTTAATTTCAATTAGCAATCGTTATTGTATAAACTACCATAATATTATCTTTCTTATACAGTAGAATATAAGCATCTGCCGCAAACGTTAATTCACATTTCTCAAATCCGTTTAATGATTATGAATTCTTTGTCATCACATTTGGCTTAATGAGCCCACCATTTGATTTCATGAAATTTTTATGTAAATCGAAAAGAAAAGATGAACATTTCAGGCAATTATTTACTTATTTCTTACTTATTACTTATTGTTCAAAATAAAGTGAATCACCTAGAAATTTTTTCGCATTTATAGATGATCATCCTCATCTATTTTTTTAAAAAACGTAATAATATACTATACTTCAACAAAATTTTCGAAAAACCCTAATATCAAAAAACACCAAAAGGAGTGAAATAAAGCAAACAATTAGCTCTCACCATTTTTAGTTAGGCCAGCTGCGTTGGTTGTATGTTTAAGAATTATTGCCAGAGAATCACTTGGGCGATAGAAAAAGCTATCAGCATCGCTCCAATTTTTATTTTTTAAAACAATTTTCCTCCTGTCAAGGACAACAATGAAAACAAACGGCGATCTGAGCTATTGCCCACTTGCCAATTCTGCCAAAATGCATGAATACTTAGGAAAATTATTTAATTATTTTATCATTTATTATTAGAAAATTATTTTATCTTAAAAGTTAATTTTTTTGAAAACAAAATATAATTTTCATTTCAAAAATAAAAATTTTGTAGATATTATTGTTGGAATCGATTTTTTGATGTATAGAATATAATATTGTATATAATATGATATGTATATTTTTTCTCAAATTTTTTTTCAATTTTTTTTTTAAAATTTTTTCCCAGTGAACTGTATTATGCCGAACATTTATTGTTTATTAATCATTTTTCTCGACCAACAACAGTTTTTCAAGAAATAGGCGTTTTTTTCTTTGGAATATAAGAATGGTGCTTTTAGTTTGCTCATCTCCTCATGATATGGAACTTTTTGGATTTTTTTTAATAATTTGAATTTCCCAAAAGATAAAGGTACAATTGATTTCTCATTTACTTTTTGCATTTTCTGTTAACCAGTGACCAATGCCCAGTAAATTTCTTATTCTAATGGCCAATACTTATATCTTCGGCTTATTCTCTGAAACCTCTCACCTTAGATCAACTAAAATCTGCCAAAACAAGAAATATTTTTTTCTATATTGCGCTTTGCTAAAAGATGCCGTCATATTTTGAGGAACATTCACCTGCAATTTATTCCCCAGCCTAGTTAAAAAATATCCAGATCGCTTTGGAAATAACGTGATTACAATAAATAGGAAGATATAGATATGACGTAGATATAGCTATAGATAGCTATATATGTTGGAGCTATTTATTTTTCGTTTCAACGTTATAAAATCTGAAAAGGAATTTGAAGAAGACTATCTAAATGAAAAAGTGCATTACTGGAAGATTGCATGAGTAATTTTTTCAGTTAATTTACAAATATTCTTAATCTTAGTTATTCCAATAGATTCACCTGAACGAAATATGATCAGCACAAACTACTTATTTCAATAGAATTATCATTTAAATATCGTTTATTGAAGCAATATTTTAGGAGATAAACCGTTCAGTTGCACTCATCCTGGTTGTGAACGAAAATTTGCCAATAGTAGTGATAGAAAGAAGCATATGCATGTGCACACGAATGATAAACCGTATGAATGTAAAATTGAAGGTTGTGGCAAATCTTATACGCATCCTTCTTCGCTAAGAAAACATATGAAAGTAAGAATTTCTTATGAAATATATTATCAGTTTTTTTATTCGATTAAATTAAATCAATTTTTATCTTTTAGAAAGATACTAATATTCCAGAAATATTCCTATATGGAGGTGGTTATGATTTGAGTTTACTTAAATTTTCTATTATTTAAAACTACTCAGGATAATCTTGTGGTGTTTTAAACAAGATCTAACTTACAAGATTTAGTTTGGCCATATTAGCTTATATTGCTCTATTATAACTTCAACTTTAATGCACAATTTTTTCGTTCAGTATATCAAATCGGAATAATTTGCTGCACGATGTTGTTCTTGCCCAATCTTTGAAAGAAAAAATTCCAGTTTTGAAAGAAATTCTTACAAAATTATCTACAACATATTATTAGAAAAAATTCGCAGCCTTGATTTAAATTTCAATATTTTTTCTTTTTTTATACTTTTAGTTATTTTTTTTCTACCCACTTATCTAGCTCTAATTTATTTGTTATCATTAATTTCAGTACTTGGACTTGCGATCTTCTTGGTTTATATTTAAATAAATAAATAAAATGAACCAAATAAATAAATTTTATCTTAGTTAGTCAAGGTGCCATTCCTCTTCATTAGGAGAAAACCTATCCATCCTTAAAAATGAGACGTAGATGATCCTAGGAAGATCACATGTACTTCTTTCTTGAACTGGCTTCATGGCAAAAGGGTCTCATGCCAACAGCCAGTGGGCGGGAACGTAAGTGCTGTTAGAGAAAATGAGTTAAAACTAGCACGTAGTGTCGTTTGGACATGTAACAACAGTTGGTTTATTTCATTAATAATCCGGGAGTTTTGTATAGTGCTTGTGAAAACTTCAAAACTTTGTTTGTAAAATCAGATAGCTGAGGTATAAATTGAGGTTTTGCAAATAATAAATCAGTAGCACATATTAATTATTATAATAGTAAAAGAAGAAACATATATATATAAGTAATCATTTTGATGCTTAGCAGCAAAATGGATATTGTTATACAAAATGTTGAATTCAACGAAATCGGTTTTTAGTAATTATTTGTCTAATAATTATTTCCGAATGAACAGATTGTAGTCTGAGAGCAATTCAACACCATTATTTCAAATCATATATAAAGCGCCGAACAAAAATCAAATATAGTAATAGCTCGCTTACGTGTATATTTATATATATATAATATATATAAATTTATTGATATATTTATACAATGTATTGAATCCACAATCTACCATTGAATCAACTTATTTAATAACTTATATAAATTAAATGATTATAAATTATGGATAATTAATTAATTTTTGATTCATCTATTATATCCATAAGGAGGTAAAATAGCCGAGTGGATAGAGACTTGAAGCACCAATATAAGGCTCGCTTTAATAGAAATAAATTTGTTATTAAAAAATCCGAGTATTGTTCTTGGTCTTTTTCTATTTCTATCGTCAAATAGCCCACGTGAGAAAATTTCTACAGTACTAACAGCCTATCTGCAAGTGGTGAGTGCTAACCACTTGAATTGTTTTTTCACGATTTCTGGTTATGCTCATTCTACTGGTATCTAGCAAATTTTTGCCAGAGAGTATTTTACGATCACTTAAAAAGTATAGATGAGTGTCACCCGGATTATTTTGACTACAGCATATTCATATGAAACCAAGAATGATTTCTATCAACCCACCCACATGGGAAAAATTTATGAAAAAATTTGAAAGTTGAAAGAATCCTTTAAGAAGTTTAATTATGAATTGCCCAAATCAATTTGACAATTATTTGGTATTTTGAAATAATTAAGTGGGCACTCACCAGTTCTACCTAGACTTGTTCTATAAGTAGACTGAGACTTGAAATGATAATCAGCCAATTCATATTTTTCCCTATTACGATATTTATTATATTACTACATTTTCTTCTAATTGCGATCGTCATTTCTAGTCTAAGTGACTAGAATGTAAAGTGATTTTTCACCAGAGATTTAATTTGAGTTAGACTTCAGTATCATCCTGGTTTATCTAATGTTGTTGTTCTCTTATTGTTTTATAATCTTTTTTTTCTCGAAATTTTCTTGTTTGATACAATAACACGACCAAATTTTATTAGTGTTGCATTGTGATCGTTAACAAAATAAGTACGGTTAATCGACAAAAATGCATCAATTCCATTAAAAATCATGTCAGTGGAAATAATAGGATATCTAAGTTAAATATTTTCGAGATAATTTAACAAGTATGTTCGCTAATTTGTCGTCGATCAGTAGAGAGAAATCAACGAAGCAAATCTACCTAAATGCGTTAAACAATGATGGTTAATCTTATAATTATTTTCTGAGGTCAAATCTATCATTCCACTTAATTATTATATTTTATAAGACAGTGGTGAGATAGGAAAAAAAAATTTTTTCATTGAGCTGCAATGAAATGTAAAATTATAATTTGGAAATGACTGCATTATTGACGAAATTTCTTAATAAATTACCATATAATTTATGATTCAATTTGCGCAGAAATGTGTTATATGATCTCGTGGAGATGGGGTTTGGTTTGTGATGAGCAACAATCGACGGATCTTTTGGAAATCTTCTTGAAAATTAATAGTTATTCAATGGCTATTAATGTAGGTTATATAAGATATTCTGATAAACGAAAAACCGTTCAAAACATACATACCTTTGTTAGATCTTTGCTCCATTATAGCTCAAGCAAAAAATATAAGGACTGATTAGCGAAACCAAGATTTCTTGCACAAAAACAAGAATAATACTATTAGACCACTAAGCCGCTACAAATATATGCTGGGAAAAGGGAATTCATGAATCATTTAATCATGGGACCATATATCAGCGATATTGGGCGCATATTTTCATCACTCTATTCATTCTATTATTATGATTTGGACTATTTTTTAGTATCATATAGTCAAATTTTCCATAAATTTTGTCTATAAAAGCGATTTGTGGAAATTTTTATTCGTATTATATTTTATGGGTAATAATCATAATGAAGGAAATCATTGGTACGGTTGAATTATTTAAGTAGAGTTTAGATTGAAATATTACCGATAATTTCTCGGCTTCATTCACCAAGATTAATTTTTTTCCGACGAATTTTATTTTGAAATTATTTATTTTGAGAAACCATCACGCAATTTAATTATAATTATATAAATTATATAAATCCAGCCTGTAAAAGTATAAAAAATATAAAAGTATAAAAAATTCAGTCTGTAAAAGCGGCTCATAAAATAAAATTCGCTGCTTATGTGCATGCATCTTCTCCTGAAATAATACTGAGTGATTTTCTGCTTTCTCCATTTCATTTCATTTTAAGTAGTAAAATAAAACAATTTTTCTCATCGAGAAAAATGAATCATTTTGATTATTTTCGAATCAGTATTGTCGTTTAAAAGTCATATAATTCTTGCAAAATCTACAGTTTCTTTGACAGCGAGAATTTTCGTCGAAACAACTCCTAAGCATAATGAGTGTGCGTACTTTTAAGGAATCACAACTTCACGCGAGGGAGAGTTCAAGTGGCAGAAAAAAAGAGAGTAAGAGAAACTGGAGGTTGAAGAAGGATGAAAAAATAATTAATTAATAAACTTTTTCTTCATATTCCACAATGAACGAGCCAGTCAAAGCGAATAACGTGAAAAATACAAATTTCATGAAAGGCTTACTCCTACAGAAAATAGGGTTCGAAACTTCATAATTGAAGATAGAGAAAGTAATTAATTTTTTTTTGCATCCATATTTTTATGTTTAATACTGCTGTGGCACTTTAGGTTCATTTGAAAAATGGATCTCTGCTTTCACCTGATGTGATGGAAGGTAGTGATAGCACGAACACAACAAGTAGTACCCCAGCACCTGCTCAAGAGCGGAGTTTTATATCTCCGGAACAAGGAATAAGTCAAGCACCAGTGTTTAGCAATCAAAATTATCATAGGGTAAGTCATATGATTTTTATTCACTAAGTAATTAAAAATGATCTGCGATTCTCTTTTTCTTTCTTTCATATTTTTAAGGATATTTTTGATTTCAGCTGCATACACTGAATGGCTTTCCGCAGAATCCTTATCAAAATGCATCTTCGCTATCAGCCACAATGAGTTCTGCAAATTTTAGTTTTCATGATTTCAATGTTTACTCCCAGTTTCCTCAAAAAATGGCTTTCCATTAATTCTAATCTAAAATTTGAACATCCAATCGTGGGCAATGAAAATAAAAAGAGTGAAAAGAGCGGTGGACAATTGTGAGCTTTTCTTTTCAACTTTCTTTTCAACACTCATTTTTGTAGATTTATAGCTTTATGAAATAGAAAAAAGTTGAAAAGAAATTAAGTTGGAAAAAAATTGTTTTTTAATAAATTCTTATATCGAAACCAAATTTCCCAACAAATTTTGAAATATTGCTCAAATATAATTCGATAATTGTTAAATTATTCCGTTCAATTGTACAGTAATATTGAAAAATAAATAGGCTGAAAAACATCGTTAACAAAATTTTGCAGAAAAAAAGCCATAAATTTTGAAAGAAATTTGAAAATTTGACATGTAAGATATTTAAAAGTAACTATAAAACAAGTTCAAACCAACAAGTTAGATTATTGATTTAGGCCCTGAAAAAATTCTTTCAGAATTCTTTGACGTAAGATTAAATTTATTTCCCTTATTTTCTCTTGTTTTAAACTGCAAATTACGTTTCTACAAAGGCATTTGCCATTTTGCCATTCCGCTTTTAATTAAGGATACAAAAAATTTTTCGGAGATGCGAAATAAAAGACTCCTTCTTATTCTTGCAAGAACATTCATTCAAAAATTTTATCGGTTAAAAATTATAGGCTTTCTTTGTTACGCAACCCTCTTGTTGCATATGCAGTGCTAATGACAGTGATCATCATTTATTTTGGCCAAAAAATTAAGTTCGCAATCGGGAAATTTTTGAAAAAAATTTAATAACTAAATCTAACTAACTAAAATAACTAAAATTAATAACTAAAATTTTATGATGAATATAAAAAGTTAAAGAGGGAAGCGTCGATGGAACATGTTTTTTTTCAGAATAGAAATAACAGATTTTCAACGTAACAGTTTTGTTGGCTGATGGTGTTGTAATTTAGAGAAGTTATTATAACTTTTTATGAGTTTTTCATATCAAATCAAATAGTTGTTAGAAAAACGATGTGATCAAACGATGTGTTGCTTCGACTACGATCAACCTATTGGTTCTACCTGTTAATAGAAAAAAGAAGGTCATTAAAAATAAAATCCCGGCTATACTAGAGGTCTATACATGAATTTGAATCAGTGGAGCCAGGTAAAATAATTGAAATTTAAGTAGAACTCAGCGAATGCTAGTTGAATTACCGAAATTATTAAAAAATACCAATTGAATTTTCTATCCGTAACGATTTTTTAAATTGCCCATTCTTCATGCTCAATTAGTCCGAAAAATTACGATATCTACTGTGTTTCATTATTTGTATAATTGAATATCTGAAAAATTGCTAGAATGTACCATTACAATGAAGCAGTTTATTTATGAAACAACCAATATGTACAGAGCATAAAAAATAATGAAATAAATTCGATCGTTTTATTTCTCATCAAATTATTGGAAGTATTTTTAGATTTAATAGATTCAATAAAAATTTATTTAATGTGTCATCGTCCAGGTAAAATTATTCGACGTAACTGATTCAATTGCAGAAAACTGACGGGAAGGATTAGTAAGGAAAATTTGAGTTGCATGTTGCGAAAGAGGTCACGGTAGCCGAAACCGTGCGCGATGTAAAAGAATTGCTCATGCTGAGAGAAAATTCAACCATATAGCAATATTTGATGATAATGCTGCAACAAGTTGTTATCGGACTTTCATATAAAGCAAAAAATTGCTTGTACATATTAATTAATCCGTATCGTCATCAGTATTCCATTCAATTCATAATAACATTTAGAAATTTCAGGTCATACTTTTCCCTTTTGTATGAAGCGCCTTTTACAATCAGCTCATTTGTTTGTCGGCTATATTATATGTTGCGCTCATCAAAGTAAACATTTTGAAGGTTCCTTAACATGCTCTTTATAAATTAAAATCACTTAACCTTATTCAAAGTCCACAGTTTTATTGATATTTACTGATGTAAACGTAATTTTTATTTGATCTTTTTCGCAATATGCAATTTAAATTCGTATCTTTTTGTATATTTTAAATGTCCGAGTGATGCTGGAAACCTTTCTTTTCCGACCTCAGTTGACTCTTTGGAAAAAATTTTTAAAGGCCAATGTAGAGAAATATTGGATTAGCCATTTATCACTCTACCATATTGCATTTCGGGAACAAAATATGAAATAAAATAAAAATAAAATAATGTAATAAAAAAGGTCCCAAATAATTTTTTCCTGAAAATAATAAAGATTAAAATTTAAAAAATTAAAATTAAAAACGAAAATAACTCGACGATTTTCGAAAAATTATCGTTTCACAATTTCCGAAAACAATGAAACAAATTTAGGACAAGTGGAGCGTGCGTTTCATGATTCCAATGACAAATGTTGCGATGACGATGGTGACATCTAGAGCGGTTCGATTTGATGTGTCGTTAGGCCACAAAAGATTGATGGCAGTGGGAAAGTGTGAAGAAGTGAATACATCTACTATACATCAGTTCTATTCATGACGAGACCATTATTTCTACACGAAAGTTTTATAGAATTACAATCTCTGATTAATCAAGGGAAAAATGAATATTTAAACCAGCCACGCTATTTCTGCAAGAATATTTTTTTGAAATTATGGGAATCTACTGAAAAAATCGGTATGATGGAGAATATCGCTTGTGATATGCCACAAAAAAACTTTAGGCATTAAAAATGGGCTGGTGAGGATTGTCAAAATAAAGGAAAAAAATTTGCGGAAGAAAAGATAGTTTAGGAAAGAAGGAAGGGGGTCAATTTTCAATTGGTCAGGGGGAATGAATATTACATAGAGAATCTACCGAAGGCATGATTTTTCACAATTTTATCCAAAAAAATATTCCAGTCGAAAAAGAGTTTCGATTAAATTTACCTTTACTGATCTTTTGGGCGAAATCTTTCTCCCAAAATTTTAAATGAGTCCAAATGAGTTATTGTCTTCTCATATTTTATTGAATATTGTTGTTCTGTTTTGTTTTGCATTTTCAATTACTCCTTGTTCTGCGAATAGTTTATTTCTATTTTTGAATGTTTGAACCAAAAATTCGAGCACAAAGTATCGCTTGCTCCTGTTTGCAATAACGAAATGAGAATGAGAAAATGAAAAATACAAATATGCAAATCTGTTTTGGTCTGCGTCTGGTATCGTAAGTTCGATTCTTTGGTCCTAACAGAAGAAAACTTAAAATTAAAAAATCGGAGTGATACTGGTGAGGGCCCATCTGCACTTCTGCTGCCATGTGATCTCATGACTTCTAATTGTACTAACCAGCAAAGTGAGGTTAACCAGAAATGTTGAGCAACTTAATGACTAACCACTTGCTTGTTAATAGAACCATATTGAAACCATACAATATTAAATAATCTCCACATTGAACTTTCTCCACAGTTAATGGATAAACTATTTGACTTTGATTCGTCGAGTAACGCTTTTTGTAGTGAAATGAAATTTATGTCAATGTTTCCATCTTTGAATCATCTAAAAATGATTTCCAAATGACTTATTCACAATAAAACTTGAATTAACCATTCCATTCTATAGGATTTATTGTCATTAGTAATGGATTTAAGAGCGGTTCTCTTTGAAATTTTCAATCAAGCAATAATACAATAGTAAAATACCGCCGATAATTTTCAATAAATAACGTCCTACGTTTTCGATTACAACTATTTAACTTAATTGCATATCAGCATTGTCGATGTTTCTACTGGTTTTTTTTTATTGAAACACATTAAGATTCAAAACTGCATCAAATTACTAAAGGCCGAATCACGAAAGATTATAAAATAGGCCGCCAAGTAAGCTTAGCATCATCATTTAGATCAAAATACAAATCGAGAAGCATAGCAGCATAAGAAAAAGAGCCAGCAAATGGATCATCGGATTATCGCGCTGAGAAGTGAGGATTCATCGCCAGTTCGCCAGGAGCAAATATGTCAAAAAAATTCAAATGCTGTCCTGTCACTTGCTATTCTATCGTCAAATGATTTCCTCACAAAAATTTGCAACCGTAGCTGCGGAGTGGTATAAACTGGAAACTTTACTTATATAAAAAAATATATGTTCCTCAATTTGCAAAATATACACTGTGAACCCCTCATCTTTACAAATATACCAAGCGTTTTCTTTTTTTTTTTGAATCGGCTCTTTTCTATTAGAATTATATTTTGCGCCCACAAATCTTCAAAAACCTGGAATTCACGAAACTAAGATTGATGGATACAAATGTCGAGAAATCTTCGTTGAACATTTCATCGTATCAGTTGAAAATTCGTATATTCGTTAATTATCCATGGAAGAATTTGAACTTTACATGCTTTTTTGCTCAATATAAATCTTCATGCGATCATTCCTGAACATTTCGAATTTTTGTGATAAAGAAGCCACAAGCGATCAAGTTTATCGTCTCCTTTTTCATTACGCCTGTATTGTGGTGAGATTTATGAAGAGTGGGAAGTTCACCCATTATTTAAGCAAGCATGATTTTAAAATTAGAATTAATTAAATTAATGCCTGTTAAAGGACTTTAAAAGCTTTAAAAAGACTTGAAACGAGGAACGAGTAAAAACGCCATTGAAAATAAATCCAAATACTGCCAGAAACCTACCTACATCATTATTCCCAAGTGACTCTCTGGTGAAATGGTTGTCTCAGATGCTGACATAACCGAAAAACTAGGAGAGCGCAAACTGTTAGAAGAAGTGGAGCTACGAAAGGAACAAAATGCCAAATCTCTACCGTCCATATCCAATTTTTAAGTATCGAAATGCGGAAAGATATACATAAAAACTAAAATAATTTGAGGTTGAAATTTTGAAAGGAATTAAAAATGGTCCTCAGTGATGCTAATTAACGAATGATAAATGAAGTCAAAACTAAAGAAAGCTAGTGAAATCTCCGATAAAAAAATAGCTGCACTGAAGAGACAATATTTGAGGTAATATTCTAGTAATATTTGTTGGTGTAAAGTTTTTTACAGTGCTCCCATTTGCGAAAATTTTAAAATTTATATTTTCTTCATCTTCTTTAGCACAGGGGAATTTTGAATTTCGATGAAAATTTTTTCACAATTGCAAAATGAGAGAATTTATTTTTCAATCTGAACCATAGTTTTTCATTCTCTTTCGATGTCTGCTAAAATCGACTTTTAATGCACTGCGGTTTTCCTGTTGCCGTATAAAATTCATTTATATTGTTCATTTCATGCCCGTATGATCCTCGGTGGTCCGAGGTGCAGGCTTCAAACTTGTAGCCGGTTAGCGCCGGAGTGGTTCGATTCCACCTTGCGGGTGTCAGGGCTACACCATGGAGTCATTGGGGAGGGAGAGATTTATGTTGGGATTAAAAATAAAAAATTTGGAAGGAAAGAGAACTTTTCGCATCGTTAATTCGGAGTAGCAATCTGATCGAAGAAAATTTTCTCAAGTTCAATCAATACCAACATGAAACTGTAAAACTATAAATTACGACTTTACTAGATCAAGCAAGGAAAACTAAGCAAATTTCCTCGTTTTCAATATCACAAAATTACAAAAATAATTGTATTTCAAAAAAAAGAACAAATAACGAAGAGTTGAAAAACTATGTGACATGGATTATGCAAAAAAAGCAAATCTAAAATAAAATAAATTTCGTCCATTCTTCAACATAAACAAGAAATTAACAAAATTAGAAATTGTTCTTATAACCTAAACGATGTTCTGAATTGCCAGATTATATTTATCGTAAATTTGGGGTCAATTAATTCAATTACAATAGTTAAAAAACAAATGAAGGTACTTTTTGAAATTTTTATCTAAAAAAAATTAGCAAGAGTTATAAAAAAGACAAAAGAACAAAAATACTAAATTAACGGCCAGTCCTGACTCTAGCTATGCAACCAAATAAGTGAAGGAAAAGTAAGAAAAAGTTAACAGGCCGATTTCGTTGCATTTCCTTAATTTCAAAATATTTAGATTCTTTCACGTTTATCTTCATGATATTTTTGCAAAATTATCCATTTCCTAATATTTTTATATAATACCGATAATAAGAAATACAAAAATACACGAATAAAATTCGATTAAAATTCGAATTACAGTAATGTCTGCCATATATGATCATTTTTCAATTTTGGCAATTATATACATGCTATAATTCGGATCTCCAGTAACTTCCTTTTCTACAGTCATAAAATCAGGCAAACGAGGTTCTTCTATATTCCCCACTTGTGCTGTTGTATAAGTTTCCAATAACATCAACTGCTTTCCTCTTAGAGAAGGCGGCAACGGTGATTTATACACATCAAGGTGGAAATACTACAATTAAAAATAGATTTCATTATTCAGAATCAACAATTCAAAACTGACAATTGAAATTAATTGCAAACAATTTTAAAAATGTAAAAAAATTGCTTACCTGCTTACCGAACATGAAACAACGCCTTTCTTTATTTATTGCAGCACGACAACGATCTTCCATCTTTTTATAATTTAAATACTCTCGCCATGTCAACTGCATGCGGGTTTCGAACGGTTCCGGTGCATTATAAGATCGTGTTGTAATAGTGTAAGTGGTTCGACCATTCTGGCTTCGCGAACGTAATCGGACCTATAAAAAATAATTAACCAGTTTTTCGACTCTGGAGTTTGAAAATAGCGACTGCCGAACTGGCAAAATAATGGATTATCAAATATAAGGGTGCGGATGTGCAGTGACTTTTCATTTCGAAACTTTTATTTTTAAAAAAATCTTCAGTAAATAGAAGAAAAGAAAATCATTTTCATATTAAAATGAAAATTTATATATTATATAAAATAAAATTTCCTACTTGAATATTTACATCTTCCGTACAAAGATAACTGTGACGAATATTGAAAATTTCCGAACGAGGCATACGCAGCTTATCAACAGCAGCAATCAACCATTTTCGTTTCCTAAATTTCGATAATTTTGAAGCATTATGTTCTTTTGGAAAAAATTTAAAAAAATTTAAGCAAAAATGTAAATAAAATTGATAAAAGAAAAAAACAAACTTGCTGTTAAAGGAAAGGCGGTCTTGTGTGGGCAATCCAATACGATCACATACTGCTGCCACCAATCGCAAGATTTTGTCTTCAAACGATTTACAACCAACATTATCAATTACATCAACTCTTGGATGTCCTAACCAAGCCTACAATATTTAAACTTTGAAATTTTCTTATTTAAACTTTTAATACATTTACTGAATTTACTGAAGCGCAAAATATCTACATCAAAAAATTATTACCTATTATTAGTAATAAATGCATTTAACTTTTGACTAAAAACATAGCAAAAAAAGTAAAATTGTTGGCTTACAGCCTGCAAATTTTTTCTTTAATTTAATTTGTCCCACTAGAAGTAAGCTTCTATCAAGAAGAAAAATACATCTCGAGTTAGGTGATCTTGTTCAATTGCACGACTAGGACTTTCAAATCGAGCTGCATTGTTCGCTAACGAATAATATGCTACTGCTCCATCTGCCGCTGTTGTCATATGAATAACCTATAGAAATTTACCAAAGATATACTTTTAAAAGATATTTTAAAAATCAAGATACCAGTAAATATTTTAAATTGATGAATCTGCTATATATCTGCTACACGCTGTAAATGACCAGTCCACTTGCTTGATGGATCGAAATAATTTAGCCAAATAGTCACTTGGTATACAAGTTAATCCAACACAATGGAGTAATATGGCCTTGAGAACGGAGACGGCGGCTCGATTAGGCAAAAGGAAAACTATTCTGCCTTCTTCATAAAGCAACTATAGCTTGAGGGCTTGGGGAATGATCAATGAAGTGGTAAGGAATAGCAATGGCGTACCGGTTAAGAGTATTGTAGAACCGTTTCATAAGATGGAAAAAATTTTTTTAGGCCAAACTTAACCATGAAGCGCCATCTGTTGCCCCTTATATGGCTGATATGTTCGTTGAACCATACACTTGCAAAACTGAAAACCACCAACAGAAGAAATAATCTCCGTTATCTATAAGCTTAAGCCCAATAAGACTCCCGAAGAAGATGGTCTCCGGACTGAATTCTTCAAATCTTGTCCATCGTCCTTCATAACGCACCTTCAACAAATGTACTCATTGGTTTGGAAAAAAAAATATTACCACATTACTGGAGCAAAACAATTCTACTCCCAATTCTCAAGAAAGATAATAGGACATATGCGACAATTTACGAGGAATTAGCCAACTAGACGTCTCAACGAAAATTTTTCCCTTTTACTCAACAGAATTATGGAGATACAAGACAGCAGGATGTGCTCGAATCAAGCTGGATTCAGACCGGTTGAGCTGATGAGATATTTACATTAAGAAGGGTGAAGGATAGAAATCGCTTTAGATATTTGCAATCCACTGTCACGTGTTTCATTTCCGGCTGCCTTCGATTCAATTGATAGAACGGCGATGGGTGATTGCACATGTTCCAGAGAAAATTATTCTACTTATAAAGGCATTTTATGAGCGTTTGTCGGCGCAGATCTGTGTATATGGGGAACTAAATAAGAACAGATTCCCTTAAATAAGAACTGGTGTTTGTCAGGGCTGTATTCTTTCCTCTACAATATTCAACTATTCAACTACGCGATAGACTGGATAATGGACATAGCATTCAAGTGGTATACAAAATCAGTCCAGAGCATTGAATCACAAACCTTAAATACGCTGATGATGTCCTTTTTGCTGACGTTTATGACGAAATGCAAATAATGCTAACTGCAGCGAGAATTGGATCCAAGGTCAATGTAAATAAAACGAAAATCTTTCGTCTTATGCACAAAAAGCTGATAAAATGCCTCTTTTTAAATTAATTGCTGGTTGACGAAATGCTCGATTTTATATATCTTGAATCCACTCTAGTACCGAATGGCCAGACAAAAGACGATATTACAACATGGATTACCGCAGCTAGAAACGTGTTCTTCGGATTGATGAAATCTTTATGGAATCGTCGCGATATCACCATAAAAACGAATGTCCGCATCTATATAGCCGTAATTCGTTGAATCTTGTTATATGGCTGCGATATATAACCAATGAAAGTGGAGGATATTAAGAAATTATCTGCCTATGACCACTAACATCTAATGTACATTTTATGCCGAGTGGATAGAATCTCACATGGTCGCATCCTTCTTCATTCAAATACCACTTCCATTCTGTGCCATCACAGAGCATCGCTTTCATTGCTTAGGACAGACACGTTCTTCGTCGACCACCACAAGAGTTGATGCGTAGTTCATTACTTGCTAAACCCTGTGATGAGTGGCATCAAAAAAAGAGGTGGGCCAATTAGGACCTAGACTGATACGGTCAGAAAAATATAAACGGTGGACCAATAATATATAGACTTAGACGATAGAAAAAGAAATGGCTTCTATTACTGCCGATGATGGCCGCGCAGCTTGGAAATGCCTCATCCTTGTAACCAGTGGAGCTAGCCTAATCAGTAATAAGAGCTGTTAGAAGAAGAGTCCTCAGCATCACTAGAAATTCTGAAAGTCCATTTTTGCCCGGCACAGAACCTCAGTACCAGCCTTTAGAAAATGAGCAACAAATCAATGAGCCATTCTACCTCCTTTTGTTTACTTCGACGATGTGTTGGCTGGATTCGAATCTATGTCATTATCGGTGACAATTTCCTTGCCCACTAAGTAACGCTTTTCTATCCAATTTGAATTAATTGCAATAAGTTTGCATAATTATTAAAAATTGAAATTTTAATAACTTGATCATATCTCCCTTCTCTCAAGCTAAATTGATCGAATTTTAGTTCGGCAATTATTTTATTCCACAATTTCGAATCCATATATGCAGATGGATCCATAGCACCTCGATCACATATTATCAGAATACGCTCATGCGTGCACAATTCTGCTTGCTTGAAAAAAACCTGAAAAAACTGAATCATTTGTTATAATGTTATAAATAATTGAAATATTGAAATATTGCACGCATTAAGTAGCTGATCATGAATATTTATTTGGTACATGGCTTGGACCCTGTCAAGACCAGATGGGCCAAGATTTTGCCGGATTTCTTTATCCAGACAGATAAACATATATTGCCAATCAAGCAGATACCATGGTAGTTACAAACAAGGACCATAAATCAGCAATGGTGATAGTAACACCAAGTGATAGGAACGTTGGGAAGAAGGAATATAAGAAGCAGGAAAATATCAGGAACTGAAAGAGGAATTAAAGTTATGGAAATTGAAGGCTAAAGCAATGCTAACAGGACTGGGACTATGACCTCTAAATTAGAAAAATGGCTTCAACAGATTACAGGAACAAAATACGAGACCTCTTTCCAGAAGAATAGCAGAAGCCTCAAGCTCCGAAGCCTCTGGGCCTCTAGTACATGATACGAGAATAAAAATGACTCACATCCACAAGAGATAAAGGAATTTATTGATGTAAAAACCATAGAAAATGGATACCTAAATGTTTTATTCCAGTTAAAAGAAAAGAATAAACGAACTGATTCAACTGTAAGTAAAGTTTTAAGCAAGTCCTTCTGAAATTCATATGCTTGTTTTGCAGTCAATTCAGCAAATTTAACACCGCCTTTCTGCAAAATTGTTGCAGTTTCTGGCACAGTAAAAACTTTCCAGCCAAGTCCTTCGAAGAATGTCCTCAGACGATCCTGTTATTTAACTATATTACTAAATTATAGGAGCAAAATTACCGCATATAAGCAATTAAGCAATTTAGCGATAAGAAATTTGCGGTGTTTGTAATATTTTCAAAATTCGGAATTTTATTTATTCAAAAGAAACAAGAAATTATAAGAAAATTTAAAAAATAAAATTTTTATGAAGAAAAAAAATTAAAAGGGTACAAAGGTACAAATATTTAAAATTCGTAGAAAATGGATAAAGAGATGCAAAAATAAAATTAGAATAAAACGAGAATTAGAATTTAAAAAAAACAGTCAATAGCCACAATTAACTGATGTTAATAAAATTAATTATTTAACAATATTTGATATGATATTTGATACAACTGCATTTACCCATCATCGGAATCATAATATGATAGGAATAAAACAATAGCAATAAATAGCCTCTTTTCACCAATTCTTTCTTTCCCTTCCTTAACCTGTTCATCTGCTTTCTTACGACTAGACAGGGATTTAGGTCGAATAATCGACAAGCAAAGTTACATTTAATAGTATTTATCTGGATGGCAAGATAGCTACGTATGATTTGTATGATTAATAATTCAGATTATCGCATTGAAAGTCAATTTGGCTACAGAACTGGAAATCGCTAACCACTTTTCCCCACCTTTTTTCATCACTGACTTGAGGTTAGACACACTAGCCGAATAATTGTTGCTCAGATTATCATCTCAAAATCTGCATCCTGTTTCAGATAGCAGCGACCCGTTCTCGAAGAATGGTGAAGACAGTGCTGAAGACCTGGACTCTCTTATCGCTTCTATCCCTTAGTGACTAATTTCCGGGCAAAAACGTAACAGCCAATGAAGTGAGTCTAATCAGCCTCACTCCATTAACCAATTTAACCAATTCAAGTCCTTCTTCTTCTTCTAACAACTCTCACCATCACTGGTTAGGCTGGCTGCAACGGCTACAAGGGTAAGACGGCGCGGTCTGATGCCATCATCGACAGTAATGAAAGCAATTCCTTTTTCCATCGTCTAAGTCCATATATTGTTGATCCACCTATACGTTCAAAATCTTTTCTCACCGTATCAGCCCAGGTCTTGATTGGCCCACCTCGCTTTTGACGCCAATCGTCACGGTTTAGCAAATAACGAAATATGCGTCAACTCCTGTGGTGGACAACGGGGAATATGCCCTAACCAGCGAAGGCAGCGCTCTGATAACATTATTTATGCAAGTGGTATTTGTATTTGAATGAAGATGGACGCGACCTTGTGATATATCTTATCCGCTCAACGGATCTGTAATATGTACCTCAGACAAGAGTGATCAAAGGCATATAACTTCATAATATCCTCCACTCTCATTGGCCATGTCTCAAAACCATATAGTAAGATCGAACGGATCACGGCAACAATATAGATGCGGACTTTCGTTTTTATGGTGATTTCACGACGATCCCATAAAAGTTTCGTCAACCGGAAGAACGCATTTCTAGCCGTGATCCGAGTTCATATCATCTTTTGCCTGTCCATTTGGTATTAGAGTGGACTCAAGGTATTTGAAATAAGGTATTTCCTCAACCAGCAATGAATTTACAAAAAGAGGCACTTTATCAACTTCTTGCACATAAGACGAAAAGCCTTTCGCTCTATTTACCTTGATCCTGCGTCCAATTCTTGATGCTGTTTCTGACGTTATTTACTATTACTTGCATTTATAACAGTCAGCAAAAAGGACTACATCAGCGTATTCACTATAATACGATGCTCTGGACTGATTCGGATACCTCTTAAGTACCGACAAGCAGTGTCCATTATCCAGTCTATCGCATAGTTGAATATTGTGGGGGAAAGGACGCAGTACACCTGTTCTTATTTCGAAGGAATCTGTCAGCTCCCCATATACACAGACCTGCGCCGACATGCGCTCATAAAATGTATTTATGAGTCTAATGATTTTCTCTGGAACAGCGTCACGTTCCATCACCTTCCAAAGCGCCGATCTATCAATTGAATCAAAGGCAGCCGCAAAATCGATGAAATACGTGACAGTGGGTTACAGATATTTGAAGCGATGTCCCACCTTCTTAACGTGAATATCTGGTCAGCATAACCGCGCCCCGGTCTGAATCCAGTTTAATTAGGGGGCATCCTGCTCTTTAGGGTCTCATAATTCCATAAGTCTGTTGAGTGAAAGGGAAGCAAAAATTTTCGCTGAAACGTCTAGTAGGCTGATTCCTCGATAATTGTCGCAGTATGTCCTTTCTTGAGAATTGGGAGCAGAATTGCTTTGCTCCAATTATCTGGTAATATTTCATTTTTCCATACTAAAGAGTACATTTGTTGAAGGTGCGTTATGAATGACGATGGAGAGCATTTGAAAAGTTCAGATCGAAGACCGTCTTCTCCTGGAGTTTTATTGGCCTTAAGCAGCGCTTAACTAAAATTAAATAATGGATAACTAAAATTATTTCTTCTTCTGTTGGATGCTCGCAAGCGTATGCTTCGGCAAACGTATCAGCTATATCAGGGCCAACACATGGCGCTTCATGGTTAAGTTTGGCCCCAAAGAATTCTTTCCATCTTAATATTTTTTCTGCTTAATACTTTTCTTAATACTTTTAATTAGTACGCCATTGCTGTCTCTTACCATTTCACTGATCGTTGCCCGAGTCATAGTTGCTTTATGAAGAAGGCGGAATAGTTTTCTATTGTCGCCCAATCGAGCCGCCACCTCCATTCTTGAGGCCATGTCACTCCAATAGAGATTTCTATCGCCTTGCTGCTTTCGTTGCAAATCTTCGAAGCACCCGGTAGTCAGGATCACCTGACATTCGTGCTTTGGCAGCTTTTTTAGACAATTTGCTTCCGATACCCAAGTAGCGCACTTTCTACTAATATACTCTAGCGTGGAAGTGGCTGATTTTCGGAGACATTCCTTTAGATTGGACCAGTATTCACTTGCCGTTCCAGAAAAATCATTGATATTGAGAAGCTTCAATAATTCGGTTTGAAATGCGCTCACTGTCCCCGATTTTTTAATTTGAGATAGTTAAAGGAACTTGAGGATGCTGTTTTTAACGAGTTAATTTAACGCGGATCTTGGCTCGAACCATAACACGGTCAGATCCAAGAAGATTGCCCGTTTCAGCTCCGCGATAGGAACGACTATCTAGTACGGAACTCTTCCAACGGCGACTGACTAAAATATAATCAATCTGTTGGTTGTTCGAGGAGTTCCACGCGTGACTAGATTTTTTCTATGATACCGGAAGCAAATATTAGTAACAAAAATTCATACTCTTTGGCATAACGAAAAAGGCGTTCCCCATTGACACACCGGTCTCCGATGCTATATTTGCCAATTGTTGAGGTCATTGCAGTCTCCCTCGATTAGGATCATGTCATGGTAGAGACTTTGTTGCAGTTGAAGTTCCGCATGGAACATCTTTATCTCGATTATCTGCCGACAAAGTTGGAGTATAGACACTCATGACCGAGATATTGCAGAACTTACCCTTAAAACATAAGCCATACGGTCGTTTACCGGTTTCCACTCAATCAAAGCGGAATGGGCCTTGTCAGACATGACAATCGCTACGCCATTTCGTCCCGAGTTATTCGAAGCACCACAGTGATATAGCCAGTATCTCTGCTCTGAACCAGGATAATTGCTCGAGACCCAAAGTGAGGAAGACGTACTTCCGACAAGCGAGGTATTAGCCGTATCAGCGATATCCACACGATACTTAGACAGGGTGTGGACAGTGATCGCTTGGCTTGCAACGTCCATAAGCATTCTGACATTCCAAGCTGATACGGCTAATACCTCGCCGCGCGTACAGAAGGCTGTTCCCCTTGATAGGTTTCGAGCAATTACCCTGGCTTGCGAGCATATTTTATTTACCAGCCTTGGATCGCTTTAAGCCCGGATTGTATACTTATCGCATGTACCACCGGACTCGAAGTCGGGAGACGCGGACGCCGTACCAAGTGTATCTGACCTTTTCACCATAGAGATCACTTCACTTGGAGATAGAATTACAGGTGGTCCCTAGCAGCTACCCGGATTTTTGACATAATAGCAGGCTTACTCTTGCCAAAGACAAAAAAAAAATAAATCTGAAGAAAATGATAAAATAGACAATGAAATTTGAAAAAAAAATGTATATATGACTATATGTATATATATGAAATATATATATTATTTATACAATTTAATTGATTTGATTCAATTTAATTGATTTAATTTTAATTTATTTTATTTTAATTTTAATCGTTGATTGGTAAAAAAAATTAAAAGTTTAAGAGGACTTAGTTGAATTGCGATCAGAAATGAAAAACAATTCACAAAAATAAATCGAGAGTATTTTTTGAAACGACCGCTCAACAAAGATTTTTTCAGTAAAATCAATAAATTCGATTCCATATAATAATATATTCTTGTCGAATTTTTTAATAAAATTTTCTTTTACTGAGGAAGTGCAGAAAGAAAAACAAACTTGTCCAGTTGTTTTACCGCCACACGGACCTCCAGTTAATACGAGTTTATAGATTCGACGCTTTGATTCTAGTTTTGCACCGTTTGCAGCCATTCGAAGAATAATTTCCGATATTCGTCACTAAAATTTGTGATTTCTTTGTGAATCAACTGATTGACTTTCACCTAAAAAGCGATGAATTAAAACTTAAGTGAAATAAAATTAAATAAAGTAAGAAAAATATTCTGAAGAAAAATGAAGAAACAAAAATACGACTGGCATTTGCCTTTCTCTCATGCTGTAAACAAAAATTACCGCAGATGGCGGGGTTCTGGTCGAGTTCGCCATCCTGCTTCCTTTCTCTCATTCTGTAAGGAAAGTACCACAGATGGCGAGGTTTGGGACTGAAACTATATTATCCAAAAATATTAAACACCGCAATAAATCATTGCTGGAAGTAGTAAATAAAACAAAGGTTTATTTGAGAAAAAAGCCTTAAAGTTCTATGTAAAACGGCTATAAAACAAAGTTTAGCTAAGCTCCAAGGCCGAAGGCGAAATTAACACCTAAAACTTATGCAAACAAATGCAACTTGGAAAAAAATAATAGTCAACTGCGGCCGATTTTTAGCAATGGAATTGTGTGAGAAAAGCAAAAAAATGCTATGTTTCTAGGTTTTCTTTGGTGTCATCTTCTGACGATGGAATTAAAATTTTTTAGATAAGTTTAGAAGAATTTTTTAGATGAACTGTTTTGGAGGATAAGTTTTAGTGAAAGTTTTCTTATTTCCTCTTTGCTTCATCCGCTAGGCTTAGGCTTAGGCTTAGGCTTAGGCTCGTTGCTGTTTGATAAGGCTGCCAGTGACTCGACTTTGGCAATTCTGTAATGTTCTATATCGTCTGACTGCAAGTGGCATTTTTCTGTTGCCCATTCGGATACCATAGGTTGATTGTCAGCCGATTAAATAGGTCATTTAAAACTACAAGAGCGCGGAAACACAGATGCCCCAGCGGGTCCCAAAACCACTTGCATTTTTCTATTGACAAGTTTATTCTCATAAGAAATAGGGAACGAGTCTCAGTACTTGTGATGGTACCTCAATTTGAGAAAATTGCGGAAAAAATATTACCTAAATAACTTCAAAAGGTCGACAAAAAATTGAAGAAAGCAATGGAAATTCTATATTTTATTTATAGTTGTACAAATAAAAGCAATTTGCAATTATGTTACATTACGCTTTCTTTTGCAATTTTTTGTTAGGCTCGTTGCACAGGCTGATTAGCAGAATGAGGCTTAGGCATTAGAGAGAGTGACTTGGAGGAAAGGATGGGCAACACGAGGAATGTTAATGGCAGCTCACTCCATGTACTCTGACAGCGATGAACTGCGACTCTTGAGATAATTTCGACAGAAACCCGTCGGTTATTGTACCCCACTTGGTTTCATATATTTGATGGGTGAAAGAATCGTGAAAAGTTCTTATTAGCGAGAAAATGAAGATTACAGCTGATAAGTTGGTTAATTGAAAATCTAATATAAGGAAGTGGACATTGTGCATGGGAAAGATTAAGCGAATATTAGGGTCCATCAAAAAAAACTTGAAATTGAGGAAGCGATATTTTTTTCTTTTCCTCTCCTAGCAGCATACTTGATGGCTGCACTGTTTACTTCGAGCGTGCCACGACGAGAGCCAACAACAATTGCGGTGTAGTTGGGTCTCTAGTATCGTCTCGGATTTCAAGATCCACAACAAGTTTATTTGCGCCAAGGGAAAAAACCGAGCTCATGCTGTTAGCCTTCATAAAAAGTGTTATGCCATTTGATCCTACTGCTTCTCAAATTTGAACTTAACAAAACCATATTTCTCAGGATCTCTTTAAAAGCTGTAAAGAATTAAACTAATTTCATTTCAACTGATAACCATAATTCTTTCATCGCCGAATGGCAGTCGTAACGAGAGAAAAGCCAGAATAAGTGGCGTCTTTCATTAATTTTTGATATTTTAGGCGGAATCTACAATATTGTTGTGGAATAGCTAAGTTGAGTTTGCAATTATTTGGGGTTCAAAACAAACAAACGCTGTTTCTCAAGTATTTCTTTAAGTAAAATCAACATTTTCTTTCTTTGCGTTCCACAACATTTGCGTTTTTGTATATAAAAATTAAAATGAAAATGTTTATTTTCGTTTGAGTAGAGTAAGCAAAATTTAGCGATTTTTAGCCCACTAGTGATACTAATCTTCCATGGAACACAGTTGGGGAACTAATTAATAATTCGGATTTTCTGAAATATCGGCCAACTACGATATGTAAAACGATCTTATTCAGCTCAGTCTCCTTACCAAAACTCCATCGTCGATTTCTTATCCGAGAATAGAACTTCATTAATTTCGTTGCTGTTAATAAAAAAGTTTCGCGTTGTAGATTCGACAGTTTCAATTTAAACGTCTCAAGCAGATAAAATAGATTCAGCCGGTTCAAAATACTTCAAATAAACTGGAAGTTGGAGCAATTTTCAAATCGTTGGCTATTCGAAACCAGCAAAATCTTACATCACTTCATTTTTCGTCATTAACAATTGTTATTCAAGGATCAGAAATGTAATTTTCCCTGCTTTTTTAACTATTTATTAAACAAACATTTGCCCCCAGTAAAAAAACTAATGCTTAGAAATTGGAACAGACTTTTTAAGGTTTTTGCCATGTAAATTTAGGTATATATTTAATAACAAGTAAATAAGTGTTTAGTGCTCATCACCACAGGTTAATCTAAGTTTATAGGCTATTTAGCACGGTTAGAAAGGTGCTGATGCAGAGACATTTAGCGACAGAAATATAGATAAATCGCCAGCATTATCCGAACTTTCTAATAGATCGTACCAGAAAGGAATTGAAACTTCTTAAGCGACAACCTGGACCATTGTCCACTCGTTTATTTTACCCAAAAATTTTATTAGTTGAAGATCACTAAAATTTCTGAAAAATTGAAAAATCCATGCATGCAAATTCATTTATTTTTACTAAATTCAAAAACTGAAGAAATTATTTATTTGAAGAAATATATAATTTATAAATATATAATAAATATATTTGAAGAAATGAGATAGCCGAGCGATATACACTGACTAAGATCAAGTGATCACGGTTTTCAATTTCAATATCTGTAACTTAATATAATCAAACCTACCAAAACTAAAATTGAAATTTGGATATTGCTGACGAACCATTTATAATAATATTTCTATGTGGCTCTCTGGCGAAGAAATGTCGTCTTAGTACCGCCAAACCAGAAAAGGAATCAATGCCGATCTGATTTATCTGATATTTACATAATGCCATTTGATTATATTATATTATTAAATTGTATAAAATTCCACGACTTCCGTTAAATCTGAATCGCATTCAAAGATAAGTGAACCTATTTGTAAGGTTAAAATTATTTTTTTTCTCGGAGTATTCCACATATTCCCGTTCAACATTCGAAAGTTCAACATTTTTGATTAGGTTAGCTGACCTAGTTGCACTAATTTTTGCTAAGGTTTCACTTGGCAAAAGAAGTACTGGTGAATGGCAGTCAGCACCATTCCGACTTTGGCAGAAATGACGGAAGAGGACTTTTGCGTTCAGAGACAACAACAACAACATTCCATTTTACACCTGCTAGTACCAGTACTGGTGTATTCCATTTTAGACCTGCTAGTACTACCAGTACATATTGCAAAGATAATTTTTGTACCATCAGAACTAGTTTTAAACATAAACAAAAATTATATTTTGAAATGAATATTGCCTCTCTTTAATCTACTTCTACTTAAATAATATTAATTCTAATATTTACTATGACATAAAAGCATCATTGTTTGAGATCCAAGAAAAAGGAATTAGTACAAAATATAAAAAAATATCAATGATTAAAATAAACATAATTCCGCAGGAGGTGGTGCGACTGGAACCTTCCCAAGATCAAAGTCATCTTTTTTAAACTGCAGCAAATCTTCAACAGATAGACAGTTGAATTCAGAATAACAAGATTTTGATGCAGCAGGAATCGATTTCGTCAATCTATAAAGTAACTCATAATTTTAAAAAATGTGATGGATTTTCTTTTGGAAAATTATAAAATAAATAAAATCAATATTTACTGCTAATGAATTTATAAAAAAATAAAACATACGAATTACTATCCGTATTTCCATTTTCATACACTATAACTTGAATACGTTTTTCATCCACAAATCTACAAAAATAATCATAGATATAACTGCATAATACTGTTTTGTTTTAAAAATGCTTCGAAATAATGAAACGGATTCCTAAGCACATGAAAAAAAATCTGATCGGACAAAGTGATGCTGAACTTAAGTGTAGTTAACGTAATGAATAACTTAATCGAGTTCCAATAAAAATCTAAATAAAAGAGACAATCCATATAAAAACATCGTCTTCCACCTTTGTAGTAAATCGAAATAGCGAAATAGGAAATGAAACTGATAAGCATAGAAATGCCGATTACGAATGAAACGACATACAATGCCAAAAAATTACTTTTTCAAATCATTTTGCTGTAATTTCATTTCAATTTCAGTTTGTCTTTTGATATCATCCATTCGTTGCTGTGAATTCAAGCCGCTTTAAAAAAATTTCAATTTATTGTTAACAGAAAATATATTTAGAAAAGGATTAAAATTTATAAATAATACTTATTTTTTTCCTTTTCGACAGCTATATTTTCTATATATGCCTTTCTATTTTCCAGCAAAAATGGTGAAATCCACTTAAATTGGCTGAAAATCACCAAAATGAATTCGATAATATCAATTTAAAACGAAAAAATAACATATTCATTTCTGCTTGATTTTTCAATAATTATTTGAATAATTTAAGCAAATATAATTAAAGAAATTAATCAATAATTTAATCGAATTACAATAAAATAAATTTTACGAGCTCTGATAAGCATCACTGGCATTATCAAACTTCAGTAATAACTAAATTAATGCTTTAATGAATGCTTTAATGCTTTAATGATAAAGACCCAAACGAAATTCTTTTTTCGAAACATTTTTGAATTTTAAGTGATTAAAATCTTTGACTTACGATGGTTTATAAAATTGAAACGGTTCATCAGGTGAAACGGCCGGAATTTGATGAAGAAATGAACAAGAATCACCATATCGGCAAAATCCTCGTAGATAAAACTTGCACAATCGTCGATTCATTTTACAGCTAAAAGCGTATTTGGTTAATTACAAGAGAAAAATTTTTTTGTCGGACAGCGCTCAGTACTTCCGGTTAAGCTCGGTCTGCAGGCTTGTTGGACCACAAAGGTATTGCGAGAGTCATTTGGCGACAAAAATATAGGTGAATCACCGGCATGGGCCGAGTCCCAGCACCGATGCTCCAATATAATCCGTTGAGCCATTCTACCGCTTAAATAACCAACAGCTGCGAAAGATAAAAGAAATGTAAAATCATAAATGATTATTTCGTCACCACCGAACCACAATAATAATGCAAAAAGTAATTTTATAAAGATTTAATTTAAAAATACAAAACAATATGAGTGATAAAGATGAAAAAAATAACATTGCTAACACCGTTCTTTTGCTTCCCATTATTACCTCTTTTATCGTTCAGCACAAAGCCTCGTGAACTATTTAAGATTTAGTTAAAAATTTCATTGAATGGTGCAGGAAATGGAAATGGAACGTAATGGAAATATAAGCAGAAAATAGTATTTCTGATAGCTCAGACTTCGGCTTAGAAGTGATTATCGCTAAAAGCCAAATGAGCGTGGAGCGTGGCGTAGAGCGATGGAGAGAGGAGAAAAGCAGTCGCTGACTGGCAAAATAAATTTTAAATTATAAGAAAGGAGAATAGAGAAGAAAGAAAACACAGCAAATAGTTGCACCTCGAATTTCGTGTTCGATTAGAAGAACTTTGAATTTTCACCTCTCAAACCTTCTTTTTAAAGTCCTCACCATTATTGGCATAACTCTCTCCGCTGGCTTGTCGCACTGGACAAATACGCCAGGCTGTCCCTTGGCGACAGAAATGGAGGTGAGTCGCCAGCATCACCCGCATTTTTGTAAAGGTTTACTCCTGCGGGGAATCGAACTTTCAGCATCGGCACTGCGAATTGAGCAACAACCCACTGAGCCATTCTATTCCTTTCTACCTCTCAAACCTAAAATTATTTCTTGAAAATTTACAAAAAATTTCAATTTCAAATCCACACAGTCAACGCTTTTACTGTTCTTCACCAGCACCAAACGCCTCAGTTCATAGACTTCAGCCGATCATTAGTGACCAGTTTATACCTATAAATGACCACCCAGGCTAATTACTACAACCACTCTTGCTTTGGCTATTAACTGGAAAATCGACACCGTGCCACATCCTCAGCGCTGCAACGCCTCCTTTTCATCTTTGACTGAACCAGGAAAATGCTGTAAGAGTTGTCGAAATTTCAAAAGGCTCTGATTCTTAGAGCGATAACTATCGTAATTTTTAGGTGGATCGGAACTTTGATTTGGTTTCTGAGGTCATTTCTTATTGAAGCGTTAAGTTCAGGCGTGTTGTTAGGACTCGAGTGTGTGGGGTTTGGTGGGTGTTGATCGGGCTAAAAGTTTTGTACAGGCAGTCGCGTGACGAGTTGCAGTTGGGTCGCTAGCCTGACCAGTCTGCTCCTACGGAGCGTTCCTTTTTAAGGTGCCATTACGAACCACTCTGCCATGCTGTCTTCCTCTCTCTTTTTCCTTCTAAAAGTTGTCATCGTCATAATTTGCAGCGATGGTTCGTACGCCAGAATGGCCTGACGGTATGTTGTGCGTACTAATATTGGTTCAGTGATTGTCACTTGTCAGGAGTAAACTGAGGCATTGCAAATCTTTTTTTGTAGTTTTATTCAAAAAATGTTCCCTTCTTATGTCTTGTGGACCCATCTGTACTTCAGATTAGTCTCTGGTGAAACAATATTACTTATAATCTTTTAATTGGTGGAGCCTGCTAAATGTCAAATGGTGTTAGAATAAAAAAGTTATGTAATTAATGTTTTCTATTTTTCCGTTTCCTTGGTGGTGTTTTTTTCACAAAATTTCAAATAACATGGTTTAAATTCTGTTTCTCAGTTTTGCGCTTAAGAATCGAATTAAAGTTGAGTTTCATGAATGTCGACTTTACCTTAATTACCTTAAGTCATGGAGAAGCCTGGTCCATTGAGAGAGTATCTTTTCTGTCGACCGTTCAGATGTGTTTTCATATAATGCGTTTTTTACGTCCTTTCCTCAAAAAAACCAGTTCAGCCTTTTCTTCTAACAGCTCACACCATTACTGGTTAGGCTGGCTTCAATGTCTACAAGGGTAAAACGCTTCCAAGCGGCGCGGTCCAGTGCCATCGTTGACAGTAATAGGAGCCATTCCTTTTTCCATCATCTGAATCCATATTTTGCTGGACCATAACTATACGTTCAAATTTTTTCATTTTTTCCTCTAACCTACGCACGCAGAATTTTTAATACTTGAAGCTTCAAAATTAAAAACTTAGCCGAAAGTGATTTACAACCCGGTTTTAGTGCGTCTTGTTATGTGGATCACCATATAACTATATCAGTAGAAGAGGAATAAGAAATAATTCTCTTTTAAACAACGTCTATTCTAACATGCTACCTTTTAAACGACAATATGCTATAGGTAAATTTCAGCATCATTTCAGTGGACCCATGCTAAATTTGAATTGTAGCATGGTTCCTGGGCCACCAAAACCACTAAAAAAAAGATTATTGCTGGTCCACCTGTACGTTCAAAATCTTTCCTGACCATATCAGCCCAGGTCTTATTGGTCCACATTCGACGCCACATAACACAGGATTTTGCAAATAACGAAATATGCGTCAACTCCTGTGATGGACGAAGAATAACGTGTCCTAACCAGTGAAGGCGACGCTCTGTAATGGCCCTGTTAATCAAGTGGTATTTAAATGAAGGTGGATGTGATCATGTGAGATTTTATTCACTCGACGTAAAAAGTGTCTTAGACATGAGTGGACAAAGATGGATAATTTCTCCACTATCATTGGCCATGTCTCGCACCCATATAGCAAGATTCAACGAATTTCTGCTATGTAGATGTGGACTTTCGTTTTTATGGTGATTTTGCGATCACTCCATAAAGGTTTCGTTAACCGGAAGAACGCATTTCCAGTTGTCGTTATCTAGGTTGTATCGCCTTTTGCCTGGCCATTCGGTACTAGAGTGGATCCGAGGTATTCAAAATCGCTCATTTCTTTAACCGGCAATGAACTGATAAAATGAGGTATTTTTTCAGCTTCTTGTACATAAGACGAAAAAGTTTTCGTTTTGTTTACCCATTGACCTTGGATCCAATTCTCGCTACAATTGTTTAGCATTATTTGCATTTCACTATAACTGTCAGCAAAAACGATTGCATCATCAGCGTATTCGATGTCTGTTACGCTATGCTCTGGGCTTATTTGTACAGCTCTTGAGTATCGACAAGCAGTGTCCATTATCCAGTCTATCGCACAGTTGAATATTGTAGGGGATAGGGCATAACCTTGACGAACACCAGTTATTTTAAAAGATTTCATCATTTCACCATGTACACAGTTCTACACCAACGTACGCTATGAAATGCCTTTATGAGTAGAATGATCTTCTCTGGAACACCGTTGCAATCACCCATCACCCATCGCCGTTCTATCTGTTGAATCGAAAGCAGCCGCAAAATCGATGAAACACGTGACAGTGGTTTGCAAATATCTGAAGCGATGTTCCATCCTTCACTCCTTTAATATCTAGTTAGTGCAACCGGTCTGAATCCAGCTTGATTAGGGTGCATTCTGCTGTCTTATACTTCCATAGATCTGTTAAGTTAAAAGGAAGCTGAAAAAAGAAAGGGAAAAAATTTTCGCTGAGACGTCTAATAGGTCCTGTCATTTTTCTTGAGAATTGAGAGTAGAATTTCTTTACTCCAGTCATCTGGTGATAATTTTTTTCAAATCAGAGAGTGCATTTATTGAAGTTGCATTATAAAGGTTGATGGACAACGTTAGAAGAATTCTAGACCATCTTCTCCCGGAGCCTTATTGGCCTTAAGCTTATAGATAACGGAGATTATTTCTTTTTCTATTGGCGGCTCCAAGTTTTGCAAATGTATGGTTCGACGAACGTATCAGCCATATCAGGGGCAACGGATGGCGCTTCATGGTTAAGTTTCACCTCAAAGAATTGTTTTCATTATTTTCATTATTCCTTAATACTTTTAACCGGAATGCCATTGCCTTACCATTTCACTGATTATTCCCCGAATTGCTTTATGAAGAAAACGGAATAATTTCTTATTATCGCCTAATCGTGCCGCCATTTCCATTATCAAGGCCATCTCGCTCCAATAGCAATTTCTGTCCCGATGTGCTGCTGTCGTTGAAGTTCTTTGAATCATCCGATGTTCAGGATCTGACATTATTGCTTTAGTAACTTCGGACAGTTATACAGTTGCTTCCAATATCAACTAGCGCACTTCTTATTAGCATGCTCTAGCGTGGAAGTGGCTGAATTTCTGAGACATTCATTTAGTTAGGATCAGTATTCATTTACGGTCCCAGAAAAATCATTGGTTTTTATACCATTGAGATGTTTCAATAATTCGGTTTGGAATGCACTTCACCTCCCCGAATTTTTTAGTCTGAGATAGTTGAAGGATCAAGAATTTTTTTAATTTAACATTTTATGTGCTTTGTTTAGGTTATTTATGGAAATAAACAAATAATGTTCCTCGAACTATTCTTTAATTTTCATTTTTTTCTAGTTTTAAAATCAGTTTATAGGTAGAAAGAAAAAATAATGTCAAGAGTCTCAGCTGATCTTCAGTGGTTATGTATTCGCAAAACGTCATCGTTTATTCGCCGACAACGTGGAGTTCCAAAACATTTTAGTACGGAGAAGTTTAATTTGAAAGGATTGAATAGTATTCGTTATAATGGATTAGTACATAAGAAAGGGATAAATATAGAAGTATCACCCGATGGAAAAGGAATCATTCTTTCGACGAAAAAAAAACGTCAGTACTCTTTTTTCGATTTGATTTTTGGAATAATTAAATGATTTTGAAATTAATTTTCCTTGAAATAAAATGAGGAAACAAAATTTGTAATATTTAATAGCATGAAATTGCAAATTGAAAGATTTAATTATATTTTCTAAAATAACCAGTTTTGCCACTTAATTATTTAGAAAAAAATGTTGCAAGTTGCTCAACTTACTTTTTTGAATATTTTTACCGAAAATATTTTATTCTTTTATTTTTTTAAAGCATTATATTACATTGACTTTTAGTGTATTCTAGCATATTAATGCCTTAGAAAGAAGAAATTAATTTCATGTTTCAGGAAAAGAGGGATTACCGGCAAAATCAATTAATATTATTGAATTGAAGAAAGATAGTCGTAAAGTTCTAAAAAGCGTGAGGAATATCAGCGCAAGGTATCGCAAATCCCATCTTAAGGTATCTATCTCTCCTTTTAATTTTTTCAAATTATCATTAAAAATTGAAAAATCAGTTTATCAGTTTATTCATTCAAAAATCATAAAAAACGGACACGAATTAGGGACACACCGTTTTTTGGATTTAACTGAAATAATTTGTTAATTTATAATTTCTTAAACATATTAAAATGAATTTTAAAAAAATGACGGAAACTGTTAATATTTTATTGCTATAGCTTGCGGAACGGCGTGCATCACAGCTGCTGCGTTCTTTAAGACCACTATCTGTCCGTCGAGGAAAGCGTTCACGTAAAATGGATGTGAAGCTTCAATAAAATTTTTGAATGTTGATTTTTTTAACTATTTAAAAGGTTAAAAATGATTTAAAATAAACTTCTATAGATTATCATTTATACATTGTACTAAAATGTAAAAAATAGATTTTATAAGAACTCATTTCATCCAGGTAACAATTTTGGTACCATATTACCTTCCTCTCACCAATCTTGCCAATTTCACACGTATAAAACACTTTCTCTAGTCAACGAATAAAGAAAAGTTCATATTTCATTCTTGAATCATACATAATTTCCGTAAGGATATTTTAAAGGAAAGTTTTATTGGTTACCTTGATGATTATTTTGATGAAAAGAGCATTAAAAAAATTGCTAAAAAAATCAAGTCGATATATCACTGAACAACTGAAAAAAATTTCATGAAGCGATAACACATGGAGCACAGGCGAACTGCTCTACACAGAGAGGGAATTTGTGAAGTCCCACATTTTACCCACTGCATTTGTTGTTAAATTTATCTAAGTAGATTGAGCTGGATTCCAGAATTATTTTCGTGTATAAACAATTTGGTCGATAAAATACTACTAATCAAAATTTATTATGAGACCAAAATATGGACTCCATCCATCAAACAACAAAATAACGGAAAATCAAAATGAAGACTGGAAGCGTTTACCTTTTTTTAAACAACGAACATCATCCAATCGTAATAAAGATTTTATTTCCATCCTTGTAATAATTCTTTAATCTATAAACTGACAAGAACTGAAGTTTAAAATAGGATTGGAAGAAAGGACAATTTAGAATAGAAAATAGGGGATAAAAATAGTAGAAAATTTGTAAAATCAAAAGTGAACGTAAAAAAAAATAATACCTGTTCAATTGGTTTCAGATGCATAGGTGGATATTTATTACTTTCGTCGATAATCTTATTATATATTACATTATAAGCTGCAATAAGGTCATCAATCGTTCGCTGTTGTACGGATTCACTGAATTTTTGAAAATTGTTAAACCAGTATTTTTGGGAAAAAAGCCCTTAACTGAATTAAAAGAAATAAAATGGATTTCACCGAATACGAGCCGAAGAAATTTTGGAGAACTGGTCCAGGGAAAAGTTATCAGGATTAGCTAGGAAGGCATCGAACAAAGCAAAAGCACTGGATATACGTGAAGGTTCCATACCAGAGATTTCTGATAGTGCTCCCTAAATTATCAGATGACAAAATTAAGCAGGAATATTTTTTTTCAGATTAAATAATGGATATTAGCTTAATAATATGAAACGCTTATTAATAAAATACCTGATTGGATCGATGAGCACATGATTTTTTATATATTTCCATAAGATCTGTCTGGTTCAGTATCATTGTCACTTGCTCGCTAACAAGTACATCTTCGTTGGCAGTAATCTTGATAAAATAAGCCAATATATTATAGCACAAAAAATAACTGCATAATAGCAAAAATCCATTTAAAAAACCTGAGCCTTAATCATTTCCAACCGAGAATCAGTGTACTGATAAAGAATAATCAATGAATTAATAGCTGATAAGCAATTCAATGTATATACAGCAATATCAAGTGGTGAGTGAAGTTGAGTAGCTGATATCTGAATCGCTTGATTAAGCGGATCAAGAACAGCAGCAAAAATCTGAAATATATTTAGATCATTAAAAAAAAATTAAAAGTAACCAATTCAATAATAATATAACCTTTTAATATAACCTTTTCAAAATTTTCTTTCTTATCAACAACGACAGCAACGACACTATCATGTGATTCGAGTACATCTTTCAAAAGCATAAGCACTTGATGGGCCGCATGTACAGGCAAAAGATCGTAATCAGGAGTATTTATCTATAAAAGAATTCGCAAATGCAGATTATCAATAGCAGTAGATGATAATTTATGGTTAGAAAAATACTTTGCTTTTACCGCAAAGTATAAAGTCTATTTTATTTGAAAAAAATTTCATCAATTATTTGTTACAAATTTATGCTTGAAAAAAATAACCTTAATGAAGTTGTGTATTGAATAAAATAAGAATGAAGTATAGTACGAAAAAAATTTGTATAAATTGTTTATAAGATTTATCAAACTCATTTTTCTTCAGTAGACAAATGATTATAAATAAAAACAATAATAATAAACTAAACAATTCCAAGAAAACACTTTGGAAAGAAATTTCTGCACAGCTGATTTTAAACCACTAAAGAACATATCCAACGCAAGTGCTCGCAGTTCATCAATGGTGAGGGAAAGTACAGCTTCTTTGCACAAGGTTCGTCTAAAGATCACAAAAACCTAAAAATAAAAAAACGTCCGGGCTCAGCCGGTGATCGAAACCGGGACCTCTCGCACCCAAAGCGAGAATCATACCACTAGACCACTGAGCCGACGTTCAACCAGCAAAATAAATTCCCCATAATCACGATATTTTAAAATAGAGAAAACCAGAACAAGCAAAACCTTATAGTATCTCCATAAAATGTGAACAAACAGGATAACCGATAAAGGACAATACAATTGGATTCATTGGAAAGAGCTTGTTCTACGCGCACCTTAAGCAATTTATAATATATTGTTTTTATTTTCTTATAATTTTTCCACATTAACTGCAAATAATTCCCCATTTTAATTAATAAATGTAGTTTAATTTAATTTCCAAGGGACTCCCTGGCATGTGACAAGCCAGTGGAGCGAGTTTAACCAGTAATGGTAAGGACTCATTATCATTGACATTAATATAGCAAATATTAGAAAAATGATGAGTGACAGCGAATTAAAACTGTTGTTGGGTTGCAGCTGTTAATCTACATTCAGTTTTTCATTTTGCTGATAAATTTCAAATTTCCATTCAAATGTTTCAGTATTATGCATCCGGCAGTAAGTCGAAATTAGCAAATGGATTACACCGACTAAAATATTACTAAAAATTTATAATTAAAATCAAGTGCCATGAACTCGCTCAGATTTTGAAAGTGTTTTTTTTGCGGCAAAACCATTTGCAATCCTCAAGAAAACTGGCCACTGGTTAATGAATAATTAAAAATATATTTATAAAAATATTTAAAATATATATATTCAAATATATAAAACCTGCAACATAAAAATATATATTCAAATATATGAAAATAACCTTGAATGGTCTACACATCGCTTCAGAAATTTCGCTTAAAATGCTCATACTATTTTCCTCCAAAACTGAAAATATGCATTATTTCGAATCAAGTAGAGATAAAAAGCATTTTTAGAAACCGCTCACAAAATTTTCATCAAAATATCTTTGATCAATTCATAATTCATAATAAAAATTCGTAATCTGAAAAACAAACGATTTCGAAATGCGGTAGACAGAAAAAAATTGAAAATAAAAGCTTGCGTAACAAGACCAACCTTCTGCTTTACATAATTTTAATAAAACCTGCAACAATTCACGCTCAGTCGCTAATGATTGATGAATCCAAGCCAGCATGTCACCAATATATCTAAAAATATTAATGTAGAAATTGAAATAAATGAAATTTTTCTAAAAGTTTTTCGCAAAAAATTATACGTATTGAATAAAAATCCATTATTAACTTATCAGTATCCATTATCCGTACTCATTATTTCGAATTTTATTTTTAGAAATGATTTCCTTTTTACATAAAAATAAATTTCAAAAAATACCGTAAAGAGTCATGTGAGAGTAATTCGATCGGTTTTGGAACACCACTTGAGCCTAAAAAATACAAATTCCATCAAAATTATTCTTTTCTTGCATGAATCAATAAAACAGATTTAAACATTGAAATTTTCTAACCACCACGAGTTAACGCATCGATATATAAACGGACAATATGATTACGACGAGCAGTAGCATATTCGTCTATTGCATATTTAAAAAGAACAGGTCTATCTTGAAGTGTAGCCATCGATTGCAAAAGAACACTTTTCATTTCCATAAAATCCATATTTAATAAACGGCATTCTCCTAGAATCATTTTTGATGAAATGGAAGAAATAGCAATAGAGAACATTAGGCTTGAATTTTGAATAAACTAAGCAATTAAAAAAATTTACTTTGAACTGAACGATAGAGAACTTCATAAGCTTGCTCTAATTTTTTTGCCATATCTTCCATAATTTCAAGTCTGAATTTAGAATAAGTGGATGCTTTTTCAAAAAAGAAGCAAATGATAGAAATGCATTAAAAATTGGAACAAAGGAGGATGGAAAAGAAATCAAAGAGATCAAATTAAACAAATAAAAGATAAAAATAAATGAATTTACGCAGCCAAATTTTCACCAGAGCTTCTCAAAAGTTGTTTGCTGTCAATTTGAATTGTTTTAATTCGCTGTAAGGCCGTGAAAAAGTTATTATCAATAGTTCCATCTGAAAATTTCAAAATTTCATTTGGACAAATTTCATAAATTATTTTCGAAAGGAAAAACTTCAATCGCTGATATTTATAATAGCAGAATAATAAAGAATTTTATTAAAATTTACCAAGTTCTGATCCCTGTAGAGCCTTTTCTTCCTCAGGCAATAGAGAAAATCTTTCAAAAAAATCATCCACAGCTTGCTTCTTTTTCTCTAATAATTTTCTGGAAAATAAAGTAAAATATGTGATTGATAAAGGTTTAAAGAAAAAAGGAACAAAATGACTAAAAATATTATAAAACGTAAAATTTCAAAGCATTAAACTTTTCAGTTTGAAGTGCAGTCGTTTTAGATAACAAATCTTGAGTTTTCTCTTTATTGCTTCGAATTCGATTCGTCATATCAGCACAAATCTTATTTAATTCATGAACTTTACCAGCAAAACTTTGCACACTATTATTTACCTGTAATGGAAAAGTTACTTTGAAGAAATTGCCAAAATAATCTAGGGAAATAATAAAAAGATCATTAAGAAAGTTAAAAATAAAAAAAAGCATTCCAAGAAATATCTGGCTCAAACTTAAAAAATCCACAATTTGAAATACTCGTTGCAAAAAAAAGACCTTTTCAAAATCATTTAGATATTTATGATAAACCCTCAATTTTTCCTTTTCTAATTTTATCATAAGCCGCCGTTCTGTATGCAAATCTATTTCGCCAATCATTGATGCAACATAATCCATCATACCAAGAAAATTCTGCAATATTATATTTATATCCAAAACGTAATGCTGCAGTTGTATATTCCTTCAAACCAGATTATGAATATATAAAAATATGGAAATGCAAAAATAGTTGGTATACCGTCCAGTTGCTTAAATTAATGCTATACTGCCAAAATTATTTAAAGGAAAAAATGCAAAAAAACGTAGAGAAGGAAAAGGGAAATAAGAAAGGAAATCTTCTCAACCCTTTTAGACAAAATGATAACGAAAAACCAAATTCAAATGATTTCAAATGAAAGAATGGTATATCTAAATTTCTTTCAAGGAATCACTGATATTTTTCTAATCTTCTTTCCGTTCCACCATTTCTGATTTGATTGGTTACATTGGTTATTAGGATTAGACTTCATTAAGTGAGAAACACTAGGATCTTAAGTATTATCCAACTTCTAACCAATCGCTGGACAGAAGAGCCATTTTGACAAGTACTGTTGCGAAATTCAAAGAACAACAAAATCCAAACAAAAAAAAATTGAAAATTATTAAAAAGATAATGGGAATTAAGGGTTCAAATGTGAACAAAAACGGCAAGTCGACGTGCCAGCAAAATATCCCCAATGGCAAAGGAACAACCAAATCAATAATTTTCAAAAATATCGCCTAAATACAGCCATGAAGTAAAAGGTGCAATATGGCGGAAAGAATATTAAATATACTTGCAATATACATAAATATATTTCTGGTTCATTTATTTATAGTGCGATAACATTTCGCTTTTTTTGTGTATGTTCACGTCATTAATATTGAAATTTCCAGCTTTGCGCACAGAACAATGATGAAACGCCACGATAAGTTTTTTGATGGAAAGGAGACACACTGGGGCACCAAAGAATCAGTCTTTTTCCTAACCTCCTTCTTGCTCACTTTAAGAAAATCTATTTATCGCTAATTCCAAACCTGATCAGTATGAAAATTACTGGAAAGAAGAGAATCGACTTTTTTCTTTATTGGATTGGTATTTATATCACCCGAACGATTTTCCTCACTTTTCCCATCAGTTCTCCGAAGCATTTCTTCAAAGAAAATAATCTGAAAAGAAAACGATAATCATTAATTTCGTCTTATCTAATATGACACCACATTCATTTACTGATTTGATTTGATGGCGATGAAGAAAAATGATGGAAGAGAAATTTATAAGATTATATATGAAAACGAAATATGCCGAATGTGATCGCTGCGCTAATTGCCGGTAAAAAAGAAATTACCGAGGACTTTTAAGCAGAACTGAAAGAAAAGCGATAAGCAAGAAGAAAAGAGAAGACATCATCACAACTGCTTGTTCTGATAACCCAAACCTATCAAATATCGCATATTCTTTGATTTTATTCCTATTTAATTTGAAATTTGGCCAAATCTAATTAACACTTTAACCAAATTAAAAATTTAAATTTAATTTTGAATTGATTTTAAATTTAATAAAAATTTAATCATTTAAATTAATGAAAATTCATTCTCTCTACTTTTAAAATCTGATTCTGATGAATCTGATAAAAAGATAAGAAGATTCGATAAAACTGATAAAAAAATGATAAAAATTGATAGAGAATAATGAGAAAATGAATTTAGACATTTTAAATAAAAAATAATTCAAAAAAATAAAAAAATTTCAGAAGAAATTAAAAAATTAAAAAAAATTCGCAAAAAACCACAAAAAATGCTAAAACGTTTTTAAATAATTTATAATTTAATTTAATTTAATTTAATTTATCGATAAAAAACAAATTTACATCAATAAAACGCAACGAATTTAAATTATCAATATAAAAACCAAAAATATCAAAAAAAGACATTTAGGCATTTTGCTGAAAAGTTTACAGCTGCAGCCCAGCGAATAAATTTTCCGGCCATTGAATCATAAACATTGTAAAACATTTGCATTTGCATTGTTCATTGTTTAAAACGTGAGTTAAATAAATGAGTCGAGTGATTTTAAAAATTCTGGCAACTTTATAAATTTATTTAGAATCCATATGTAAAAGGGAATGGAATCCAGCTGGCTGCTGGGGACTCACCTGTAACTTTATTCCCAACTGTGATTCTGTGGTGAAAGGATCAGACCTTCTTGACACGGCGCCCGACGCCCATGATATTCTCAGTCTTATGTTGCATGCGACAAGTATAAGTATACGCAAAAACATGAGGGTGTAATCAAACGACCTTAAGACTTAAGATATTATCTGCTTGCGAGCACATGATAATTGCTCGAAACGTGTCAGCTCTGTGCACGCGCTGTGAAGTGTTAGCCGTAGCAGCGTGGAACATCAGAACGCTTATGGACATCGCGGGCCAAGCGGCCACTGTCCACATTTTTCTAAATATCGTGTGGATGTCGCCTTTTTGTTGGAGGTCCATTTTCTGCTTCGAGTCTCGAGTAATTATTAATCCAAGCTCTGAGCAGAGTTGCTGGCTGTATCGCTGTGGTATTTCGAATAACTCGAGGCGAAATGGCGTAGCGATTGTCTGGACCATCTCAAAAGATCCATTTCGCTTTGATTAAGTAGAAGTTAATAAGAAAGCATGGCCTATATTTGCTTTAAAAGTAAGTTTTGCAATATCTCGATCAACAATTTATATGCTCCGATCTGATGACCATGAAAGGATAACTTTTATGTGGAAATCCAATTACTAACAACATCTCCGAGGATAACTACCGAAAGGTGACATAGTTATAATCGAGGGAGAGGGATTGTGAATAGAATGGCTCAGTGGGTTGTTGCTCAATTGGGAGCGCCGATGCCACAGGAGTAAACCTGTACAAAAATCCAGTTAATGATTCACCCCTATTTCTATCGTTAAGGGACTCCATGGCATATTGCCCAATGCGACAAGCCAGTGGACAAGTTTAACCAGTAATGGTGAGAACTTTTTAAAAAAAATGAAAATCGAGGGAGACTGGAATGCACACGTCAGACGACGTTACGATGAATTTGGTGATCGGCAAATTTGGCACTGGACTCCGATGCGTCAATGGAAAGCACGTTCTTTGCTTTATCGAACATCATAAGCTCTTCGTTACTAATATATGTTTCAGGCATCGGAGAAGACATCTAGTCACGTGGAACTCTCCAGATAACCATTATTCCAATCAGATTGACTATATATTGGTCAGCCACCGATAGAAGAATTTTATATTTGATAGTCGTTCCAATGGTGACGCTGAAACTCGTGATCGTCATGGATGAGACCATATTATATTTCGAGCGAAGATTCACATAAAACTGACAAGTCGTAAGAAACAACGTATCCCAAGGTCTTTCAACTATCTCAAACTAAAAGATTCGGAAAATAAATCCGCAGAATACTATTTTATATTTACTGGAATGCACGATACACATTCTTCCCAAAGCCTAAAATGGAGTTAAAAGAAAATCAAAAAAAATCTTAAAATGCAGTATATATTCTTCTTCTCATAATTTGCGAAGAGATTTCTGGTAAAATTTGATTTGAAAATTTATCATTTATCGTTTGTTTCGTCGCCTTATTGTTATTTGAACCCCTTTATTTATTCGCAGTTTTACCAATGAGCCAGTGACACCTTTCTGAGATGATTAATGCCTTATCAACATTATCTCTTCATTTATCGTTTCTCATTAGTTCTTGAAGTAATTGATAAATTAGTTTATTAATTAGTCTATTTACGACCTAATAATTTTTACCACTCCGCAGTATCAAAATTGCCCAAATTTTCTATGATATATTGCCTTCTTAACACTTTTTTTAGAGTGAATTCGAGCACTCTTACCCATTATCGATTCCATGCATTTTATCCTACTCCATGGAATCGAGAGAGATGAGCAAAAGAACTATTTCAAAAAATCGATATACCAGTAGAATTACGAATGAAATCAAATTCTCTTGAAGGGAGCAATGTCATGTGGACGCTCCTTCCGTAGCAAGTTTTTATGAACGAGAAGATGGTATTGGTGTGGTTGATTTAATCTCAGATCACAATTAATCACAATTAACTTTAAATTCTTCTTCTAAAAGCACTCACCATTTCTGATTTGGTTAGCCCTGCTGAATGTTAGAATTCTCAATATATATGTTAATATATATAAGTATGAAATGTATTTCCGTCATAATCAGTCAATTTTTTTTCAAAATTCTCACGATTCGTCATTAAATAGTCCTTTGAATCTGGCTCCGTTCTATAACTATTCATTCTAATTTTGATAATATCGTATTTTTTTATGCCCCATAAAATCTTTCAAACGTTTTATACTCGTCTCTAATACGCATCTCTGCATCTCTGATATTTAAATCCCCGCTTTTTCTTGTATAGAAAACATATAAAAGAAATATTATTCCCTCTCAAGTCCTCTAAGTTTTTTTTTTCTATTTTTATTTATAATTTAAATCATGCGAATTATTAAAAACATAAGAATAAGTTTTTAAGGCAGCAACATTTTTAGATAGTTCATGAAATTCTAAGAAAAATTTGTATTTAAATAAGTAAAATATTTGGTTGCTCAATTGGTAAAAAGAAGTAATATCCTTTCCTTTGTCCTTTATAGGAAGAAATAGTTTATCGAAAATATGCTTTGGATTCTTAAAATCCGAAATCTATTTGTAGTTCAAACATTTACAATTATTAAATATAACGTGTTTATTGTGGAAAGCAACGAAAAAACTCGTAAGAATTTGCTTTGAAGACGAGTTCAACAATTTCACCATTTCATATTGAGATACGATTTTAAGAATTGTTCGTGAACTTCGGCCATTGTTACGTCATATAATCGAATTAAATTTTTTATTCTCTGAAATAAGAATATTAAATTTGTTTAACTTAAGCGGTTTGTCATCTTTCTTGTTATATTCGATCACACCTATAACCATATTTCAAATCCATAAAAATAAGTGCAATTCTGTGAAATAGGCGAAGTTTCAATTATAGTTCGCTAGGATAAAATTTGGCTGAATACGCTCACGAAAATTGCTAGAATGAATTGCTGAAATTGCCAACTAATTTTGGCAAAAAAATCTCACTGGTGCTAGTTAACAAATAAGGTGAAAAGATGGAAAGTGGTGCAAAGAAGGTGAAAAAATTTATTCAAATAAGGTCTTAAAATAAGGCCTTAATGATAACAACCTCAGTTTCGCTGTTGATTTCAATTTTATCACTGTTCAATAAATTAACATCGCCGGCAATCTTTTTCAGTTGTTCCATACCATTATAAATTATAATTAATAATCTAGCACCAAGCACTACGCGGTGGCCATAAGGTATTTTTCTATGCTGCAACCAAAATTTTAACTCATTTTCAAGATGCTTTGAATAAATACGATAAATGCATTACAAATATAATAATTTTTCAAAATATTTTTGAAAAATTTAATTAATATATATTATTAATGAATGGAAATGGTCAATGTTGCAAAAGGCGAACACAAAAATCGTAAATTAAATTTCTCAACCAAATGCTGTGAATCACCATACTAATCTTTAATTCCATTTCTTTTTTTATGCCCAAAAAAACCTAACTTAGCATATAAAATCTCACATCTATTCAAATGTAAACAAATAACTATAGTTTTTATTACACACATCTGTTAATTATGCGCTGCATGCTATTCACACAAAATGTTTTTTTATTAATGAAAATAATATATATATATAAATGCGTATGAAATAATAATAATAATATAATAATAATAATAATAATAATATAATAATAATAATTATATATATATATATATAGATATGCGCATGAAATAGACCAGTTTGAGCTTGCTTATATGTTTTAATTATTCTTTGAGTTTGTTTAAGTGTTTTTAGTTATGTATGGGATACTGGGCTCCCACATTTTTTTCTTTTTCATTTGTTCTTTAATTATTCTCTTAAACTTTATTGTTTATAGATTTATATTATAATAAAGATAAGAAATTTCTAGTCTACTTGGGTATACAAGCGGCAAGCCATTAGACCAACAATTGTGAACCACATCCCTCCCGTTTGAAGTCATTTTCGCCTGTCCAACCCCATGTATTAAATCTCGTCAATCCCTTCCCAATAGTCCTCCACAGCCAATGGGTTGTTGCTCTCGGAATTAACATTCTACTACCATAGGAGTAAATCTGTATTTTAAAAACTTGCGAGATGCTGGCGATCTAGTGGACTTTTGCCTGGTTCAGCAAGCCAGTGGAGTCAACCTGGCCAGAAAGCACTTCGTGAAGAAGTTGCAGCTAACCAAATCGGTAACGGTAGATGGAATCCGGCATAAAGTTGCTTTGATAATTGGAATACTTGCGAACATATTGATTTCGTGAATTTTTTACCATTATAGTTGTATAAAATTCACTTACTTCATGTTCAAGAAAAATATCAAATGCTTGACATAATTTGTCATACAAATCGTAAAAATTTTCAATTCTTTGTTCTTGAACGGAACCATCTTCACATTCGATATTAACTAATGCGTTTTCCATTTTAGCGAAACACTTTTCAGCATTAATCCAGCGTCTAATCAAATCCTAATTTTAATGCATTATATTTATCAGCTTTTAGGTTTTATTAGATAGGAAAATTTATAAATCTGTTCTAGAAATTATGTCATAAAAATCATGCAAATTTTTTAAAATTCCCTTATAATAAAGCTTTGCAGTGCTCTCAGGTAATTCTTTTGCACTTAAGAATGATTCGAGAGGCTCAGTAGTCAGATTTTTCAACACATCGTCAGCATCGCATGTTGTGCATTCCTCATGAAGTTCTGAAATAGGCCATTTATTTAAAATAATGTTGTTGAAAATGAGCACTTGTGGCACTAAGGCAAATGATCAGCCCCATAAGGATGATCAGGTATTTAATTGAAAATCGCCAACAAAGATTTATCGCATTTAAAGCACATTTTAGACTCTCGCTGAATAAATAAAATCTCAGAAGATTGCATTTAGCTTCGTTCAAATACTATCTTCATTAATGGTAGAGCGCCGTTTTCACTAATTACGGCGTATTCATTATCGACCGCCGCAGAGGTTGACATGCATTTTCGTACTTGTTAAAAGTTGTGCCTTTGGGGCCAAACTTAATCATGAAGCGCCATCTGTTGCCCCTGATATAGCTGATACGTTTGCCGAAGCATACGCTTGCAATTGCGAGCCTCCAACAGAAGAAGAAATAATTTTAGTTATCCATAAGCTTAAGGCCAACAAAACTCCAGGAGAAGACGGTCTTCCGACTGAACTTTTCAAATGCTGTCCATCGTCGTTCATAACGCACCTTCAACAAATATACTCTTTAGTATGGAAAAAAGAAATATTACCAGATAACTGGATCAAAGCAATTCTGCTCCCAATTCTCAAGAAAGATGATAGGACATACTGAGACAATTATCGAGGAATCAGCTTATTAGACGTCCCAGCAAAAATTTTGCTTCCCTGCTACTCAATAGACTTATGGAAGTACGGGACAGCAGGATGCGCCCTAATCAAGCTGGTTTCAGACCAGGGCGCGGTTGTGCTGACCAGATATTCACCTTAAGAAGGGTGTTAGGGCATCGCTTCAAACATTTGCAACCCACTTTCATCGACTTTGCGGCTGCCTTTGATTCAATTGATAGAGCTGCACTTTGGAGGGTGATGGAACGTGACGGTGTTCCAGAGAAAATCATTAGACTCATAAAGATATTTTATGAGCGCACGTCAGCGCAGGTCTGTGTATATGGGGAGCTGACAGATTCCTTCGAAATAAGAACAGGTATACGTTAGGGCTGCGTCCTTTCCCCCACAATATTCAACTATGTGATAGACTGGATAATGGAGACTGCTTGTCGGCACTTAAGAGATATCCGAATTAGTCCAGAGCATCGTATCACAGTGAATACGCTGATGATGTAGTCCTTTTTGCTGACAGTTATAAATGCTAATACAAATAAAGTAATAATAAATAACGTGTCAGAAACAGCATCAAGAATTGGACTCAGGATCGATGTAAATAGAGCGAAAGTCTTTTCGTCTTATGTGCAAGAAGCTGATAAAATGCATCTTTTTGTAAATTCATTGCTGATTGAGGAAGTACCTGATTTCAAATACCTTGAGTCCACTCTAATACCAAATGGACAGGCAAAAGATGATATGAACTCGGATCACGGCAGCTAGAAATGCGTTCTTCCAGTTGACGAAAAACCTTTATGGAATCGTCGTGAAATCACCATAAAAACGAAAGTCCCCATCTATATTGCCGTGATCCGTTCGATCTTATTATATGGTTTTGAGACATGGCTAATGAGAGTGGAGGGTATTAAGAAGTTATCTGCCTTTGACCACTCTTGTCTAAGGTACATATTACGGGTCCGTTGAGCGGATAAGATATCACAAGATCGCATCCATCTTCGTTCAAATACAAATACCACTTGCATAAATAATGTTATGAGCGCTGCCTTTGCTGGTTAGGGCATATTCTCCGTTGTCCACCACAGGAATTGACGCATATTTCGTTATTTGTTAAACCGTGTGACAGTTAACGTCAAAAGCGAGATGGGCCAATCAGGGCCTGGACTTATATAGCCAGAAGAGATTTTGAATCTATAAGTGGACCAGTAATATATGGACATAGATGGAAAAAGGAATAGTTTCTATCGACAGTGCCACTGGATCCAACAGCTTGGAAATGGTCTACCAGCAGAGCTGACTTAACCAGCAATAATGAGAATTATTAGAAGAAGAAGAAAAAAAATTGTCTTTACCTCATGCTTGGTCGAATATTATTCTGCCTCGAAGGCCAAAGAAGCATTATGGGTTCGATTTATCCTTTACAGGATTAAACCTTGTTATTGGAAATAAAATCTGGGAAGGCGATCCACCTATTTTTCCTTTCCTCAGATGATTCTCTAGCTGATGAGCAGAAGTTTAAAGAGAAAAGATAAACTTTGGAGAATGACGATGAATTCCGAATTTTTCAGTGCTTCGTTCCCGTCGTTTACAGATCTATGCTGGCATGATCTCAATAGGATTTCTCTGTTTTTCACAAATGATTTATCTTGATTATTGTGGACTCTGGATTCTAACAATTCAGTAGATGAGCCAATTTCTTTTTGCTTTTCTTCTTTTCCGATCTCATCCATAAGTGTTTCCCTGGAAAAAGTTGATACACTTAATCAGTATGGAGAACTGCCTTAATAATTTTCAGTTCAAAGAAATTTTCTTGACCAATCTATATTAAAAATTAATATTTCTGTGATATTTCCTATATTTAGTAAAACTGTGGCATCCCATGTAAAATAAAATTATTATTTCTATACTGAAACATAGTACCAAAATTGTGAAAAATTAGCAATATTATTATTTTGACATTATTTAGCAATATTGATTAGCAGCATTAATATAATTAGCCACAGAGGATAGTGTAAGGAGCATAAAAACTGAAGAACCATCTTGCATGGCACAATAGCGACTGCATTTTAACTTAAAAGCTATGCATTAGCGTGGATGCGGCTAAATATTTTTTATCATTGTCTCATAAAACATTGTCACATTGTCTTTTGTTGTTAGGCTTAATATTCTTAAGAATCTATAAAACTTTTGTGTAACAAAAAAAAAGAAAAGAAATCGACCGCTTTCCGAAATCTATGAAAATAAAAATGCAGTGAGATGCTGTGAAATGAGATGCTTTCCTATTTTTTTGATTTTTGCAAGGAATAAGAATAATTAAGCTAAAAAAATAAAATTTTTTTCTAACAGTTTTCACCATTACTGGTTAAAATGGCTCCAACGGCAACAAGAGTAAGATGCTTCCAGAGTAAGCGCTGCGGTCTGATTTCATCGTCGACAGTATTGGAAACCATTCCTTTTTCCATCGTCTAAGTCCATATATTGCTGGTCCACCTATACGTTCAAAATCTTTTCTCACCGTATCAGTCCAGGTCTTGATTGGCCCAACTCGCTTTTGACGCCACCCATCACAAGGTTTAACAAGTAACGAAATATGTGTGAAATCCTGTGATGGACGACAGAGAACGTTTCTTAACCACCGAAGGCGACGCTCTGTGATAATATTATTAATGCAAATGGTATTTGAACGAAGTGAGTACGATCACATAATATTTTATCCGTTTGATGAGCCCGTAAAATATATCTTATCTTAATATCCTCCATTCTCATTGGTCCATATAGCAAGATCGAACGAATCACAGCTAAATAGATGCGGAGTTTCATTTTTATGGTGATTTCACGACGGCTCCATAAAGGTTTCGTCAACCGGAAGAACGAATTTCTAGCTATCGTGATTCGGATATCGTCTTCTGCCTGGCCATTCGACATTAGAGTAGACCCAAGGTATTTCAGGCACAACCAACAATGAATTTATAAAAAGAGGCACTTTATCAGCCTCTTTTACATAAGACGAAAAGATTTTCGCTTTATTTACATTTACCTTGGATCCATATCTCGCTGCAGTTGCTGACACACTGTTTAGCATTATTTGCATTTCGCCATAACTGTCAACAAAAAGGACATCATTAGAAAGGTCTGTGATGGAATGCTCTGGATTTTGTACACCACTTGAGACAAACAATGTTCATTATCCAGTCTATCGCATAGTTGAATAGTTGAATATTGTATAGGAAAGGACACAGCCTTGACAAATAGCAGTTCTTATTTCAATGGAGCCTGTCAGTTCCCCATATAAATAAATCTGCGCCCATAAAATGCCTTTATGAGTCGAATGATCTTCTCTGGAATACCGTCGCGTGCAATTACCCATCACCGTTCTATTAATTGAATCGAAGGCAGTCGCAAAATCGATGAAACACGTGACAGTAGGTTGAAACATCTGAAGTGATGTTCCAACACTCTTCTTAACGTGAATATCTAGCTGCGCCGTCCCGGTCTGAATCCAGCTTGATTAGGGCGCATCCTGCTGTACTTCTATAAGCCTGTTGAGTAAAGTGGAGGGAAGCAAAAAATAATAAAAAATAAAAAAATAATAAATAATAAAATAATAAAATATTTTTAGAATAATTCAAAATTAATAAATTTATTAATTTAAAATTTATTGATTTTGAATTGAATTTGGTGAATGCGCAGTCAATTATGAAAAATTATGCAAAAATTTCGATAATTTCTCTTTAAATACTATTTCAATTCATTTGCAATTATCACAGTTATATTAAGTGTAATACTACGCATCAACATGTTACTTATAATCCTCATGAACAGAATTTACTATCCTAGAAATGACATTGAAATGCATTTTCTCCGAACTGTCAGTATATTATTATGTATATTATTTACATGAATTCCTTTTTGAGAATCATAACTTCCAACATTAAGCCAAAAGATTTACCTAACCTATCGTTAGTTTCACATCGTTTAACAATTGGGAATCAATGTCAGAAAAAAATGCTACATTTGTCGCCAAGGCAAAAAGCTGTTTTGGGGTCGGCTAGCTTCCACTTTTGACTCCGCTCGGCTTTTTAGCTCCTTCAATATGCCCTCGAAAAAATTAACAGACTTTTTCATTCCTTTGCCCAATTTTATATTTTATTTTTGTCGGTTTCGTCGTTTTATCTTGAATCCCTTTGCTGATTCGCTATCTTGCTCGCAATAAGACTGGATAATGATAACTGTTAAAATTGATTTTAACAACCAACGCTTTTATTAATCGATCTTTCTCTGGTCCTCGATAACTATAGAAAAAAGATAAACTGGGTCGAGTCCTATAGTAGTTCTTTGCTATTTGGCGACAGTATTTTTATACAGAAACTTAATCTTCGATAACTTAAGTGATCTAAATTGTCTTCGATCATAATACTATATAAATAGATTAGTATTATTAAATAAATTAAATAAACAAAATAAATGGTTGGTATTTGCTACACTGGTTATTAGTAGAATGCGATAATTTCTACAAAAATTCAACTGTAGAGGTAGAGATGAGTCCTTAACACTACCTCAGCCTATGAATTTCCTAACTTTTAAAGAAATTTAGCCTTATTTTTCCAGGACTACAGGTAGAACGATTATCAAAATGATAATCTATGCAACATATATTCGGTTGCGTTGTGGCATCACTATCACTGAATTTCTTGTTCATGAGCGCGTAAAAATATAATTCTTAAGAAAAGTAGCATTTTTTAAAATTATTTTCTGCATTTCATTGTTCGATGATTACTTTTTTCGTATGGTTCGACGAAAACTCTATTTTGAGTAAGAATTTTACTTTTCTTTATCTATGATAAATCATAAATTTTATATCAACGAATGCCAGCAATAGATGCATTTCCATGCTTTTTTTTGTAAATAATAATTTTAAAGTTTTTTATTGCTTTTGATAATTATTGAAATCGAAAAAGACGAATTCAACACATTTATGTAGTTGGCTTTTGGCATTTTTTGCAAATTTCTCAATATTTTATATTATTTATTAGATTAAAAGAACTATTTAAAATCGATTAAATCTTATTGATGCGGCTTACAATTGGCCTTGAAATATTTTTCATTTAAAATATGCCAGTCAAAATCGTCTACGCTATCTACATTATTTAAATATCGTTAAATCGTCTACATTATTTTTCGAAATTATTAATTTTTATAAATTTCCATTTAAAAAATATTTAAAAATATTTAGCTGATGGGATAATTCTATTAGGAATTTTCTATGTCTCAAAGTGGTTAATTAGAACGAAGAGACATAACATTTGATTTCAATTTTATTATTTCAAAAACTTAATGACATTTCTTTTATACATATATATGTTTATAATATTCTACTTTGGAAAGCAGTTTTTCTCCAAAATTTCTTTTATATTGTTTCATTCTTTTTCATATTTTCGGAAATTTCTAGAAATTTCTATTTAAAATTAAATTTCAATTTTAAGGACAAATATATGTTAATTTAATTAATTTGGCTAGCACAGGTAGATCTGTTAAAGAGGCTTGGACTCTTCTCCACGAGTAAATTTGTCATTAAAAAGTCCTGGTGCTGCTCGCGTTTCAATTGTATTCCTATCTACTAGAAATTTCTGATTGCATTAATCCGGCTAGCGAGCTTAACCAGAAATTATAAGCATAATTTAATTGTAAACGTAATTTAATTCATTCATTAAATATATGAAAAAATTTTTAATATATATATATATAGTAAAAGATGACATTTTGCGAAAATACTACTGAATCATTAGGAAAAAATTTCCAGTTAAAATGGTAGTAAATGTTTTTGCAACATCGGCAACAGTCGAACAGTGTTCACGTTACGAATTATTAGCATTCGTTAACAATTTTCTTAAGGTTTGGAATTGGATATTAAAATATTTTTCATAAATTTCCTCGCAATGCATCAAATTATTTTACAAAATTCAAAAGAAAAATTTACAACAAATCTGTCTATTCAGTAGAAATTAAGAGAATGTAATTAATACAGATTTATTTACAAGAAATTAGAATCTTTTTTAGGCAAATTTAACACGTATCGAAGAAATGGGAACAGGAGAAGCTTATTGTCAATTAACTGATATCTTATTTCCTGGAATAATCCAATTGAGAAAAGTAAAATGGAATTCCAGGAAAGAGCTCGATTGGATTGCCAATTGGCGTCTTTTGCAATCTGCTTGGAAGGACATTGGTGTTGAAAAGGTTCTTTCCTTCATGTTTTGTTCAAAATCACTAATGCATTAGTGAAATTTTAAAAAAAATTTAGACAAATTCTTTCTTTCATTCAAACATTTGAGTATTTGAACATTTGAGTATGTGAGCATTTTGTTTCTCGTCTTTTTACCATATTTTCTTTCCATATCCTACATTTCCTAAAAAGCTTATTAATCAATTGACTTTTTGAAATCCCTCTTTTATTCGATTTTTTAAATTTAGGTTGTCCCTGTTGAAAAATTATTGCGGTCTAAATTTCAAGATAATTTTGAATTTCTGCAATGGTTTAAGAAATTTTTTGACGCAAATTATCAAAATCGTAGCTACGATGCGCTTTCTGCTCGTTATGGTGAAGTATGGGTTTTTGAGAATTGTTCTCTGATATTCTTCAAATACCATTTTTTAAATCAAATAACCTTGGCTTCATATTAGGCCATTTGATCTAAGGTGACAGAATAGCCAAGTAATTTAGATTATTGTCTTCTTTGGAGCATGTCTCTGGCTTGCTTCAATATATATGAGTGAAATCCAGAAGGTATTAAGAACTTAATTTTACTCCCAAGCTACTCGTTGTAAAAATTATTCCAACATTCCAGCGAATGCAGCCAGCATTAACTTGCCAATTTATTTCATCTATAATTTATTTTCACCTAGATAATTGACAAATTTACTTCGTTGATATGGTTTAATTTTAGTTTTGTTTCTTATTACCTTTCAATTATCATCAATTATCTTATATCGCGAATAACTTTTTTAAAATATTTCACCGCTGTCACTCTTTTCTTTGTCTGGCAGCGAGATAAACTGGCTTGAAAACGCCTTATTCTAGTCACCAGTGGAATGAACCTCATTAGCAATGGCTATTTAAAGGTGGAAAAGATGGACTGGCGAGCACGACAAGCTTGCATTTCAAACATTGAACATGTAAGTGGTCATCATTTAGCGCTCATCATTTATGGTTAAGCTAGTTCTGTTGGCTGCTTGCAATTTTTGCTGGAGTTACTTGGCAATAGAATTTTGGGTGGGTTGCCAGAATCCAGTCGAGACATGATTGCCTCTTAGAACAGAATTTTAAATCACTATCATCTCAGCTATCCTTGAATTACTACCTGAAATTATCTGCATTAATTCAACAGAAGATGACTTTTAGCCCTTGCCAGCGATTTTATCACCAATTAACAACAAATCTGCACCCACGCGGTCGCATAGTGGTTCAAGCGCTGCATTAATCGCCAGCGTGAAAAGTATTAATTAATTTTATCAATTTTAACTTTATTATTTATGGATGACGAATAAGTTTCTTTTTAAATTTACAGAATCGAAGGTGACTTCTGCTGGCAGCAGATATAGGCACAGTGCTAGCCATTTAAATAAAGATACTTATGCCTCAAAAAAGGATTCAGTGGTATGAATATTACTGGTTATGATTGGCTGAACTGATTAAATTTTAGCATTTATTTTTTAAATTTATTTGACTGAGAAAAAAATTTTTTCTCAAGATTTCATAATGATTTTTCCTCAATCATCGCTTCTTTTATGTTTTTTGCCACAACAATTGTTGTCATTTTGGCCGATCGTTGAAAATTTTCGACCAAATTTCCCCTGCCTATTTCAATTATTTCACCCAATAAAAATGGGTTTCTTTCTTCGTCCTCTCCTTTTCTACGCGCTATTTTATGATGAATTGAAATAATTCTTCTACATTTTCATTCTTTTTAATTAATTGACGATATTTAATATTGAATTTAATTAAAGAAAACAAATGTCATATTTTTAATTCATTGATTATTTTTAATAAAAAATATTAGGCAAATGTTTATGAGGATTTTTTGGTCGACTTGGAAAAAGAACGAGATTTTTATTTTAAAAAATTGAGAAAAATCGAGATAATTTGTCAAACAGCATTGTCCGAAAAAAAGAAAGTAGTTCCGGATGTGATACTCGATATACTTTATGAGACCGAGGTTTCTTTTATTCTTCTTCGATTTTCATTTGTTTACAAAATGGCATCGAACTGATGATAACCATAATTTTCTTGAATTATGGCAATATTCCAATTGCAAGCGAAACTTTAATTCGCGCTCATTTTAGCAGAAATTTTCCAATAATGGAAAATGGCACACATCGATAGTATCACATGATATGGCAGCGAAATAGCCCAATAAATGAGTCTATTTCAGAAACCTATAAAACCTTCAAATTAAAAAATCCAATCTAATTTCACAAATTATTGGTTTTTAGGAAGGATTTGCAGCTCCCGGTGTCTCCTTGCAGTCTGGCAAAAATTGAAAAATTTTTTTATTTTATTACTAATATTTTTTGTATTCATTTTATTTAATAACCGATATTGAATGTTAGATTTTTTCACTTCAAACTGTATTCATTTTCACGTGATTTTTTGAAGAAATCTTTTCTAAATACAGAAATGCAAATGGTAGCTTTTTAAGTTCAATTCAGCCTGGATTTTACATGCCGATCAATCCAATCAATCTAAGAAATATTTCGTATTGTTGGCTGACATCAACGGATTTCTGTAAAGAAACATAAAAAATTGGAAGAATAAAAGATTGCAGCAAAGAATTCTGCAACTTAGTGTTGAAAAAATGAAATGAGAAAAAGCACTTTGTTTATTTAAAAGTGAAACAAAGTAAAAGTGATGCTTTTGTGTAATAGGAATAACACAGAACATTAGCACAGTGCAACACTGATAAAACATGATAAGGAAATAAACAATAAACAATGAAACGCATTAGAAAAAAAGGTGCGTTAATGCCGTGCATGCTTTTATTCAACATGGCGCAGAGAAGCGTCAGTGGCCACGATGTTTGGATATTTGGTTGTGAAAATCCAGGGGAAAATGGAAAAACTGGCTGAAAACTTGGCAAAAATTTTCCATATAAAAGTTCTACTTGATATTTGATTTTTTAAAATAATTCTCTAGAAAATACAGATGCTTCGAATGAATGAAACAGCATATTCAAAATATATTTTTTTTTGCTTGTTATTATAAATTTTCTAATGATTAAGTGATTTGAACAAAAGACTTTTCAAAAAATAAGGACTTTCCAAAAAAATTTTTTATCATAGGAATTCCTAAACAACAGGTGTTTCAGCTTTTAATTTTAAAGGAAAGCAAATTTCAAAAAAAATCCATAGAAATCCAAATTGTTTTAATGAAACTACTTATTACTACTAAATAGATATGTAAATTTCATTATTAATGTATTAATTTTATTATTTAATATTTATTAGGAAATTTGTTTTGCAAAAATTATATAAATTTCAAAATTTCAGAAATAAACATATTTTTTGAAAAAAATTCGGATAGAAAAATTTCCATAAAATGAACTAAAATAAATTACCAAAGAAAAATTGATAAAGCCGTACGATAAAATATTTTAGATAATTTTAAAATAATTTGACATTAAAAAATTTTTTGAGTCCATTCACAAAATAATACACTATTTTGTGGATTTCTTAGCGCCATTTCCATAGTAATTTACTTAAAATAACTTCCAGTAATAATAAAAATCAATTTAACACTAAAAATAGTGTTTATGAAAGACTTTAAAGATATTAAGAAATCATTTTTTAGACCATTTTATAGATTTTCAGATTTCCTACCGAATCAATTCAATTTATTTAATTTTATTTGCAGTCACAACCAAGTGACCTCTGGGTGTCAAATTTGACTTGATGCTTTTGGTATCAATATCAGGTGGCAAGTTATAAGTGCGATTCACTTCGCGTCTGATATCGCAAACTTTTTCATTTTCAGGTTCATGAAGGCAATGAACTGTGAGTTGGTTTGCTATAACTTTTACCTGAAAAACACTAGTCAGTGAATTTTAACTTTTAACTTTTCGAAATGGCGCTATTCGCTCTTCTTATTGAGGCTCTGGCTTTGGCACAATTACTGCAGATATTTTTTCAACTATAAAACTGACTGAAGCAAAAAAACCGAAAAGACACAAAATAATTTGTTTGATCTATAAATCTAAACGTTAAGGAGAAGAAAAAATTTTACTTCAATCTCCTTTGGCGTGAAAGCGACAGCCTCAAGTGTAACTTCAAACTTGTCGTCAGTATTAATCACTTGAACAATACCACCACCGCGATTTAGTGGCCAATCCCACTGTTCTACAGGTTGAGTAATAGAAATACGACGTTCTTCCATTTTACGTCTGATAGAAAAAATCCTTCAAAAAATTTTCACTATTTAAATCTCTATCGGTTTATACAAACGAAGCACCAAAATATTAAAAAAAAGAAGATGCCACCGATACTAAATATGCAGTTTTATTGAGCTTATTTAATATTTGAGAATAAAAATTCATCTTGAAAAACAGTAATTGCAAATCTGTTTTGAATATTTTTAATTTGAAGGACCAAATATTTTTTACTTTCACTTTTGCAATATTTTCTAAAGATTTCTTACAGATAAATGCAAAAGATGATGGGTGAAAGTTGAAATCACTGCAAGAGTAATAAATTAATGCTACTTGTCTCTTACTATTAACGAGACAAGGGAAAAAACTGGAGCGGAAAACAACTCAAGCTATAATCCGTGGTTCTAATCCACTTCTATAACTGGATTTAATTCATTAATGAATCGAAGTAAGTGAGATGAACCGCAAATTGTTTTGAAAGGGGCAATCTCGCTAGTTCAGGTCTTATTTTTTTAAATTATTAGTATTCAATAATAGCGCAGTACGGTGGCAGTGGTTCTTTTGTTCTGAGAATTTAAAATTTTACAACGCTGTTACAACCATTGGATCATTGAGGTTCCTCAAGGAGCTTTTATTACTTGCCTTATTCATACTTTTCATACTTTTCTACCTATTTTAATTTTTAAAAATTAAAACTAAGCAATTTTCAAGAATTCACCGGTCTCTTTTCAGGCAATAACTTCACCTACAAAATGTTAAGGCCAAACACGAGCCAACTACTTTATCAAAAATGAAAAAAATCAAATAATGCCACAATAATATTATAAAATGGTGTCGGCCAGCAGGATCGACTGAAAGAGTTTGATTTTGATTCCCAGAGATCTTCGGACTACACTTTGAGAACACTGAGCTTAAGCCTTATGAAAAAATTAACCATGGATTTTTACCAAAAATATTATCCAATTTGCAAGGAAAAAATTCGATTTACATCGAGTATAACATTAAAGCCAGTGTAGAGGAAGGCTTGAATTAAATCCAAATAGCTTCGATTTGATTTTAGCATAGAATGCGGGAAACCTGTCCAGATAAATTAAGTTTCGGGCAAATGCCGAATAATGGTTGTAGAAATAAAGTAATTGAGGAAAATGATATTCTTCAACTGAGCTCGAGTTTATTTTCCGCCCTTTATATAATTAAGATCGACTGAAAACTGAAATCCACCTGACCTCGTGAACATAATTTGTTCTCTCCATTCTTTAGTGTAGATAAATAACTGTCTTCTTTTGAGAAAAAAAATCAGTAAACACAATTGTTTCTTCCCACTGTATCCTATAATAAACTTTCTTTTGCTAAAAACTTTGAAGTATATACTTGAGATTGAGGAACAATTTTATAGAAAATTTTTTTTCTGATAAAAACTGTCTGTGCACTAACCTAGAATAAGGCTTCCTCGCCAGAGAATTACTTGGAGAAAGTATAAATGATGCCTAAGCACCAACCGAAATTCCTTTTTAATAAGGATCTTGCTCCATCAATGTACAGTGGACAATTGAGCTTGACCGAAGCAATTTTTCGTTTTCTATACATAAATGTGCAAATGATTATCGTAGTTATGTGCGCCAAAATGGTTTACGCCGAATAATTTTGAAAAATATATCGAAAAACTCTCAGCTGCTTCTAGCAAATTTTTAACTTTTAAAGAGCGATTTCAGAAAACCAAAGAATCCAAAACTTTAAACAAAATTGGATGCCATTTATCATCGCTATTATAATCAGTAATTAATTTTTCATCATCAAGCCTGCTCAGCTGACACGCTTAGAAATTCTTATCAAATAGCCAACTAAAATATAGGTCACTTAATCAGTCCGACTTCTCAATGACAAGCCTACTCGCATCGGAGGCAACAACCGTACTAGTCTTAACACTGCAATCGCAATTATCCTCTCTTCTCCCCAATTTTCCTGTTTAGCACATGCATTCTATAGATTTAAAAAATATAAAATAAAAAATCGAAGCAAATCTTTTGCATTCCATTTCAACCCAAATAAATCGCACTTATTATTGTTAAATTTTCTTCATAAATTTAGATATTGTTCAATAATAAAATAATAATAATAACAACAATAATAATAACATCCATTCTCCTCAAATTGTTTCGACATCATCGATTAATCAATCTATCGTTTATTGTTTAATTTCATACATTAATTTATTATTTCAAATGAATTTATTTTCCAAGTCATCTAATGGGTGGATAATGAATTGTGAAAAGAATTAATTAACAGCATGATTTCTGAACTCTTCGACATGTGATGTCCTTTCTTTTATTAAATTACTGATACTTACCGTATTTATCATTAATCATATCTATTTAACAGATAAAAGAAGCAGATAAATGATCGCGTTACTTATTATTGATCCAGATCACTTGGAATTTTCAAGATTAATTAAATAACGTCGTTTAGGATCAGGTCGTTTCTCTTTTATATAAAGCAAAAATTATACGAAACATCATATCAACTGCATTACTTTTTCTCGGTCACATATGCTAGTTTTCTAAGACTTTTGATTTTAATTATTTTGACTTTAATTGAATAAATTGTCTAGTTGGACATATAATCACATAATATTGTAGTTCGAACAAATTCATCGAATTTAAAAAATACGACTGATGAAAATATTGCATAAAACTTAAAGCAAAAATAAATGACAAAAATAAATGACTCAGATATACTTCTACTGTCAAGCGAACCCTTGACAAAATTTAGTCTAACAAACCAAGTGAGCCTAATCAGAAGCGATGAATGAAAAAAATACATGGATATTATCCATAAAAAAGATTATATAAATGATTTCTACTAATTTCAACCTCAATGCCAGAGTCATGGTGAGCAAATTTTATGTAATATATAAACATTATATAGAAGAGCATTTGAATTTAATTAACCCCACATATTACGACTACTTTAAAAAAATTCATATTTTATATTATTTTGAATTCTCAAAACATATCCGAATATTACCAATATAACAACCAAAACCGCTGGTACGAATAAAGAAAAAAAAACACAAAGTAGAATAAACATAAACAACACACGATTTTCAAAAGATATATGTTGAATCTTAGCAAAAGATATTTTAAGCATTATTTTTCTATTACTTTGAACGAGATATTATAATCCAGCTAATAACGAAATAAAAAAGAAAGACAGGATATACTGACAAAGCTTTTCTTCTAGGAGGCTGTGATGTGGCGAAAAATGTCATTGATGCTATAAAAGTAACAAAATTAGAAAAATTATTGAAAACCACATTTGAATTACGACCTTAGAGAAAATAAAATTTACCATAAGTTGCCCAAGAGAAACCAGCAACAGTTACCAATAAACGAAGCGCGAACAGTGTAGTTGTTTGTTCTGAACTAAACACAATCAGTTTACAGACTATTGCTGCTGTACCAGTAGGTAATAGGCAATATCCAAGAACGCACAGTGATTGAAAAAATGATCTGGAAGCAGTTTCGAAAATGAAAAGAATTACTGATTACTGATGATTACTGAAAATTACTGATAGTCACAAACATTTTTCCACCAAGAAGTTTCGTATTTAATGTAACGATACAAGAGCCAAAGAATGTTAATGTAAACATTTCAGTAAAATGAGGTCCATTACCCTCATTTCCATCTTGCAGTAATCTAAACATAAGTATTACAGATTTTTTTTAAACAAGAAAGATTTATAAAGAGAATTCGTTTTCAAATACCTTACCTGGTTCCTGTTGAAAAAGGACTATTTTCATGTTGAAAAATAAGCCAAAAAATATAAGAATGAAATAATACAAATGAACAAGACTAACAACGATAAAAAAACGCAAATAAATAAAGGTCCCCAAAGATCCCATTCTCGAATTAGTCGATCATTGTTTTCAGGCATAAAAACATGCTTGAACTTCGCTCCAACTGCATTCATATCACGTTTCTTCAAGCAGAAAATTTTTCATAGTATTTGAAATAGATAATTACAAATTAAATTAAAAGCTAGATTATTATTCGGTACAAAAAAACGAAATAAATGCACTCGAAAGAGGAGAAAAATAAAGAAATAACGCAAAAACTTACGACCGTATCCCATACTGGCTCATTTAGTGTATCAAAATCAGTTTCTAGGCTTGGAATTTTATTAGCTTTTGTACCAGCGATATCACCACTTAAATCTGGATATTGACGAGATTGTTCCTTCGAAACTATCTGCTTCTCTAGCTGCAAATATTCACCTAGAAAACTCAATTTGTAGTTTAAATATTTCTGAATCTTTGCTTCAATCTTTGTTTTTTCAGAAAAAAAAAACTAACCAAATCGATATCAACCGCGACACTACTAAAATTATTTGTTGTCATCGTCTTTGGCACGGCTAAATAAAATTTCTATTATGGAATTTCTTATTTAGTTGTCCGATTAAATAATTTAATACCTTGGATCCACTCTAATCCCAAATGGCCAGGCAAAGGATGAAACTGTAACCTGGATAACGACAGCTAAATATTTTTCTAGTTGATGAAAACTTTATGGAGCCGACGCGAAATCACCATAAAGACGACAATCCGGGTTCATATAGCTGCAATTCGCTCGATCTTGCTATATGACTGCGAAACATGGCCAATGAGAGTAGAAGGTATTGAGAAGCTATTAGCCTTTGACCACTCATGTCTAAGGTACATTCTACGGATCAGATAAAATCGCACATGATTGTATCCACCTTCGCTCAAATACCACTTGCATAATGATAGTTAATAATGATAGTTATCACAGAGCTTCGCCTTCGCTGGTTAGGGCAAGTTCTCCGCCGTTCTCCACCACAGGAACTGACGCATATTTCGCTGAACCCTGTGATGGTTGGCGTCAAAAGCGAGGAGGGCCAGTCAAGACCTGGATTAATACAGCCAGGAAAGATTTTGAACATATAGGGAGACCAGCGATATATGGACTTAGAAAAAGAAATGAAATGCCTTCTATTACTACTAGCAATGCACCGAGCAGCTTGGAAACGTCTTATCCTTATAGTCAATGGAGCCAGTCTAACCAGTGATGGTGAGAACTGTTAGAAGATTAATTTAAAATTGGCTTCGTAATAAAGTAATCAATTTTTTCATGAAAATTTAAGACTGCTTCCTTCGACAACAATCTTATCCGAACCGATGAGATTTGTTGTATCTTCGACAAGTCGAGAACCAATTATTTCTTCGAAACTCAACGTATGCTCTCCACCTTTATTGTCGAACATACAACAATCGCTGATTTGCACTCAAATATTAATCTGAAAAAAAAATTCCATTATTTCCAGACGTTGTAACAATAATTTTAAATCAGCTGACGATAAGTTCCAAACAAATTGGTACAAAAATAAAATGCGGTGGCGCTTTCGTATTATCCGAGCCACCAGTGACTGAGTTCACTGCAACGACAAAACGGCTACAATGACATAGAAATAATAATATAACATTGAATTTATGGGAGGGGAAAATTATTCCGATTAAAAAGGCTAGCCAGCACACTTAATTTAGACCGTGGACAACAATATATCACATAGTGAGATTTTCAAAAACTTAGAAATAATAAAAACTGCCATATTAACGCTGCAAAAGGAATTTTATCAATAGTGATAACGAAGCAATTACACGTGGCGTTTTGATTCAACAATTTGTTAGCAATGAAAAATGTTCAATAACAAGCCTGATTTGAATTCCATAAACCATAAAACCACTCACAGTGATAATATCTCCCAAATCACAAAACTTCTAAATTTACTTCTAAATTTCAATGAAAGCCGAAGCCTACCGACATTTAGCAACGACACTTAGGACACTGCTTTTCAGCGCCGACAATTCCTCAATGACTTATTAAATACACTGAGTTTGATGGAAATAAAACAAAAAACAACGAAAGGAATGAAAAAATTTGGATGGAGACGAGAGGAAAATACAAATGGAAATGCTCGGCCACATGTAAAGTTTACTTGCAACAATTTCAGATGTTCAACAGTCTGCCAAAGAACAAATTTTCTGCAAAAAACTTCATTAAAGATGTTATCAATTCGTTGCAATGCTTATTCGGATCCAGAGGATCAACGTCAGGATGAGTCAGACCACCGCATAACCGACAAGTGACAAGGGAAATATAATTTCAGCATATCAGAACATTTAATATCATTGCAATAGAAATTTAAATAATTTAACAAGGTACAAATCTTTTTCAATTTCAATCATTCATTATCGACCGGTTGCCTAACATTTTTGCTAATTTTCCTTTTTTTGAATTCAATAGTAACTCCTTCCATTCTTCTTTTTTGGTGAACGCGAGCAACCTTTTCCGAGAAAATGTGCTTGTCTTCTTTCGATATAATTTCACTTTCCTTTTTCATTTTATTTGCTTCAGGTGGCAATTCGAGGTTTCTAAAATCGAACTAATAATAATTAGTAGACAATAATTAGATAAATAGATAATGAAACAAAAATTTTATATGATGTGGAATACTTTAATTGTTTTCGTATTATATATTATAATATACTAAGTTTATAATTTTTTTAAAAGAGTCCTCGCCATTACTGGTCAAACTCGCCCCACTGTCTTGTCGCATTGGTCAACATGCTAGGGAGTCCTCTGGCGATAGAAATACAGGTGAATCGCCAGCATCACCCGGATTTTTGTACAGGTTTAATCCTACGGGGAACAGAATCTCAGCATCGGCGCTCCCAATTGAGCAACAACCTACTGAGCCATTCTATCCCTCACTAAGTTTATAATATAATACAAAAATAATACATCACATAAAATTTTATAGATAGGTATTTGTTTTATCTTTTACATTATATTTTATAGATTATATAAAACATATTTTAAAAAAACAATATATTTTATGATATAATATAATAAAAAATACTATAAGTTAATAAAATATGATGTGGAATATATTTCAATTAGTAGAAATTCTCTGATTGTTTTTTGAATATATTTTTAATGCAAATACTATCAAAATTTTCACGAACATTTTTCCAATTTTGGCTGGCATTTTGATACAAGATCTATATTCTTCACTAATATTTGTAGATTGAAACTGTGATTCAACTGGAGCTTCGAGAATATCCTTTTCTGAATCGTCTCCTATTGAATCCTTCTCGCCATTTTCTATCTTTGTTGTACTTAATGTGATTTCCGTTTCTTTTGCGAAAATATCCTTAAGTCGACAAAAAAATTACTTATTCCTTCAATAAGAAAATGCTATCTTTACCAGAAATGCAGATTCACCTGAGTTGGTGGAAGAGGTATATCTGAATAATTTATATGAAACATAGATGATTCAGTCATATAGTTTGATTGATCAGATGATTCGGTCATGTCGTTAGATTGATTGTGTTCTGCAATATTCTGTTCTGCTTGTTGACCAGAATTTGCCACTGCATCTGAATCGGATGAATCTAATAATTTGTTATTATGTAATGTGTAATGAAATGAAACTTGCAATGAAAAAAAGAATTCTGTATAATCGTTAAAAAATGAACTGTCTCATTTGTCGTACACGATATGGAATTCTCAAATTTACTATTATCCACAAAAATAATACTGTTGTTAGTGGAAAAAGTAGAATTGGATACAGATGAGGTACAGTTTTCATGAATGGTAGAGAATTTTGCATTATATTCATCGAAAGTATAATATTTTTCCGGAGCTGACCATACAGATTCTACAATGAACCAAAATATTTATCTCAAAATGGTATGTGCTTTACAAAAGATAAAAATGAATTGATTTTGGTTTTAAGCGAAAAGTAAGATTGGAAAATTCTGCAGTGGTTCTAACGATTAGTTTTAACCTGTAAATTCCAACAATTTCCTTCAAACAAGCTGATAATAGTATCAAAGGTAAATTTCATTTTTGATTTTTCATATTGCTAATCAATTATTTTATTTTCATTTTCTCATAAACACAGAGTTCCTTTAGAGTCCCTTTTTAAAATATATATAATTTAAACACAAAAAACGATAAAACGAATATTCATAAAATGATCATGGCTTATTATTATTCTCTAGCGTATTGTAGCGTATTGAGGAATTTATATCATGGATTAACTTTTGTTAAAATTTCATTTGATTTCCACCATAAAATTGATTAATAAAAAAAAAGAACGTTGTGAAAAGTAAATTTTCCATTCCTATTTAAAATACGATTAATAGAATCGGTCTGAAGAACGAAATAAATTTTTACCTCCAGTATACATATGGAAGTAATAAGAAGTGCCATCATCAATCTTCGTTTCCACCCAAAGAATTTCTTCTTCAACTTTCGCTTCGATTTTTTCTGGTTTATTTATCACATCCGTAATATTCGTAACTTTTTGAAATGGAGTGGCATTTCTTCTTTCTGTCCGCTAGAAATGATGTGAAAGTAATCTTAATAAAATATAAAATATTAATCAAAAGACAGAAAAGACAGACAGAAAAACAAAAAAGTCGCCTTCATGAGTCTTACCTCGCTCTTTTGTTTCGATATTTCTTTCGCCATGCTAACAACAGATGCTTTATGAGCTCGTGGATCCAAATAGGATTTAGGCTTGAGCGACGGCCCAATGATATCACCTTTAAAGGATAAAATACTGAATTAACATTGACATCAATATCGATTAAAGGTTCACCAAATATCAATGTGCATCACTAACTAAATTTCGAAAGTTTTATAAGATAATTGACAAAACTAATGAATGTATTTAGCCTTTATAAAAAAAAAGAAACAAATAAGGCAATTTCTATTTTTATTTTTTGTTGTAAAGTTGATTTTATAGCAAACGAAATTTTAAAATAAAAATTAAAAAATTCGATAATAACAAGGAAGATTCTTGCAAGATGCTTTAACATTTGATGTCATGCTACTGAGAGCCGCTGATTCCATCATCGCTAAAGTAGCTTGCAAAGATGCTTGCTGAAATTTAAAAAAAAATTTAAAAAATTTTTTTAAATAAAAATTTTAAAAATAAAAATAGAATAAAAAATTTAGAATAAAATTTAGAATAATAAAATAAAAAGAAGGTTCAGAAAAAAAGCCCCAAGGGAAAATATCCACTTCTATATCTCCATCCTTCCAGTTCCACAACTTCTCTTTCTCACCAGTAAATATACCATTCACATATCAAAAAACTTATAACACATATCTCAGATACCATTTCTAATTACCAATAAGTGATATGGACGACGTAATTTATAAATACCCATATTTTAAGGAAATTCGGTTTAACGGACATTTCGCCCTACTCACGGCAATTGTAATTAACGATAGTTGCTTTTCGGCTTACAAAAAAGACTCCTCAGTAAAGGGTTAGAAAAAGCTGAATTCGTAAAGAGAAAAAATTTGTCTTAGCTTATCTAATTTTTTATCAATAAATTGAAAGCTATTAAATGAAATGAAATAAATGAAAAGTAATGATTCCTTGAATTTCCTAAAATTTGCTGGTAAAATTTACTTCCTTTTCTTTCAGCTTACTTTGTTTACCAACTTCACGAAGTTTGGCTTGTATGGCCGCTTTATGTTTCTGACCAGCTTCGTGATGCTGTATACTGACTGAATTATCTGCGAACCACACCTTTAAGAATATTAATAGTAATTAGAGAAATAGAGAAAATTTGAAAAAAATAAGATGAAAAATTAAAAAGCTAAATATTAAATATTTAAAATAAAAAATAAACAGCTTTAAAAAATGAAAGAAAAAATTGATTAAAAATCTAAAAAACTAGATTGTCAGTGAAACTTTAGGGTTTTAAATTTTCGACGATCTGTTACAATTTCGCTAAAACTTTTTATTCGACTCTAAAATATTAAAGAAAAAAAAAGAAGCCTTGCATAATTCGCAAAATTTTCGAGCATTTGATTTCCAAACATCCGTCATTTCGTCTCGTTTTATACACACTATAATTAAAAATATATGAATTTTACAAATTTATCATGCATAAATAATTTACTAAAGAATATTAATATATAAAGAACGATATTAAATACGAAAAATATTAAAGAACGATATTAAATACGAAATTGACACATTAGCCATATGAAATTTTTCTGGCAAATTTTCACTTTATTTTTTACAAATTTTCGCTTTATTTTTATCTTTTTTATCTTTTTTTTGTAAATTTGATGATTTTTATAATTTATTAATAAATTATATAATTAATAAATTTTATTGAATATAAATATTTATACAGATTTTTTTCTCTAATCATTTCATTCAATTTTCGCATCAAAAAAGAGCAGTCTTTATCAAGACCTTGATATGATCAACGGATTTCTTACAGGCTATCTGGCGATGTATAAATATGAAAGTTGGAAAAGGAATGGCTTCTCTTAGGCACAGCAGAAAAGAAAACATCAGCTAAGTGAAACAAAAAAATGAATTTTTTTAAAAATTTTTTTAGAATACAAAGAAATAGGGCATTTTTTGTTAGATTCGAAAGAAGATGCGATAACTTTGACAGTGGCAATCTTGATAAGATATATGATAAGATACAGTTTAAAAAAAGTCTGATAAAAACTAATGAAAACTACAAAAATATAAATATTCATTAGTATGGAGATAAACTTGACTGATTGCACTGAAAAGCAATTAATTTCTAACGAAATCACATTAATCGAATTAAAACTGATCACTTCATAAGACGCCTCACGACTCACCGGTATTTCTATCGCCAAGGAACTCTCTGGCGTATTGCTCAATGTGACAAGCCAGTGGAGCAAGTTTAACCAGTAATGGTGAGGACTCTTAAAAAAAAGGTTAGAGGTAAAAATAAACCACCGTCAAGGAAAGAAAAAAACAAGACAACAGCGCTCACCATTCCTAGTCCTATTTGAAGTTGGCTATTTGAAGTTTTTGCTAGGGAATCAATCAACGATGGAATCAGCGGTTGAAAGAAACGACAGACGAGTCACCAGAACCCACTCGGGAACGGTTTCACTCGTTCCAGTGGCAAAGGCCGAATCACGACCATATGAGCCATTATCCACTCGGCTACCGTGCCCTCCTAAGAAAATATCAATCGATCAGAAATCGATTTAATTATAATCACTTCCCTTAATAATTTAATTTGTAAAAGACAATTCAATAAAATAATAAAAAAATTTTTCAGCTCACTTTCAAAAATCAGCCGATTTTTGAAGATTTCTAAATCTCGGTGCGACAAATTTGTTATTGATAAATTTTACAAAAAAATTTGTTCTATTATTTCCTTAGGCATTAAAATATAATTTTTAATAAATTTTTTATCATTTTTTTAATTCGATCGTTTAAGAATTTTTTATTATTTTTAATATTCAGTTTGCTCGCATTAATTAATTTAATTAATTTTGTTTTTCTTTAGGTTTTGGAATTTCTCCTTCAGTGTTTGCAACGATAATCGCAGTTCCAATTTAATTTATCGAATTCGTGAAAAGGTGAATCTCTGACACTTTCCGCTTACGTGGACAGCAGCAGTCTTCACTGAGAGTGTGGGGTCTTGCGATACTTTTCGATTATGTGAGCAGCACTAATCCTCACTTAATGATAATAGTACAACAAGTCTTTCGATACTTCTCGGTCATATGGACAATAAAAGACCACAGCAGGTTTTTGGGTACTTTTCGCTTGTATGTAAATATATATGTAGCAGAGATCCTCATTTGATGTTGAGGATGCAGAAGAACCATAGGATACACCCGTGAAGGATATGTGAAAAGAAATATGAGAGAGAGAAGGAAGGTAAAGGGGAAATGAGAGAAAAAAGAGAATAGGAATATCTGAGTGGCTGTACACGTAACCGAAAAGTTTTCCTTTCTTGATTTTAATGAAAATCTTTTAATGAATAAATTTTGAATGGAAATTATATTTTACGCCACATTATTTATTTAACAACTTATTTTAGAAAATTACATCGTTTTTCGAAATTGTATTTCAACATTTAACATGAAATGTGATGGTGATGGTGGTGGCGGTGACGCTAGTAATGATGGTGGTGATGACGGTGATTGTGGTGGTATTCATATAGTTACACCTCCTTCCGATTGTACAACTCTAAAGGAATCCATCTATCACAAGGTTGCCATATTTCCTCATTTAAGTATAAATTATCTTGTCGTAAGATGTTTGTTTTAGCAAAAAGCAAAATTTTCTTCTTTCCTTCTTTTTACCAAAAAATCTTTTAAAAATACAAGATTCAATTGTGGGAATGCATGGCATTTGTTCGTTTTTTCAAAAAAAACATAAATTATTTTTAATTTGTTGGCAGTTGTGAATTCTTAATATTTAATGTATAATTTTGTTGTAATAATTTATTAAATTCAATAAAATTAATATTTTTTTAAAAATATTTAATGATTTTAGTCAAAGTTGTATTGGTCAAATATAACTTCTGATATCGATGGAATGATGGGTGGATTTTCTAATTTGCACCATGTTGATATATTATTTTCTAAACGTTTCATACAAAGCTTACGAAGCTTGGTATTTTTCTATTTTTTTCTGGATTTTCTACTTTTAAATTGTGATACATTTTCCTCCTAATCTTATAATGGCTTTTTTTCAGTTCAGTTTTAGGTGATTTTCATTCCATTAGCAATAGAACAGATTCAATTTTGAATAATATTTATTATTTTTTATTTTGTACATTTAAGAAATTAAGAAATTTGAATTTAAGAAATTTTTATATCATCACGAACGTGCAATTGATTGTGGCTGTGGTGTTGGACGTATTACAAAAAATCTTTTGCTCCCCATTTTTAATACGGTAGACATGGTAGATATTACTGAAGAATTTATTGAGAGTAAATATTATTCTTATTTTTTATCATTTTATGTTATTGCAGTTTTAATAAAATTGATGGATAGTGTATCATATTGGTGTATTGCTTAGACTTTCTTGGGTGGAATAAGCTTATCGTTAAGAAATACGGTTGACGTGGCGAATTTAATTGTATTCTAGTGCTAGTGGAGCTGATTGCATTATTTCAAAAACTAAGTGGAAAAATAGAAATAACCATTCGTGAATTCTTTCTTTTTTGAAATATTAAGATTACAACATTTCGAGGGGAAAAATCTCTATGGGATTTTTTATCTTATCTATTTTCTATCTTTTTAGAATTTTTATTGTAAAATTCGTTGCCTTTCAACAGCATAGCCAACGGTATTGCAAGAAAAACAAAAAGAAGGAGTTAATGATAGAATATGTGGAGGCGTGAGAAGATAGGATTATATAGTTTCATGCGAATTTCTGCAGATTTTGGTACAAGAAATAAAAACTGATAATATAATACTATAATAGGAAGTAATGAATCAGGAAACTCATTATTGGCGTGGAATTAGTGCGAGAAATTATGTAAAGATGACTTCTTGCAGACTATTCTTGCAATCAAAAATTGTATTTTCCTTTTTTTTCATTTCTTTTATGCTATTTTTCTGTAATTTTTGTTTTTTTTAGAGTCAGCAAAATATATTGGTAGAGAAAATAAACGAGTGGGAAAAAAGTACATTTCTGGTCTACAGGATTTTGTCTTTTTAAACAATTATTATGATATTATTTGGATACAGTGGGTGACTGGTTATTTAACGGATCAAGATTTGGTCAAATTTATGCAACAGTGCAAGGTAAATTTTTTCCACATAAGACGCTAAAAATGAGATCTGCAGATTTCTAGCGGTCCCTAAGATCCTTTCAGGGGTTCTTGTGGCTAAAACCATTTTCATAGCACCATAACAGAAAAATTTTCTTAATTTTATTTATTTCCATAAGATAAATATTAGTAGATATTTATTTCCATAAGATAAATATTAGTAGATAAAGGAAAGCAAAAATTTCTTGCAGGATCCTTATTATTTTCAAGAGATATTTGGAGTAAAAAATTTTGCGAGTTTGCAAAAAGTTTTTAGTTTTTGATTGATATTATTTACATTATTTTTTCGTAGAATTTTATACAATAGGAAAAACTATTGTTCATTTTTTTTCGCAATATTTTGCCATTTGTAAAGAATTAATAATCGAATTGCTTGAATCTCATTATTTGTTATTATTTTCATTACATAGAAGTAAGCTGTAGTCTCGATAACGATGGAAATTTTTGTTGTATTGTAATTGAATGGACAAATTTAATGATAATAATAATAATGATAATAATCAAAAATCCTTTTTTTATAATTGTTTAAATCTCGAGAATGTATTTATTTACATTTTTTATATTCTTTTTTATTTTTTCTTTGATTATAAATGTATTTAAGAATGGAATCAAAAAAGGAGGATGTATAGTTATTAAGGATAATGTTTCAACAAACGATAAAGTGTTCTATGATGATGAAGATGCTAGCTGGACAAGACCAAAAGATCAAATAGTTGATTTATGTAAGCAAAGTGGTCTTAAAATGATCCACGATAAGAAACAACAGAATTTTCCTGATGATATGCTACCAGTTTATATGATCGCATTTCGTTAAAATATCCGTTGCTTATAAAAATTTCTCTTTTTTTTATTTTATAAAAATTAAAGGAAAATATTCGATATTACTTCAAATGTGCCTTCATTTTGCTATCTCATATAATTCTCGAAAAATAAGTACATATAACTCGTACAAGATGATCGGTTAAGATGATCTGTGTTATTATACTTGACATTTCAGACAAGAAGCCTACATTTGATTTATACATTTGATGCAAATTTTATTGTAATTTTATTTGAATTACAATAGGTAGGATAGGACTAGATTGTTTTAGTTCAAGACGAACAGAGGTGAGCAAAGTGATTAAGTGGTAATGTCCCTGTGATGATAGGAAGGAAAAATCCAGACAGAGCTTGGTCTCATCTTCATCTAAGTTGCTCTGATGAAAGAATCTCACTCTAATAATCAATGGAGCTTACCAAAAGTTATACCGAGAAAATAAAAAAAATTTGTGAAGACAAAGAGAATTAGGGGAGTAGGTGCCTAAATTTGATTAAAGAAGCATTGATTTAGGTGATTGCTTGAAGTATATCGATGATATCTGCGTTGAAAAAGAAATTCGCGACTTTTGAGGGAAGTCAGCCGGATTTATCGAAACGAAATAATATCAGTGGTAGCGGTCAAATGCCCGAAGGAGTCGTCACTATTAGTCCTGATTTACAAAAGAAATATGCTAAAGGTGTTCAGTATAATAGTGGGTTTCTTTCGATGATTCCTCATAAAATTTTATAAATTTTTAGGAAATTATAAATTTCGCATATTATTATGAAATATTTTATGAATCTTTTTCAAAAATGGCATTTAATAGTTTGGAAACCTTGCTCATTAATAAATACCGATATTGTCTGATGTAGTGAAAATTGTTATACGTGGTGATCGAAGTGTTGGGAAAACGAGTTTATGGCGTCGTCTTCAAGGATTATCATTTTTGGAAAATTACATTCCTACAGAACAAATTCAGGTTTTATTGTATTTCCTTTATTTTTGGAAGAATTTAAAAGTTTTAGTACGTATATATATGTTTTTTTTTCGAAGGCTGCAACGATTCATTGGAATTATCGAAATACAAATGACATCGTCAAAGTAGATGTATGGGACGTTGTCGACCAAAGTAATAAGAAGCGTATAAAGTCAGAGGGACTAAAATTGTCAAATGCAGATGTTAAAGTTAGAACTTTCGTTAAATGTGGATGTTAGTTGACAGCTTTTGAAATAATTTGCTTGGCTAATTAGATTTTGAGTTTTTCTTTTTTAGTTTGAAGATATAACTTGTGATGCTCGATATGTTAACGTTTACAGTGGTGCCCATGGCGTTATTCTCATGTTTGATATCACAAAAAGCTGGTTATTCTTTACAAAATTCAGTATTATTACCTTTATATATAATATGATTGTAAATAAATTTTCTTTTCTCTAAATTTCCTGAATTGCCAAAATTTAAGATAATTCCGAGTCTAAAAATTTTTAATCTTAATATTTTTATAATGCGATTATGAATTATGAATCTTATTAAGGACATGGGATTATGTCGTAAAAGAGCTTGATAATGTCCCAAGTAGCATACCCGTATTGCTTTTGGGTAACCGCAGAGATTTGGGAGACCATCAGCAAATATCCGAAGATTTGTGCCAATCATTCGTGGAAAACCATTGCAGGTAGACGATTTGAATTTGTAGATCTTGATGTGACAAATAAAATCATTATAATATTTTTTATGTTTTTAATTAATTTTGCGAAGATAATAAATATTGTAAATATATTAATATTTTTGATTTATAAAAAGATTTATAAAAAAGTTTATGCTATTTTTTAAAAATTTTTTTAGATTTTAATTTTAAACTTAAATTTAAATTTTAATTTTCTAATGTGCCTCATTTTTCTTTTGTTTTGTTTTATAAATCCCTCTGGATTTTCTTTTAACCACTGATTGAGGTATTCTTTCTAGAAATATTTGGCGATATTTTTGGAAACAGGATTTTTTATTTCATTTGATCTTTTTTTTATTCATTTGTGATTGTTTAAATTGTTTAAAGATTTATTTTTTCTCGTAGAAAAAAACAACAATAATTGAATAATTAAGATATTTGATTTATTCTAAATGAAAAAAATGCGATTCAATTTTTGGTTCTTCACTTATTTTTATTAACTTGTCAGTTTGTTTATTTAATTCAGGTTTGGATTTTTTGACACTCTGAAAGTCTTATTTGTCCCTGTTCAACATTTTTGGAAAGCACACTTTAGCCACTTTCATTCACATTAACAGGATTTATCCATGATTTCGATATTTAACTTATAAAATGAATTTTTTGGTTACGTTGCCGTCATTTTGTTTGTACGGGAGGAAATTTTTTGCTGAAGGATCACTTAGAGAAATTCATGTGAATAGAAGCACCATCTGGTTTTTTTGATAACACAGTTCAAAGCTTTTCGCCAAAGGTGATGATTTGAGCAATCTGAGCATTTACTCTGTTATTCTGCCTAAAAAATTTCAAATTTAACAGCATTTCAAACAGCATTTCTTCAAAAGTCAATTTTTTATAATATTTCATTTTTTTATTAAATAGTAGTAATAATATTATTAAACGATATTTAAGATTTTTTGTTTTTTAATTTATTTGCCTTTATTAAGCATTGTATTAAAGATTATTTAAGATTAAGTTTTGATGTTAACATTCATTAGACCGATGAATTTTAATTTGTTTTGATGAATTTTTTCAAGTTAATTTAAATTTCTTATTTCTTATCTTTTATATAATAATAATTAATTATAATTTCTTATAATAATAATTTTTTATCTTTTAAAAGCTTGTAATAATAATGATAAAAATAAATTATTATTTTTATTAATAATAATGAGTCCTCACCATTACTGGTTGAACTCGCTCGACTGGTTTCTCCCATTGGGTAAAGGAGTCCCTTAGCGATAGAAATAGTCGCCAGGTTAGTCGCCAGCATTAGCCGGATTTTTGTGCAGGTTTAATCCTACGGAGAATCGAATCTCAGCATCGGCGCTCCTAATTGAGCAACAACCTACTGAGCCATTCCTTTTCTAAAAGTTTATAATTTATAATAATTTTTCCTCTTCTAAAAGTTTATACCATTTCTGGTTAGGGCAATTATATTGGCTATAATGTTTGAAGATTCGCGATATGTGATAAGAAATTATTCATTTTTCTACTCTTGTAGAACGGTTTTGTGATTTTATGAATCTTTGGCTCAGTGGCAAGATAATTGTTATGAAGAATCTAGACTTGGGTTCGAATCTGCCGATTTTCCTTTCTTTATCAGGTGGAAAAGGACGAGTGGAAAGCTCAGTTGTTTCTTAATTCGCAACGATTTTGGGGTTCTGGGTCCAACAGAAGTTGTTGAAATTGTCCGAAAATCCCAATGATGCTAATTACTCACCTGTACTTCTATCACCACAGGACTCCCAGGCATATTTGTCTAATGTGATAAGTCAGCAGAGCTAGTCTAACCAGTAATGGTTAGCGCTCTTAAAAAAAAAGCCCTGTATATAGCTACTGTTTTGAGAATCTCTCAATTGACTTTCGGTAACTACAAATTATCTTTTTTTTATTTTCTTATAGAATTTATTTCATCGTTTATTATTTCTATGAATAAGATGAGATGTCTACTCAAATGTCATTGCTTAATTATTTGTTATCATTGGTTATTTTATATCAATTTTATCATTTGTCAGCATTTTTTTCTATTGTGCAATGAGCCAATAACTCTCAACGACATGCTATTTGAAACTATTTAAATCAGACTTGCTGGAATCAAATATAATTCGACATTGTTTGGCATTTCGTTTATATGGACTCGTTCATTGGCCAACGATAATTACCGAACATTATGGTATATCAGCAGCGCTTTTTGTACTTATAGTTTAGTGTGTTCGCATTTTCCATTGTTCCATATCAGCTGGACGATTTGATCTCGACTGAACTAATGGATTTGTAAAAGCATGTGTATGGTTAGTTCGAATAAGTTGATAGATTTTGCACTATGATTTTGTATTTCAATCTATCTATTTGCAAACCGGTAATCCATTTTTCTCAAATGTCTCAAATCCAACTGCCTATTCGAGTAATCTGACCAATTTATTAACAAAACTACCAATTTTATCATCATTATTTCATTGTAAAATTAATAACAGTATACGGTTGACCATTGACGAATGCCAAATTCGCCTTCAAAAATTGGCAAATCGTGAGTTGAACTGTGGCCATTTCATTTGTTCTTGTGTATAAGCGAATTGCAAATTTCATCGCCAAATTCATCATTTATTTGTCCCTTTTGCTGTCATTACTGTGAGAGAAATTTATTTTATCAGATGCCTTGGTTTTATTGAATTGAATTCAAGAATTCTGAAGAAGATTTATAGCTTAAAAAGTGAGACCAAGTTCTTTGTTGCAATTACAAGATGAATGTTTTTGTTCTTTTTAGTTTTCCTAATTATAACCAGCTTACTTTCTGTGTATATGGGGAACTGACAGATTCCTTCGAAATAAGAACAGGTGTCCATCAGGACTCTGTCCTTTCGCTCACAATATTCAATTATGCGATAGACTGGATAATGGACGCTGCTTGTCGGCACTCAAGAGGTGTCCGAATTAGTCCAGAGCAAGGTATCACAGATCTTGAATACGCTGATGATGTAGTCCTTTTTGCTGACAGTTATAACGAAATGCAAGTAGTACTAAATAACGTGTCAGAAAAAGCAGCAAGAATCAGGATCAATATAAGTAAAACGAAAATCTTTTCGTCTTATGTGCAAGAAGCTGATAAAATGCCTCTTTTTATAAATTCATTCCGATTGAGGAAATATCTGATTTCAAATACCTTGGGTCCACTCTAATATCAAATGGACAGGCAAAAGATGATATTATAACTCGGATCACGTCAACTAGAAATGCGTTCTTCCGGTTGATCTAATGGAATCATCGTGAAATCACCGAAAGTTTGCATCTATATTGCAGGGATCCGTTCGATCTTACTATATGGTTCTGAGACATGGCCAATGAGAGTGGAGGATATTAAGAAGCTATCTGCCTTTGACCACTCTTATCTAAGGTACATATTACGGATCCGTTGAGCGGATAAAATATCACAAGATCGCATCCATCTTTGTTTAAATACGACTTGCATAAATAATGTTATCACAGAGCGCCGCATTCGCTGGTTAGGGCACATTCTCCGTCGTCCATCACAGGAATTGACGCATATTTCGTTATTTGCTAAACCGTGTGACAGTTGGTGTCAAAAGCGAGGTAGGCCAATCAAGACCTGGACTAATACGGTGAGAAAAAATTTTGAAAGTATAGGTGGACTAGCAATATATGGACTTAGACGATGGAAAAAGGAATGGCTTCCATTACTGTCGACGATGACATCAGGCCGGGCCGCTTGGAAGCGTCTTACCCTCGTAGCCGTTGGAGCCAGCCTAACCAGTAATGGTGAGGGCTGTTAGAAGAAGATGAAGAAATCTTGAAGAAAGTAAGTAAGTAAAAATGGATTTAAAATCATTTTATATTTTGATCTGCTTTTCACTTATTTGGTATTTACTCTAAAAATTTTCTAAAAGTCCTTTTTTATCAATAATTTATAAAAGTTCTCTTTTTGAAATTTGCCATTTGCGCATCTTCATTGTTTTCATTCACCAATTACCAATTTGTTGAGTTTTGCAAATTTGATATGGAGTTACATTATAAACTTCATAGATCATAAATCGAGTTGGTAATCTGTCTCAAGAATATTCGCTTAAGCAAGAGGTTTTTTCTCGAATCAGCTGGATATTTTATAAGACATATAAAAGTCTAATAGTGTTGTTTATTCCACTTCTTGCATAAACCAGTACCACAGGCTAGTGTTGCCTTTAAAAGTAGAAATGTTCATTCGACGTATTAAATCTCATTTGTTCTTGTATTACGACTGTGCAGCTGAATAACTAAGATTGCTGAAAGTTATTTTTTCTAATTCACGTGGATTAAGTCAACTAAATCCTTAATTCATTGATAAAACACCAGAAAAATTGCTTGCACTTGGATTATGTTTTATTTTAGTGTTTTGAGCGTTGAGTGTTGATTAGCCGAGTGAATGCTTTTCAGATTATCATGTTGAGGGCAAGGTTTTTCAGCAGGAGTGGAAAATTTAGGCTGTTTTGGCGAGTCGACCATCGTACTTTTATCTCCAAATGATTCCTGGAAAATTTTTTAATTATACTAAGAAATCAACGAAGCGAACCTAACTTACGTACTAGTCACATATTTTAATAGTTTCTTAGCTATTTTTGCTGAGATAATGAAAGTCTACTGGAAAATCTCTTCTAGAAAGAGTTTTTTAAATGAAGAAATTTTAAAAATTAATAATACTATTATTGCATTCATATTTAAATTTGCTTCGATTGATTCCTCAGCTGATGCAATAAGCTTAAGGAAGATGGGATTATGTCTATTCTTCAAAATACTTTATATCTAAAAAAATGATTTTTTTATACATTTGAATGTTTCCATTTTTTTGAAATCCATATTCTTGAAATTTGCTTATCAGTTCATAAAGTTTTTGTAAAAATAATTTCCTGTAAAGCTGAACATAAATAAATCTTCGTGGTATTGGTTCGATTATTTTCTTTTCCAGTCATATGATAAGGATCAAATTAATGCAGATTGCAGTTTCCTATGAAACTTTGATAATTTGAACAATATTTTTTATTGGTTAATATTTTAGACTGCCGTGTAAGAATGGATCTCGCATAGCCGAAGTTCGATTTACATTTTGTTCAATGAGAAATGCTTATGGATTGCGATTCCTTTATCTTTTTTTCAACATACCATTCTTATATTTACAGGTTAAACTTTGAAAATTTAATTTGAAATAAATCATTGGAATTAAATGAATTTCTTGTTTTTAGCGTGAAACTCTTCTTGGCCAACTGAAAAGAAATGAAAGAGAAATTGAACTTAGCTGTAAGGAGCTAAATATTTATGAGGAAACAGCTGAGGCTGACTATAACCAGTTCGTTTTCTTTTTTTCCTAATTCTTAAAATCTTTTTTCATTTTAGATTTTAGTTTCTAATTGGTCGAATAATTATGAATAATTATGTAAGAGAATGGTGGTGCAGACGGGTATCAAGCACCGATTTGGATTTCGCTTTTGTTTTAGAGATTATTATATAGGATCACTCCCATCAAAGAACGAGCCACCGTTAACATTAATTTTTTCTCATTATTGTTTTTTTCTAAGTTTAGATGTTATTTTTATTTTTTATTTTTTAAATTCTAATTTTTTTAAAGAGTCCTCATCATTACTTGTTAAACTTTCTCCACTGGCTTGTCCCATTGGGCAATATGCCAAGGAGTCCGATAGAAATACAGGTGAGTCGCCAGCAACAGCCGGGTTTTTATACAAGTTTACTCCTGCGAGGAATCGAACCTCAGCATCGGTGTCCCAATTGAGCAACAACCTGTTGAGCTATTTTATTCCCCAGTTATTGATTTAATTATAATGCAATTTATTTTTTATAATTTGTAATGTATAATATATATATATATATACATTTGAATTACGTTTATGATAATTTTTATCCTGTTCAATATTAAATACCGATTGTTTTTATTTTCTTTCATTTATAATAAAAATTATAAATTTTTTGAATAGATTATAAATTTATAAATTTATTTAAAATTTATGAATTTTTCATGCTTTCCCTAGAGCGAATTTTCTATTCTTCTTCTGTTCTTCTTTCAGATTCATTGAAGCTCTCACAGCAAAGCGCAGAATAGCTGTGGAAAAGATAGAACCTTTAACAACAGGTGGCAATATTAATGTGCAGTTGCCATTAGACGCTGGCCAACCAATATCATCGGCTGGTCATTTTGCGCCTAAAACGGCATGCAAGATTTCTTCTGCCTCATCAGTTTCATCTGCATCTTCTCTGATCGAAAATTCTTGTATGCGGTTTCTTTTTTTTGATTTTAGAGCAATTTGGCACAAAGAAATAAATATCAAAATAATTTCTATTCATCTCATAATTTTCAAATAAATAATTTTAGCATATGACCTCAATGATGGTTATAATTCCGTACCAGCATACAGTTCAAAGAATACTTCTACCATTATTAATGAAAATTTTCAAAACGATACTAATCTGTCGAGCGATTTAAATACTGTACCAAAGATGTCTTCCAGCAGCGACGAGTAATTTTTCCAATATTTTTTGAATATCGATTTTGAATTTTGAATTTTTCCAATATTTTCAATATTTTTTGAAGGTTATTGCAGGAAATATTAGAGGATCTGCTTTAAGCACTTGTATGAATTTGCCTCAAATTATTATATGAAAAATTAATAACTTTGTGCAGGAATGTCAACAAAATGGTTGCTGTCTATGAAGAAGATTATTCAGTTGACGATCACGAACATGGATCTGAAAGTTCTAGAAAATCGTCTAGAACCAATAAAATTTTCTCTGACTTCATTTTGGAAAAGAAGCCACCCGATACTCCTATCGGTATTTGTTTGATAGAAATTTTTTATCAAAAATTGTAAAAGAGTCAATCTTTCATTGTTTTGCTTAATGTTCTTTAGGAAATATTTTGCAGCATATCGTGTGCAGCTCTTTGAATCACGGCCAGTTAGTCCTATTTTTAATCCACATAAGAATGTTTCAATTGTTCATCCAGAGATTGACGACATCATGCAAGTAACCTTCACTTCAGATGACCTTGATGCTTGGCTTGGTGATCCAGTTACTTTGGCTACCGATGAATTTGGTAATTTTCTACTTTATTGGAAATATTTTTTGGTAAAAATAATAAAACAATATAATATTATAATAAGATTTTTTTATCCTAAAGATATCAAAAAAAATTTTTTATAATCAATGGAATTAAGAATTTTGTTCAGCAGCATCTATCATTTCTGGTTTGATTGTCCGGTAATACTGGCATAGGTCAATATCAAATACTCTGCATTTTTAAATTGTCCATAAATTTTTCATTCTTTTTGTGTGTTTGGATTTTAGAAATAAAGGACGATAATTCTGATGCAAGAAATTGTGATAATAATCCTTTAGTAACGTCGATTCCTGTTGATTCGGATTCTGATGGTGTAATTGAATCTTGTGGGCGACGAGTAGATTTGTTGTCGAACGATTCTTCAGCTGCCATCATGGTATGGGTTTCGTTATGTTATTCCCATTAATATAAATTCATGTCGCTAAACGGTGAATGTAAAAGCTACTTTGGTTTGGAATTCGAACCAGCGCTTTGTCAATTATAAGTTATCAATAATCAATAGATGATCGATTATTAAGGTGAAGGTAGGTTGTTTTAGCAATTTTTATTAGCACAAAGGAATGCCTTAATAGAAAAAAAGTCAGCAAATTTACACATCAAGTGGAAAAGAAATTAATAGATTCACAAGACAATAAGCCGACGAAGCTAACAAAAAACGAGAACTAAAGAATATACGATAGCTAATGGAGTATGATCTTTTTGTTGCCATTGATGGCTCAGTGAAGGAAATAAATAATCCTGCGGGTAGAGCCAAGTAAGAATGGAAGTAGTCCTAAGTTTTTTCGCCGTTTGGCGATTATTTATATAGAGCTACTGTATTTGGCGTTCGTAAACGAATTCTTTTTTTCGGTTGTATTTTTACGGTGTTCGTGTCATTTTGATTTTAGATTTAGAAATTCCTTTTAGCACTTAAATTGATCATTGTTGCTTGATCTGATGCTCATTTATTCAAATTGAAGATATTTGAAGAATATGTACGCAATATGTACGCTGACATCTTTCATTTTTTTCACTTCTTAAAATTTTATTTTAACAAAAATTTCTTACGATCATTGCGATTATAAAAAAGCAAATTTTAGCTTTGTTTCAGACGAAAGCTGCTCAAAGGGTTAGATCAGAGAAGTTTAAGAAAACTTCTGAAGAAAAAAATAAATCATCGAAAAAAAAAAATAACAGAAAGAAGGATAAAAAATCCGGATTCATTATTGATAACAAAGTAAAAACAAAAGATCCGAATATGTATGATGCAATTTAGACCTCAATATCAAGGAGATTTTCAAAATGCTCAATTATTGTCCGTTTATCTTGAGAATTCCACAAATAATTTCTATATAGATTTTCACATATTTTTCTTGTATTCTTGTAACTTTTTGCAATTTTTTTCAAATATTTTTCATAAATATTTCTGCCAATTTTATTTGCAAATATCCAACAAACCTAATGAAAATTATTCAAATTTTCTTTCCTATAATTGGTGTATTCTGCTGCTTTTTACTAGTTTTCTGCAAATATAAATATAATATCGATGGACAATTCTTTTTAAATGGAATTCTTCGATTTATTGTAAATGTCTGAAATAATTTCCGTAATTTATACAAAAATGTTAAATTTCCATTTAGTTTACTTCATAATAAATTTAAAAAAAGTTAATTTGATCATTCAATACTTAGTATAGTGGGGGTATTTAGTTTTATAAATGTGGTAAATTTTTAAAAGTTGTGGCCCTTTGTCGATATTCGACTTAATATATAAACCAGTAAAGGTTAATAGTTGGCACTCACCATTCCTGCTTCACTGGCTCTTGTGAGATAATTTAAGTAATTATGAGATAATTGAATAAGTATATCATTTTTTTGACTCTCACTGAAAATGAAAAAAATGGGAATATCGAGGGGTTTTGGGAAGTGGAAGGATAGCTTAGGCTCGCAAAAACGCTGGCTTTGTTTTTGTTTTATCGGAAACACTGGAATTTAAAAAAAAAATGATTAAAACGGTTGTTTGTTTCAACAGTTCGTCGAAATTTGCAACGAAGAAACAAAACACGGAAATTTTTTATGCGGATTTTCTCGAAAAAAATATGAATATTCAATAATATTTTATCATAGTTATTAGCTGTACAATGAGGATGCTTAGACTACAGATGTCATTCGATCGAAATCACCAATCACCAATCAGATTTTCCTCAACAAATTTGATAAAATAATATGACGGTGTAGTTAACAGCGGTTTGATTAAATGGTAAACGAAGAAGAATGGATGAATAAAGGCGAACAAACGAATAAGTGATATTTTAACAAAGGCAGCAACTAACAAAGTAAACAGGCAGTATTATTCCTCGGAATTATACATTTATCGAAAGGCATAAAGGTGAGAAAAAGAGAAATGACGCTACAGATTAAACACTAAAAAAACGAGATCATAAATAGAACTGGGACTTCGTTCATAGATAAAATTAAAATTAGTAATTCGGAGGCGGTGAAACACAAAAATTATTACTTGCTTGTTGAAATACTGGTACCGTAATGGATAAAATGGACGAAAATACTTATTTAAATATCATCCGTATCTAAGGCAGTTTTGAATTTTTACTTGTCTTGACGGTATTCATCATTCGAAGAGTTACTGTTTTGTTCGATGTGATGTCGAATATTCTAAATTGGTTTTTTCCTTTTCCTCATATCCAGTTTTGTACGCAATATACTGTAAGGACCATAAATATATTAATATAAAATTAGCAATTTTTGTTTTACGATTAAATCTAGCTGCGTTCAAATTTATAATTCTGCTATGATACTTAGCATTCAGTTCAACGTAGCAGAAAATATTAATATTAAATGCTTTTCATTCTATCATTTTCTAATTTTTTGATTTGTTGGTTCTACTGACTATTAGGATGAAATCTGACGCTAGACGGCTAGTTGCGAATAGAGCTACGAGCGAGCTCCAAGATTTCCACGCTTAATGATAGGTTTATTCAAGGAACAGGAATTCGATGGGCCCAATCAGAGTGCTGTTCGGCCATCGTTCCCCTTTCTTTTAAATTTATTTATGGAAATATTTTCCATCTGAGCAGAATAGTTAATTAGAACGTTTTCAATGTTACGTTTTGGTTAAAATAATGAATAAATATTAAATGCAGAATGAAAGAATTAAAATATTTTAAATATTTAAACTGTTGAAAACATCGACATCGACACATGATGGTTGTAATAATTTTTATTTTGAATAAATATAAGAAAACTTTTCTCAATTTTTTACAAATTAGCTTTTCCTATTCATTAATTATCAGTTATGTTGCTATATTCAATTATTCAAAGAAAATGCTCAATTCAGTAAAATTTTTAGTTCAAAGTATTTTGCTAATAGAAAAATCTCACCATTTCTCGTTTATTCCACCATTGTTTATCAGTAAGCGACTCTTTCGCCAGAGAGTTACTAGCAGACAAAAGTACGGGCTTCAATTGGATCAATTGGACTTTTTAATTTTAAGTCAAATGATCGGTTCACGATGAGGAACCAAGCCCACGATGGCTCGACCTTAATCTTACCAGCTAATCGCTCGGCTATTTTCGTAGTTGACTAGTTCAAGGTTTCATTCTTTCTAATCCACTTTTGCTCAATAATCATTGAATGAAATGATAATGAAATATTTCCGTTTTCACTATTATACGGTGCTGCTATAGATTCATCTGCATTTCAATTACCAAATGGCTCTTTGGTAAAAATTTTTCGTCATAGCAAGCGTCCCAGTGGACTGAGCCCAGAAATGGTGAACAGTGGCTACTTATTTTACCATTTCATTCTATGATATTTTATAAAGGATGATTGTTACAAATTATATTCATTTTTTGTCAGTTTTTTTAATCGAAAAGTTAATGAGAAAACAAAAAAAGTAGGAGAAAATATTTGTATTCTCTTGCTAAATATTTGAGTAAAGATCGAGAAGTTTACTAGATTTAACCTGTTTCCGAGAATTTAAAAATTTTTTTAAAACTCAACTTCAATTGAAATATAAAATGAAAAAGTACTTTTGAAGGACGAAATTAACGGAAATAATTTTTAAAAAAAACTTTTATTACCATCTGCGAGAAAGTTTTTTGGAAAATATATTTTGCATTTCTTAAAAATAAAATTTCCCAAAAAAACCAGTTTTTCGAAGAATTTAACTTAAACGTTCTTCTTCCCTTCTTTTCCCTCCCTCTCTTCTTCCCCTAATTCCTCTACTCCCCCTCCCCCTCCCCCACACCATATCTTTTTTGCAATCTTCGGATTTATACTTTCTTTTTATTAGCACATAGTATTTGAAATTCATCAAAACTCTGATTTATTAATTAATTTTTCCTATTTCAGAACTGTAAAAGTATAAATGAAAGTGCAACAATCTCTTTAATTCAATTCATTACTGCTAGAAATTTTTTACGTTTTTTTCGCCAAAAGATGAAAAGATTCTGTAATAATAACAAGTTTACTCTATGTCAAGAGAGAGGAAATGAACTGATAACCTCTCATTCAAGAAAATACTAGATGAATGGACTAACTGATTGATGGATGAGCGTGAAGGAGCGTTTTCTCTGCTGCAAATACCATCAGCAATAAGTTGTTCGCGAATTTCAGCTTGGCGGCTCATTCCAAGCCGCATCTTATAGTCTCGGATCGCTATTACAAGTGGTGATTCGGTACGCCCTTCCTTCGCATCTTTTGGCTTTACTGATCCAGTTGTACGATATCTTAACATTTTAATAAATCTTAATAAATTAATAAATTAATTTTTTTAGAAAATGAATCTGCTCATCATTTATAATATTTTAGATTTGACTTGAAAATTGAATATCTCCATATCACATTGAAAGTTTTGTGCCTTGTTTTTGGAAATAAGATGAATAGGATAGCAATTGGAAAGAATACATCAAAAGTGACTTAAATCATTAGCTATTAATTATTACATATTATTTATTATTATTATTATTACTCATTAACTAACCTGTTGAGGATTTTTGAAACACAGCTGTGAGTAATGCAAAGTCGTTTTGATATATCACAAATTTTCCATCCATTCTGATAAAGTTGAACTATTTGTTCTCGTTCGTTCATGGATAAAGGTAAACCAGGACTATAAGTGCGGCCTAATTGGTTTGTACCTAAATGTTTAATAAATCAGGCGAGAAAATGAATTCCTTGAAATTTTCTGAACTTATGGGCGCTGTTTTCAGTTTGGAAATTTAGGATTATTGGAATTAATTCGGCGAGTCTGAATACTTCTTTACATTCTTGACTCAATATTGGATTTAAAAACTCAGAATCTATCGAATCTCAGAATCTCAGTTCTAAACTCTACCGCACAGACTTATTAAAAATTAAAGTTACTGAAGCGAAAATGATTTTAAAAAATAAACCTGAGCTCCTCCCAGGATAAGATGTGATGGAATCGTGTCGTTGTAGTTCACTATCAGTTGACGAACGACATTCATTGATGTCAGATGAGATAGAGGATGGAGGACTATCCGAAAATGAACCACCATCCGACATTAGGTCATCAACAGAAGAAAATGACTCGCGTATACTGAATGCAAGATCGTCTATTGGAGGAAGGGGTTCCATATTTCGATAGCCTGATTTTATTTCGCCCTGAAATATATTTTTTCTTCTTTCCTATATATATATAATTCCTATATAGAACTATATTCCTTTTTTTTATCTAACTTCTAGAGTAAATCTCTCTACTCATTTCATCCACTTTTGATGGGCGCATTAAAATAATTTTTTTTCTACTCTCTCTTCATTCTTAATATAAGCACAATAACCAGTTTAACCATTTATTTCAAAAACCTATAATTATTCACCACAACCGTTGATGAAAACATCTTTTAATGAGATTGAATAGTGCATTTATGGTGTATATGGTGTAAAGATGTTTTTCTCTCTCCCTACACATTTGAATTTCTCACAAATTTTGAAGGCTTTCAGCTGAGTCGACATTTTACCCAATTATCTTAAGAGAAAAATGTATAAAATCTTTATCCAACTTTCGCATGAATGGTTATGGCGCCTGATATTTTAACTTTATTCTTTAGTTAAAAATGTTAACCAACTAGACTTTGAATTAAATATTAGCACTTCTTGCGTAAGGTAAAAGTTTCATAGAAATATAAATTAATTTGTGATTTGTGAAGGTAAGGTATCTCTATTTCGGTGCACGAAGGTCATTAATGAAAAGTTGATAAATAAAAATAGAGATTAAGGAAGGAAAATGTAGAGCAGGCAGGCAAGCCATCAATAATAGAAGATATCAATCTTTAAATGCGGATAGATGGATCGACGATCACTGCGACAATTACGATGCATTTTCGCAGCAAAACTTCCTGTTAATACTTCTAAACATTTGATGAACGAATCATAATGATAACAAAACATTGCATATTTATCCATTAATCAATCAAGCATTTGCTTGAAGAAAAAACAAAATCTCATTAAATTGGTTACATAAAATTCTTTTCTTCTCTTGTGATTTTTCTAATACGAAAATTCTTTTACTCTTTCATTTATCATAACTATCGAATTCGTTTTATTACGATATCGAGAAGTAAGATTTCTCATCAATTTCATCATATTTTTCCAACATCACACGCTATTCTTGGTTTAATTGGTTCCATTGGCTAATAGGATTGGATTTTTTCGCCAAAGAGTCATTTGGGAGTAAAGATGAGACTCACAGATCACCCAGATTTCGCCTACAAGAAGAGCCTATTATCTGAGATGAGGAGAAGCGATAAGACATTGCATCTTACATTTAATTCTCTCTTTTCTTAAATTTAAAGATGATTTAATGTCCATTTAAAATGACAGGTAAGATCACTAAAAATCACATTAAGCCATATTTTCTTCACATCATTTTAAGCAAATACAATTCTTATCGTTATCATTCATTGTGGTACTATTCTTGCCTGAATATTTCAGGGTATATAAATAAAAATATAAAAAAACGAATTGAAACAATATAAGAGAGTTCGGAAAATATAATTTTCTGTATCTCACTTATGACATTCTTTCAATATAACAGTCATTAATACACTCACTACACCAGCTTTTCCACTAAAAAAGACGTGAATGATATGAAACTCAATTAAATTTAACAATCTCCTCTCCAAAATTATTATTACTTTAAAAACGTTGTATAAGGATTTTAAAAAGTTCTTACCAAAAGGAAAAGCCATTAAAATGAAAATTTTGACCAATACAATTTGCAAACTTATTTGTAAATTAAGTGAACAGGCAAATCTTAATGGATAAATATATCTGCCAATTTTATAATATTTTTATAATAATTTTATAATATTGTAAGAAGATATTTGGAAATATTTTGTGGCTAAATGAGTGAAGCAAATTGGACAAATGGAAAATCTCGAAGTGTTTGTATTTGATGTGGAAATATTTGGGATTAAGTAACATGCCGACAATAACAAATTAAACATCCTAAATTACTGCTAAGAAAATAGGAAACTGGGAGACTTGGAAGAATTGTCTTATCCTAATAATTAGTGAAAATTAGCCAACCAGAAATAGTATGTAAAAGTTGAAAATAATTCGAAGTGGAATGAAGTATAGTTTTATAATAGCGATAATCAATATATTATAGAATATTGGTAAAAGAATAAATAAAATAGGTATTTTATCTCTAGACTTAATCTAAATTTGCCTAAACATTTTATTTTTCATATGAAAATATTTGGTTAAGATAAAAGGTAAGGTTCAAAAAATCGTAATCTTGAAAAAGATATCATTTTCGTTTAAAACATGATGAAATAATGAATGAAAAAATATTATGCCTGAAAATTATTGCAGACAACATAGAAAAGGGGATTCCTTTTAGTGAATCAATGAAAATAACTTCAAACCAACAGACATCGGTAAGAACAGAAATTTTTGGTAGGATATAAAAGAAAAATCTAAAAAAATTTTTCAGATTAATTAGAAAAGACTAACATTAAGCCAAGCGTAAAAGTCCCTTTCGAGAGTTTCAGGCGTTGAAATATCGATGACAAAATTTTTCTCGTTAAAGGAATCCGCCATAAAATCCTGATTCACCTTAAAAGAATTGATATCGCTGCTATCATAATATTTATTATATTTCTCCGGTTAACGCAAATTGATTTCAAATTTTATACAATTTCGCAAAAACAAAATAAAAAGAAAGGAATTTCCTGAAATTCTTGTCCGTATTGATCCGTTTGATCTTTATATGTTCCTGTCACCTACTGTTCTTAATATAAACTACTTTCCCATACATGATATGCAATATCGAATAATAATTGAGTAGAATGAATGGTAAACGCACACTATTTCTGGTTAGATTCGTCTCATTGGCTGTTACTATGATTAGAAATTTTTGGCAGTGGGTTATTTGGCAATAAAAAGACAAGTGAATTGGTGGATTATCCACAATCACATGGTTTTTTAATGAAAAGCTCGAAGCAAGAACAAATTCTTGCTTTTCCATGCAGTAATCTAAGACAATAATTCTTTGCTATCCTGCTCTTGTATATAAATTGTTAAATCTGTGAGTTACTCGAAACTTGCATTTCTGTTTCCAACTAACTGATTATCTAGCAAAATTGTATCATTTTACTAAAAAAATATTGCAATATTTCGATAAAAATATGGTTCAACTTGGTAACTTATTTTGCACATACAATTTTTTCTTTTAAACTCAAATTCAATCTTAGAAAATGAAAAACAATTATAAGTTAATTTTCAAGTTTTCATATATATGTATACATATATATCGACCAGACCAGATGAGAGATTCGATTGAAAATCGTGAAAAAAAATAATGTGAACATCTTATGATATGAACAGGCAAATACTGGCCAACCAATAGATATCGTGGTAATTAATAACTAACAGAAAATGGTAATACCAAGTCAATACAAGAATTCAGGAAGGAAGAATATGAGGAGCTAGAGAAATACTAGGAAATTGAAGAAGTTAAGGCCAAAGGGTTCTTATTCCGAGCTGTAACTGCAAGATTAGAAAAGTATCTTCAACAGATTTCGGGGGAAATGTCTGAATCGGAGATTTCAAAATAGCGCACTGCAAACAAATAAGGCACAAAACAAAATCTTCAAATCACAAAGCTTCCAGTGGAGGCCCATAGATTGAGTAGGGCCCATATCACACATGAGATGAGAATGGAACATATATATATATATATATATATATATTATGCAGTAGAGGAGTCGAGGTTGAGGATGATCTTTATATCATCTTTATCACATATCAGGAATGAGAAAAGATTTTTTTTTTTTACATTGCTATTCGAAATATTTTTATTGTTATTAGGTGCTAAAGCTCACTTTTACTTTTATACCAAAGTAACTATATTTAGCGAAACGGCAATCTTTAATAGTCAGTGACAACTTAAGAGTGCTGTTGGTAAAAGATGACATATTTTTTGATTGTGCAAATAACTATTCTAAATGATATTTTAGATTTTTTGAATCAAACACTAAAAAGAAGAAATATTATGCTAATTTTAATTCATCAGCTAGAAGGTTGCTATTACGATATACTGATTTGGCTGGTTCTAGTGGCTTTCGCCAGAGGATTGCATATGCATGGGTGGTGAGCCAAGTAATCGAACCCATTGTTTACTATTAAATTCGTAATTAGATAAATATATTATTAGATAATTAGATAATATATATTACTAGATAAATATAAATATTATAAATGTTTTAGTTTAAAACTGTGATTATTCCAATGAAATAACGGATAGGGATAAATGAATCGCCATTATATAAACGAGCGAAGAACTGGAAATAACAGTTTGCTTTATAAGATAAGGCAAACTTGCTTGATACAAAAGGTTATCCTAAAAAAAATATTGACGGACAAAATGAAGAAAAAAATAGGAAAATAAAAAATTCGAACCAATGAAATTTTCAAAAGCTATTTTTAATCAAAAAATTCAATCAATTGAATAAAATTTTCCATTCGTACGGCAAAAAACTTGAAAAACTGAAAAAAAATTGCAAGAAATTTATGCAGAATTCAGTAATTAATGAAAAATAAGCAGATGAAGGGCTTAAAAATCTTTACACAAGAAAATTTTCAGTAAATATTTACAGAATTTATTTCACCTATTATTGAAAAAAACACTGGATATTTACCTGTACTTCTATCTTTAGGTAAATTCCTAGGCGACTGAATCACTCCTGACTAAAAGTGGTGAATGCCAAGTATTTATATTTATATTTTTGAAGAGTTTAAAGAATGGGAATGCATCTATGTTTTTGAATAAATTTTTTTATTTCTTCACAATTACGATTAAGCATATAAAAAAATAAGTAAATGGTAAGCTCTGGGGGAATGAATCGCCATTATCACCACCTCCACTAGCTGTTAGCGCAACTAGAAATAAATTAGAAATTTTTTGCCAGAAATTAGAGAGTCATTTGAGGATGGGCATACAGTTGAATCGCCACCACTACTGGGATTTATTAATATTAGGCTCATTTCTGCTGCAGATAGGATCTAAGCCTTGATGCTTGATAATCTGGCCGATAATCGCTCAGCATATTCTCATTGAATAATTTTAATTAAATTGAAATTTGAAATAATAATTAGGATATTAACAATTAAAAGACAGAAAAAAAAGCAAAAATCCGGATAGACGAAGATTATTTTAAAAATTAAATTCCGAAGACAAATCAAATCCATGTTGTTCAATAATTATGAACTTTTAATGATCGCATGAAATAATGAATGAAAAGAATAATAATAACAATAAATATTTTGCGATGACTGTGATAAGTTGTTCATCGCTATCGTTTGAATTTTATTTGTCTCAAGACAAATTTGCAAAAATTTTTGGGGGAGTGGAAATGAAGGAAAAGAAGAACGAGAAAGCGACAAAGACGATTGACAATGGTGGTTGGAAAGGAATATCAAGAAATAAAAGTTGAACAAATCGAGAAGTAACAAAAATTTTGAAAACAGAACGACGGTGATGATCATCGTTAACAAAATAAATTTATGTGCTGTCAATGATTTGTAGAAGTATTTTTGTCTGAAGTTAATCATATTCGATCTTCATAAATTCAACTCTTTTTTGCCTTTTTTTGCCATAACAATGTTTGCAGAATTTCTGCATGGAAATAGTTTGAGCACTAATTGTGTTAAAAAAGATGTCATTCCGGACGAATCCTATATTGCTTAACTTGCAGTAAACGATCACTTTTCGATCATAAATAACGATGTCTCAAAGCCTGTCAGATTTTCTTTTCACTGCATAAGACATATTCTCCATTACAACTAGAATCTTCTCAGTTTTTGGACATAAAAGAGTACGAAACTGTGCGGGTGATGCTCGCGATCCATCCTGTACTAATGGCTTTCTAGTGAAGTAGTAGTGGAGCCAAATTTTTCTAGTGGTAGTGGGGCCAAATTTGATGGGTGTATTTTTAAAAAATGCAAAACGGTGAACAGAACAGTAAAATCTAGCTAATCAAATATAATTCGACATTTATGGAAAATTAAAATGGTGATACATCTTGAATGCCATATAAGTAGGAGGATTCTTCGTCGTATGCAAGAATAAAATGAATAAAAAATGGTAGAAAAAGAGAAATAATTATTTTTCTGTAAATTTTCTGGCTTCTGATTTTAGCTGCTTCTCGTTTATGCTTCTTCTCGGCTCCTAAACCTCGAACCAATGGAATTTTCTTTAAATCAATTTGCTGTGAAAGAAAAGAATACAAAAAAAAATTTTTTTTAATCGATAGATTTAGCTTTCATATTGTTTTTATCATTTCAAAAAGCTAAATAAATGTTTTAAACTTTTTTTTTGCTTATACAATTTATTGATACTTCCACTTATACATTTCATTACCGTTGTGAGCTTGATAAGCGCTCTTATCGCACCAAATTAAAACCGGTAATGTCCTTCTTTGATTTGTTCATCAACCGCAACCTTTTTTAATTTTCCTTTTTTTAATAAGTTGTATTCTTACTTTTGTTCCCATCATTTCTCTACTAAATGATAATCTTTTGAATATTCTGAAATAAAATTCGCTAAAAGCATAATATTCTGAAGAAATTCACATTCATAGTTAGAAAAGTTTATCATTATTAGAAATCTTTTTTTAAATTGCACTCAACATTTTTCGTTTGATAGTTCCATTGGCTTCTGCCAATCTTTCATCAGAGAGTCACTTGGAGATAAAAATACAAATGGAGCGTCATTATTATTAAAGTCATTATTATTAATAATTAGATTAAATCATTATTATTAATTATTATTATTATTAAAGATATCCTGTTGTAAAATTCTTTCTATGTCTATATTATAAATTTATAGTGCAATATTTAATTTTAATAATAACATTAATTTTAATATAATATTAATTAATATGACAGATAATTAAAATCTAGATGGTCGCGATCTACCAGTTCTCAGCCAGTTGAACGGGCCTAACCACTAAAAAAGAATGTTAAGCGCTAACCGCCTATTTAATATTAGATGTAATTTCTCTAGAATCAACAATTTATTGTGATAATGCATGAATAAATACAACAAAATTTTAAAAAAATTTTATTATATATAGACACAACATTGTTTGGAAATTCACCACCATACAACAAGTTGTGAGCAAATTGCCAATTGCGAAGAACATCATAAAGAATGTTTTCAAATGGCCCCTCTTAAATCTGTTATATACTGTTCGAAACAATCAAAAATACTTTGAAATTTTCATTTCTTCAGAAAATTCTTTTTCAGTAAACCTAAATCTTATATTTTATTTATTTATTTATTAGAAAATATTAGAAAGCATTTTTCTTTAAAAATTAATTTAATAAGTTAATAAATTAATTAAAAAATAAATAAATCGAAATAAGCCTAAATTAAAATTTTTTAAAAATTTAACAAATTCGGTGAATTCATGCATTCTTTTATAGTGATTTGAATACCGAAAGGCAAAAAATTTTTTTATTAGCTGAAGATCCTTTTATACTATTATTAGAAAGTAATTAATAAATGAAACTAGTAAATGATTTAAATAAGTAATTAC